TAAGCTCGACCTCGTGTCGAATACCTTTAACCTTCGGCAACTCGCACGGAACAGTTTCAGGGAATACATCCTTGAATTCAGCCAAATCTATATAGAGAGGATTTGTCTTGAGCGATTCCCACGATTATTAGTCTTATCTCTTAACTCGTGTCTTTTCATCTAGCATACTCTCTGTCCGTAGATGAACTACTGAGAACTCTCTCGTTCTCAGTAAACATTGTTGCTGACCTTGTGTCGGCTACACACTCGTCGTCAGCGACGAGTACGCAGATCTGCTTGACTTTGCCACTACGCAGATCACGCAAGAACCTTTTATGTTCAAGCGTTGGCAACTGAGTGGTCTCCGAAGTCAACTTCGGGGGCGTCACCAGATCAAGTGTATAAGCGCCTACACTTGATCCGTTATTAACTATGACATTCAATGTCTCTGTCATTTCCTGGGGACTTGTTCCCCCAGGCCTCGAAGGACTTATTCCTTCGGCTTCCCGGGGACTTATTCCCGCGGGTTTCGGAGAACTTATTTCCGCCGTATCTGTAACATCGGGACTTATTCCCTTTACTTCCTCTAGCTGGGGTTGCGCAACCACAGCGAGATCCTCTACGAAAGACTCTCCAGTCGATCTAGGATTATCGTTTCGCTTAACCTGAGCGATCGATTGTTTCTCTTCTAGATGTCCCCGCTAGGGATACATCTTCGTCCCGGTCCACTCGACTTATTCGAGTGGTGGACCTTCGGCGCAGCCTGTGTTTTCTCACAGCCGCCGGAAGCTTTCTCCGAAGTGTAACTGTTTGTTACACTAAGGTTTTGTGCAGTCGTACTAACGACCGTACCACAAGTGAGGCCATCGCGCTCACTCGTAGTACATCCACACGCTTATGGACGCTCCAAAACGTTCATCAGATGGCCATCTGATGAACAAGCGGCAGGCATCGTTACTGTCCGATGTTGCCAGTTTACCCGTGCTTCGTACCTTCTGAGCCACGGTATTCCAAGGATGACATCAAATTTGTCATCCAAATCCAATACGATAAAGTCATCGTCATATTGGGTTTATTCTAGCGTACAGTGGATCTTCACTATACGCTTCATGACGGTTACGGATGCGCCTGTCGCAAGACGTACCGTCATCCTCGTAGGAGGTGTGTCACATTCACTGAACTTAAAGTGACCATCTTCTAGCGATTGGCGTCGCACAAAATTGTTGGACGCCCCACAATCGACTAGAGCTCGAAGGGACAACTTATTTGTCACTTCGAGTTTCAAGGTAATGAGTGAGATCTCATTATTTGGAGCAGCAACGCACAACGTTTGTGTGTTGGGAGCAACCTTCATCAAGAGGCCTACAAATTCTCTTGACGTTGCTAGACCAGTAGGGTGCTCCGCACCTACTGATCCTGTCCGTTTTTTGACGGTCCATCCCGTTGTTGCGTCTTTGCACCAACAGCGGACCCGCGCCCCTATCCCTTTCTCATGGGTGGATGTCACTACGCCCAGTGTTGCGAGACACTGGACGAGGGGCACTACACTCGTGAGCGTAGTGTCCTGTCTTCTGACATCTGTTGCATTTCTGCAACTTCTTGTAGTCTGTAGAGCGAGCCTTCTCGCTCTCTACATAACAGAGTTCCATCGGCTCTGGACCACCACTGTCATATCGCCTCGGTGGACGATATGATGTCGAGCTGGCGCGAGCCTGTCTCAGACTGAAGTCTTCCTGTTCCGCAATGGAAATGGCTTGTTCTAGTGAATCTAGTTCAAGCCGGAACAGGTGAGTCTTGACGGGACCATCCGCAAGACCCTGCATGAACACCGAAACCAACGTGTGTTCATCAACCGGATTGGAACTTATACAACTCGTGAGATGTCGTATATGTTGCGCGTAAGCGTGCACATCACGCTTACCTTGTTTGAGCTTCAAGAGTTCAGTTCGAGCTCTGAACTCAGCTCTAGGCGGTTCAAACGTTTGTCTGAGCCGCGACTTGAAGACTTCCAACGACCCAAACGCATATGGGTCGTGCAACTTGAGCCCCAGTGTCCAAGTCTTGGCACGTCCTGCCAAATTTGATTGGGAAAATGCAACTTGCATTTCCCCATCGTCGATGCGACGCGCCCTTATGGAGTCGTCTAATTCGACGAACCATCTCAAGAGGGAGTCCTCTTCGACTCCCCTATACTTGGAGATGTCAATCTTCAAGGTCTCGGGTCGACGCGAGTGCATCGACCCACCAGCAGCAGCCTGCTGCTGTCTCAACAGTTCAAACTGTTGAGCACCCTGTTCTCTCAACAAATCTGCTTGTTGAGAACCTTGCTGGTGAAGCAAGGCTACTTTCTCGCGTTCTGCGTCAAGTTCATTTTGAATGAACTTGGCGATAGTAGCATGTTGGGCATCTCTATTGAGAGCCTCTAGCATGACGCTAACCGCATGGATGCCCATGGTTGAACCCATCCGTTCAACCGCATCCCATTCGACATCGCTCAAATGGGAGTAGCCGTCACGCGTAGCGTGAAAGCTTTGGTCATCTTCATCATCTAACATATTCATGTTAGATGTGAACGTGGTCCTTGGACGGACTACGAAGTGCTACCAGGTGTAACGGGGCACCCTGAAGCTTGTACTGGTGACAGTACAAGCTACTTATTCTGATGACAGAATACGGCGGTGCCTCGTAACTTCACATACACTCGTACGTGCAGAGGAATACGGTAAGAAGAAGCGAGTACTTGGTTAAAGTAAAAAGTAGAACTTTATTTATAATCGTTAATGTCTGCAATAAACCACTGTTTATCCTCATCTAACTATGTCTGAATACAAATGTGCATATCAACTGTCTGCTCACCACTCATTGCGTGCGTCTGTCGTGGCGCGTCTTCGTTGGTTGATATAATGGCCTATATCAACCAATTAGGAACTACTCGTAAGTGCTGCAGAATATTTGTCCTTATGACAGTATTCTGAGAACATAACTCTTATAGTTGTATTTTACTAACAATTTCTTATAAATTGTTAGGTAACGATTCACCCCGTTACAACTTATCTCTCAGTTTTTTAACGAGCTCGTAAGCTTCCAGTCCTGATTTAGGGGACCATAACTTCAAGAAATCACGTGGCACTAATGCCTAAGAGTACTGAGCGTTAACACAGGCACTGACTCGTACGACCAAAGACGTCTTAGCAAGACACGTGTCTTTCATTGATTAAAAGGGGAACTGAATGTACTTACTCATTTCTAGCGATAACAAACCTCACTTTCGTCTTTAACCTTGAAACTATGCTACCTAAACAATCAGTCCTCATGAAGGTTCTTTTTGTGTACCACACAGAACTACGTCGCATCTCCGAATGCCCTATTACGATAGATGCCATCCAACTGTAATCGATAAGGTACGATGTGACCGCTCAGCGTAGGTCATGCAATTGTACAGCGTTATCAGTGATACTGATCTCTTCGTGTGTATATCACACCAGCGTACACAGTTATCACAAGCGTTTGTGTTACCCCGTTACAGCACTGCATTTGCCCAAGTTGCATTACACTTCATAAGTACGTGTGAGCCACGAATATTTTGGTACGACCGCAACGCTCCGATGCGTTTACAATGCCGGCAGTTTACGTCTTCCTTACTAAAGGACTTTTGTCAGTGTTTCTTTCCTGCTCCATGCACTGTCGATCACCGTAAACCAGCAGTTTGTGGGCTACCACGGTACAGTCTTCCCTCTGCTAAGTTATAGACTTGGTGGAAGGCAATTCCTATAACATAGCAGAGGTTATTCCATAGCAGAGGTATGCTGCGGAAAAATTATTAATCTAATTAATTAAAGAATTAAAAACGCAACAAACCTCCAGGCTTCCAAAACCTGTCTGTCACGTGTCACGTGCCCTATGAAGATTTTGTGATTTTGGTTGCCCCACCAGTCTCTGGTGATTTTGCTATCTCTAATTAAGAAGTTCCACCAACTGTACCTTGCTCACTCACAACAGATGTCGCAGATACGTCTTACCAACTTGCAGAAGCTGCGCATCTGCAAGCACCAGGATGCTAACCCGCGCATCACCCAGACTGCCCTGGCGGCTTGGACAAAGGACGCCTTTGACCTCCAGAAGGCACTTTCCCAGGCAGCGATCAGCAAAATCATCAAAAAAAGGAAGGAGCTTGAGGCAATGGACACCACTGACCTCAGCGCTAAGCGTCCTCGGACTGTCCAGCACCCAGCTGTGGAGAAGGCCGTCGCCTTCTGGGTCTTGCAGTGCCAGCACCGTGGGGTCGCTCTCACTGGAGATCTCATACGGGCCAAGGCTCAGACCTTTGCGGGATCAATGGGCGTCTCGGAGGAAAACATCAGCTTTTCGCATGGGCGGCTCCACAAATCCCAGCAACGCCACAAACTGCGAGCTGTCCGCATTCATGGCGAGAGTGGATCAGCAGATATGGGCGCTCTAGAGGAGGCTCTTCCACACCTCAAGGCCGTGGTTGCTGGTTATGCGCCACGTGACGTGTACAACATGGACGAAACTGGTAGGTCTGAGAATACAGTACAGAAGCATCTCAAAGGCTCACTTTCTGTTCAGGTTTGTTCTACAGTATGACGCCCGACAAAACGATCGCCCAGCAAGAGGTCGAAGGGTTTAAAAAAGACAAGGTACATTATTGCTCTCCTCTTGGTTTCCTGCGTTTCTCTGACACTAACAACTATTCTAGACGCGCATCACAGTTGCTCTCACGGCAAACGCTGATGGATCCGACAAACTCCCGCCGGTCTTCATTGAACACGCCAAAAAGCCGCGGTGTTTTGAGCGCAAGACAGCTGAGCGACTGTGCTTTCTCTACCGCAACAACAAGAAAGCCTGGATGACTGGCATACTCTTCCAGGAATGGCTGGGAGACGTCGACAAAAGTATGAAGGTAATTTGGGGCATGCCTTGAACATCATCGTTGTGGTACAGTAAAGGAGGTTTGACTAACGCGTTGACCACAGCAAAAGGATAGAAAAATCCTGCTTCTCATGGACAACGCTCCTTCACACATTGTTGCTGACCTGGAACTCATCAACATCACGGTCCAGGTTCTTCCTCCTAATACGACTTCAAAGGTCCAACCCATGGATGCTGGGATTATTGCCGCATTCAAGAGGCACTACCGCCGGCTGCATCTGCAGAATACCTTGGACCGTGACGAGCGCGGAGAAACCAACCTTTACAAGGTTGATCAGCTCACGGCCATGCGTTGGTCGCTGGCTGCGTGGAGCGAGATTTCCAGTGCCACAATCGCCAACTGCTTCCGTCATACGGGACTCATGGACGGTCCGGCTCTGCCGACTGGTGGGGGTGAAAACGAAGCCGGCACTGTTGGCCAGCAGGCCCAGCAGGAGGCAGCAGCTGCTGCAGTAGAGGAGAAGCGCGTGGAACAGGATCTTGTTTCGGCGCTGGAAAGGCTTCCGCTCCGCAATCCCATGTCGATCGCTTCTCTTCTCAATCCGGCTGAGGAGGAGGAGACGGCGCATGCGGAGCTGACCGATGCCGAAATCATCAAGCTTGTTGAGGATCCGTATGGGGAGGAGGAAGGTGCTGCTGAGGCGGAGGAGGAGGTGGAAAAGCATTCGAAGGCTGAAAAGCTTGCCAGCCTTAGTCTATCCATCGCCCTTCTCGACCTTTCTCAGGAGTCCCATCGTATAGCTCACCGGACCCTTCGCCAAGTCCAAGCTGATCTCCGTAGTGCGAGCACCACTCAGGCCACACTTGATTCCTGGCTGAAGTAGTTCCCTCTCCTCTTTCCACTCCTTTCTTGCAGTGAATAACAAAAAAAAGGTTCTGCGTACAATATTTCTGCTCACGGCGGACAAAAATATTCCCTCTGATAAGTTGTATTTGGCCCTCAGGCTATTCCGTATAACTTATTCCGTAGATACCATAGGACGAGGTCGGCGGAGACCGAATCCTATAACTTACCGGAGGTTATTCCATAGCCGGGGATAACTTAGCAGAGGGAAGACTGTAGTTAGATCGAAACTCTTTCGCCAAAGACAGCTGCTAAAAGCTCATTTGTTGGGTTTACCAGATGATTGCACGCTCAGCTGGATCATTCTGCTGGGAGGGACGATGTCATGAGTTCAGTACGTCACGAGGTTCATAAAGAGGCAGCTTACAATTTATCAGGAGCAGGATCAAATGTGCATAGTCTCCATTCGCGAAACATGTAGACTACGCTTTATCATGTCGGAATGATCAAATAATCAGCGCGCACACGAGGTTTTCGTCGTTCAATCGATACGCGTCACACCTGCTGCGTGAGAACGAAGCGCTAAATGGTGCATGATCTGGAAGTTCCGCACTACGGCGAAGCCTGAAACCGGTGACTATGAAGTCCTTGACGAATACAGTTTCGACACCCACCACCACCCACCGAATCCGTTTGGAGAAGTGCACCACCGTAGCATGACAATGAATAAGTATCGACGCTGGACTTTTGGCGTGATGCGTGTGGATGGTGTTTTTTCGCGCTCGTCGACACAACATGTAGGTATCGCGTAGGGCTGCAGGTAGAGTCATGACCATGCATGCTTTCTCGATTAAAGAGAAGTCCGGTTCTTGATCATGCCATCTGGATTAAAACGGAAGTTCGACTGCCAGCAATGACATTTTGCTTATTTGACGAGTCAAACGAGCCATTTTCCGACCACGCTTGATCAAAAGGTCGGTCTGACAACCGCCTACATCTTGCGCCAAATGTTGCCACCGCTCTATCTCTCTTTTGCCTATCCACTGCCAGTAATTACAGTGGAGGTGGTCGACGGTCGCCACCGTTGGACTCTGGCATACATTCCACCTCACCGTGCCGATCAAAGTAGATAGGATGAATCGTGCGGAGGGGCACGCACGCGATCATACAAGCCAAAACGGGAAAAGTGTCACACGCCACTTGCACTTGGTGTGATCGTAGAACGTTGACGTCCAGAACTTGTGCCACCAAAGCTGCCGTCGTCGTTCGAAGTCTGCGCCTCGTGTTTTTCTCGAGCTTGAATGACCATCACGGTGGCAGAAAGCAGCCATTAACATTGAAGCAGCAGCACTTCGACTCAGACGTGTGTTTGTTCTGCTTGGCCTGCATCGGTTCAGTAGTATTTCGTGTGGCGCATACTTGGCGCTGCAATGACGACCCCAACTTCGGCTTTCACGCTCTTTTAATTTGAACAAAAAAGCGAGCAAGTTGAATAAATAATTTGATTGCCTTGCGGTTCAATCAGGTGTTTACCGCTGAAAATTACTTAAATATTATGCCGTTCATTCCGCGCGCTATGACAATTACCAGCTTAACCAGGCGTGTGCCAGCACTTCCTCCATGCTCGGGCGCTGCTTGGCGTCCTGATGCATCATCTGCTGTACTAGCACCTTGACTTCCTTGCCAATCCGCCACCATTCCAGCTCGTCAAAGACAACGTCACCTGAAAAAGTCCGCTCCAACATTTCATCTTCAGATGGTGCGCTGAACGGAGAGTAGCCACAGAGTAGTGTGTACAGCACGGCCCCCGCGCTAAACACGTCAGCGGCGGTCGAAATCTCGCCGTGCTGGAGCACCTCTGGTGCAGCATAACCAACCGTGCAACTAGTAGCCTTCTTCGACTCGTTCTTTTCGAGAAGCACAGCCGAGCCAAAGTCTCCGAGCTTGATAGTCTCTAGCTGAGTAGCTGATGCCTTGAAAAAGAGGTTCTCCGGCTTAATGTCGAGGTGCACGACGCCCTGGTCGTGGCAGTGGTCGATAGCACTCGCAATGTGACGAAACAGCACCTTGGCATCACGCTCGTCCATGCCACCGTTCTCATTAATAAAGTCAAAGAGGTCGCCGCCAACACAGTTTTCCAAGACAAAGTACGCCTTTTCCTTCTGTCGGAACGAGTCATGCAGCGCCACAATGTTCGGATGGGTCGATCCATTGGTCAGCAATCGATGGATTTCAATCTCACTGCGAGCCAAGTGACTCTGTTTCGTCGACGCAGCTCGCATCAATTTCATCACGTACGACGGACGGCTGCGATCCGTCCACACCGAGCACTCGACCACCGACGAGGTGTCCGTCTCCATAATGACACCACCAAGCGTAAACTTGGAGATCCAGTCCAGCAGCTCGATCGCATCTTGTACCAACTTGGCCCACTCGTCCCGCTCCTCTTTCGTCTCAAACTTGAGGATCCACTTGTCCAACGACACCTTGTCGTTCGTGCTGGTCGAAGCCACGGCACTCGGCCACGACGCCACGCTCTCGCCTTCTGCTGGCTTGCGAAAGTCAATTGACAGCTTGTTCCGGGGCAGACGATCCACGCGCGTCCACACGTCCAGCATCTGGCGTTGCCGCACCTCGCTCTTTACCGAGCGCGCGTACTCCATGTACGGCAGAGCGCCCGTCTGCAGGCGCACGACACGCGGGACGAAGATCTTCATCCAGTTGGGGAGTGGCACTTGCTTGAGCACTTGCACTTGGTGCAGCTCAAAGAGCTTCTGCTGCAATTGCGTCTGTGACAGCTCCTCGTCTGCTGTCACGAGATCTTCCTCGAGAATCGTCAGGCGTTGGCCGTTGGAGCGGTCCACGGCGCCGTATAAACTGCTGAGGCGCGTGGCGCTGAACGTCTCCGAGTCCAGGAGCGTCGACTCGGTGCCGCCACCGCTCACGCCTGAGCAGCACGTGGACCGCGTGAGGAAGGAGGACCGACACTCCTTTGAGTTGGACATCTCGGCTTCCAAGAGAGCAATGCCCATGCCTTTTTCTTTTATTCCGGTTCTGTGCTTCCTTTGTTTCCGGTTATGTGCTTCCTCTGGAGTGGCGGCTCTGGTTGAAGCTGAGTTGACTACCGAGTGAAGTGACTCGACCGAACGAGAGCGTTGCGGCTGGGAACGGAAAAAGGAAAGTGCCCGTTTCTTTCTTCCGACCAACGCTCGAGTGGAATCGTCCAGTGTAGTTTGTCCAGAACTTTGCAGGTGTCGCGAAGGTAGAGTCGAGGTTACACGTCGTGACGGCGAAAGTTGTGGCGATTACGCGAACCAGCAGAGCGAGCTAGGGCTTGGGGTGGGGAAATGAGGTGCCGTAATCGAAGATGATTTCGAAATATCGCGACAGGAAAGGGAAACCCATCGTCGCCGCCGCCACCGCACAGCAGAGGTTTATAGGTCGTAGAATCGATAGCAGAGCATGGCACGGCTTAAGACGAAGGAAAAGTCGACGCGTCAAGATTTTTGGACTGCGTCTGACCAGCGCCTGGGCGAACATCGAACGACAGCGACATCACCACCACTAGTCTGACGTGTGCAGACGTGGTTGGCAGTACATAAAGAACCTGGCAGCATCCATCTGTGCGCAACCCTATGCGGCCCTTCCTCGACGCTCGGCGATACAAGCTGATCGGCGATAGAAGTAGCTGCTCTCGGCTACAACCTACAGTTACCATGAAGACAGCGAGCGGCCCGATCTATTTCGAGCTGACCCCTCGGTGATTAGCCACCGCGTGGACACCATGTTGTCGATCCTGTACAGCTGCGGTACAAGCGACGTAAAAGACGAGATCGACCCAGCGCGCCGCAAAAAGTACGTGACACGCAACATTTCGCTCTCGCCCGTCTCCGGTGACATGTGTTGGTAGCTACTGCCCGAACCAATCATTATTGCGCTGCTGGCTGTCGAAAAAAAGCAGCTAGGCGACAAACAGGCCGCTGGACAGACGTCGCGGACAGCCAGCGATATACAGCGAGTCCATGTAGCAGAAAGTCGGACTTGTCTTAGCTGGGGTCAAGCTGACGCTGATACTTTCAGTGGCAGTGTCAAATATGTTGATGCCTCGTCTGCATTGTTTTTGCACGCCTGATTACGTATGCCCGTGATCCGGGGGTACGCTTTGTCACGGAAACCTGGATTTTAGGGTCCCAAAAGTCGAGTCAACAAAACTGAAGTGGGTTTTATGCTGATTGCGCAATCCAGTGTAAAATACCGTAATACTTGCCACTTATGTACGGCTACAGTCTGTACGGCTACAGTCTGTACGGCTGGAGTCTGTACGGTTGCGTCAGCTGGCAAGAGATCGATGAGTTCACATGTAGTCAGTCAGCTGGTAGATCCTCTCAGCTTCACTCTGTTGCTAGCTGGTGAGCGAAACTACCATGGCACTCGACTATCACCAGCGTGAAGTCGGTCTCTGCAGTAATGTGGTCGGTCCCGTTCGCCCACAAGTTCTCTGACGTCGACAAGAGCAACGTCCATAAATGTACATGCCGTCGTACAGGGTCGTAACTTGTGTAAAACAGCGGTATGCTCCCTAGGACTCTTGCTTGACCTCCTCGTTAGTGGTCCCACTGCCACTGCTGCGGCCAGCAGAGTGGTCGTTTTCACTGGCTGGAATGTGCAGCAGCGTGACCAGGAGATCGCCATAGCTGGCGTCAGTGTCGGTGCGAATCCTCTCTTCGAGTGACCGTCCGTGCAACTTTTCGTACAGTTGCTCAACCCGCGGCTGCATCCAATGGTAGCGGATGACCGCTGCGCTGAGTCCCTTCTCGTCCGTGTGTAGCCCCTTCATCATACGTTCAAAGTGGTCGGCAATCGCTGCGTCCGGCTCGAGCGCCAGTCGAACTACAGAGCATCAGCAGCACCGGTCGTACAAGAACCGCCAGTAAAAATCGTGCGTACAAGTCGAGGGTACACTGAAGCAGGAAGCTGGGGGTTACGCGGACGTACCAAAAAAAGACCAGAGCTTCGCTCGCGTAGCCGCTGAATTCGTTGCGCACGGCCTCTTCGAGGTCGTTCACGTACTTTTTCTGGTAAATGTCGTTCACGAGCACGAGATGCTCACGTGGACTGGCGAACAAAATGCGCACGAACGACGTTTCGTCTGTCCCCCAGCGGCCTTCCCCCGCTTCGTGCAGCTTTGTGGCGTCTGTTTTGGCCTGTTCGTACGTGTGGACCGCGGGGTCGTACGGGACTTGCAGTCGCTGCAGCCATGTGAAGCAACAGCAAAGTGGAAAACAGTCAGCACAAGTGAAGTCCTGATGCAGTCAATTGACTAGCAACAGAGAGAGAGCAAGAAGGAGAGAGGTCGCGCATGAGTGCAGCGTTTGTACGCACATCGAGCGCCAGGAGAATGATCTCGCGGTAGTCGCCACTGAGCTCCGACCGCATGAGCCAAGTCAAGTCCTTGTTGAAGATGCAGTAGTACGTGGCCTTGAGCACCGAGAGCTCTTGGTTCGTGCGGCCCAGCAGGATCTTTGCCAGCGAGTTATCACGAGACGAAGAATGGCATCAGGCAGAGAAGGAACAAGTTGAGGATTAGTACGGACTTGTCTGCATCATATGCAAGACGGGTGTGGAGGTGGACGTCGTACCGGGTACAGCAGACGCTCTTTTGTGCCACTGCTCGACGTCGCCATGTTGAGCACGAACGCTTCGGCCTCTGGTAACGGCATGGTCAAGAGCAGCAACAAGAAGCGGATGTCGCCGACCGTCTCTCGACTGAGCGTGTCCTTGAGCTCCTCGCGGTACAAGTCCTTGTAGCGGTAGATGAGCAGCGATCGGTCGCTTGCTGACAGCGACCCCAGTACCTGCACGAGGACCTTTTCATCGACACCCAAACCGTCCGTTGCGTCCCGGATCCGCTCGCACGCGTCATCGATTTCGCGCGGATACACAAGCGGCACACCGCGGAATACGTCGTGTGCGTGCTGAGGGAAAACGCGCTGCATTGCTGGTGGCGTTGCGATGTGTTTTGACAAGTGTCAGCTGTTGCTGAGGTGCGACTGGATGTGCTGGGATCTCTCTCCAGTCACGAGGCAGCTGCAGGCAAGTTGGACGATAAACAAATGGTGTGGAGAGAGCGCTTGACATGTTGTTGGAGCTATTGGTGGTTCAAGCTAGACGCAAACGAGTGTTTCGATTAAGCACAAGAGACGACCGAGATGGTTGGGCTACGGGTACGCGTCAATAACCACCCTACGCGAGGCTGCCAAGGGAGCGGGACGGGTCAAGGAGCTGCAGTAGCAGACCCTGGTACTCTCCGCCCACTTCCGCTTCAATGCGGTCGCGCAACGACGTCTCGTACTTCTTCTCGTAAGCAGCCTCGATGTTGCTCAAGTACGGGTGGTAGCGCACAATGGCAGCCGACAGAGCCGTCTCGTCCGTGCCAACGCCGGCCATCGTGCCTTCAATGTGCTCGGCGAGGAACGGCCACGCGTTGAGGTTTAGGCGAACTGCAGCAACACAGAACGCGTGTGAGTGACGTGACTTCACCGACAAGTCGTGACGCTACTGCAGTACGTACCAAAGAACGAGAGAGGCGGCGCAGTCACTGCCGCTAAACTCCTTCTCGATCGCGTGAATCAAGTCGTGCTCGTACTTAGCACGGTACGCCGCATCCATGTTGCGCACGTGCTCGGGCGGACTGGACAAGAGCACTTTGATGAACCCGTTCTCGTCCGTCCCCCACTTCCCTTCTCCCGCATTGTAAATGAGCTCGGCGTCCTCGGCCGCTTTCTCCTTCGTGTGGAACTGAGGCTTGTAGTCGACCAGCGGCTCCTATAGTAGGACGACCAGCACACACACCCACAAACACAAAAAAAGAAGCCAAAACAACCAATCAGAACACGTGTCACAAAAACTAGTCCTGCAATAGTCCACTCCTTGTCTACTCATTTGACGAGGCAGTTCCTAGTTAGTTACCTGCAGCGCCTTCATGATCACGGCCAAAAAGTCGCCACTGATCTCGTCGCTGACAGCAACCGAGAGGTCCGTGTCGTACATTTCAAAGTAGGCTTTCTTCAGCAGATCAATCTCTTCGTTCGTACGGCCCATGAGCACCGAGTAGAGCAAATGATCCGACGTGCCGACGCCTTTGATCGCGTGATACAGAATGTAAGCTTCGGCCTGGGGCAGGCTGAAGCAAATGAGCTGCAGCAAGTAGCCGAAAGCGCCCGAGGTCTCGCTCTTGACCAACTCACGGAGCGACTGGCCGTGCACCTCCTTGTAACGGAGCGAGACGAGTCCGCGGTCATTGGGCGAGAGAGCGCCAATGAGTTCCACGAGTTTCTTGTCGTCCGTACCGACACCGTCACACGCGGCGTGGATCTGCTCCACGACGGCGTCGACAGAGGCCGGGAACCGCGTCTTTTCCTTTTTGTACGCATCGAATGCAGACGGAGGATAGAGGCTCAGCATGTTGCGTGCGAGGACTTGGATCGCTGAAACTGAAATGAGCTGCTCGAAGCAAATTGGATACTGCGTGGCCTACGTGACACACAAAGTGACGTCGCCAAGACCAAAAAACTGATTTTTTTGTCTGCTGGACCCATGTTGATTTTATTCACGATCTGATTGGCTGTAAATCGGAGCAGAGCCCACACTCGACAAAACCGCAAAATGACGGATAAGCGCAAGGTGCCGATCGATATTCAGTATAAGCGGCTCCTCGGTATGCTGCCAACTGCTTCATGCGCGTCTCTTGCAGGAACTGTTCTAACATGTTCTAACACTCGTAACCGCGTCCAGATGCACTGGTAGATCGTCGCATTGTCCCGACCAAGTGGCTGGAGCAACTCAAGCACATTCGCGACGCCATCGCCGCGCTGTATCCGGAGCTGCCATTGGCCAACGACCAGCTGTCGCAGTTTTGCACCAATCAGAAATCGAGGCACGAGACGCTCACGTATTTCGACTGCAAGTTCATTTTCCAGTGTCTTGAGCACTCGGAAGACGGTGCAGGAAAGAACTTTTTCGGGCAGGTGCGGCGAAAAAAACCCCAACAAGACCATTGCAAGGCTGGGACGAGTGTGAATTATTGAGGCACTGTGTTTATTGACTGGCTATGCTGTGCTGTTGTTGCTGTTGTTGCTGTGTTGCTGTTGTTGCTCTGTTGCTGTTGTTGCTGTGTTTTTGTTGATGCTGTGTAGTATACGTCCCCTGTGCTCAAGCGTTGGAGTGTCCTGCTCCGCCAGTATGAGAAAAACAATGTCTTTGCGGCCGAAGCGGCGCGCATTATTGCGCAGAATACGGCATTCGAGATGTAGGTGTGAGGTGTGTAAAAGAACGTGGACAAGTGGGATGCTTAGTAGAGTATCTCTCTCTCTCTTCATTTTTCGTGCTTGTGGTGACCAGTCCGTTTTTGAGAAAGTCGATCCAGCAAGACGAGAAGCAGATTGCAGACAACAATCGAAAGATGGCGGTCAGTGGATAGTCTTTTGTTGTGTGGACGTCGAGTTGTGCGCAACCGTTGAAGCTTATTGATGTCGTTTGTCTCCTCCTCTGGTCAGGATCTGACGAGAAGGATTGCAGAGTACAAGCGCAAACTTGAGGCCTCGTGTGCTGACATGGGCATCGCGGTGCGTGTTTCTTTTTTTTTCATGTCGCCTCCGAGCATCTGGTTACAGACGTGACTGGATGTTTTGATGCGCTAGGGGGAGAACTTTCGTCAAGAACTGCGACGCTTGCCACTAGAATTGCCATTCATATTCGACCAAATAGCAACGACAGTATGTTGTGTCGAAATTGATGGTGCTATCGAGTATCATCAGGCTCTCCAGAGTTATCTGCACGACTGTGAGGTTCCCACCGTGATATCATCAGCAGAGCTTGTAGCTTCGCCTTGTTCACAGAAGGGTACAAAGAGCAAGAAGAAGGGTAAGAAAACGGCTGAAGCGACTGAAGCACGTGAGACCACGACGGAGGAGCCGTTCGAGCTAGTTGTCAAGCCACACATATTTTTTGATGCTCTTGCAGAACTGAAACAAGCCAGCGAAGAGCTGGTTGCAATGAATGCGGCATCGGATTATGAAGTGGGGGTGGCAAAAATCAGCTGGGACGTTTCGCCCGAAGATTGTAATAGCACGGCTAATGCTGATGTAATCGACTGGGGTATCGAAACGGTTGGGTCTGCTGAACCCGATGCTGCAGATGAAGATGCGCCGGTCGAGATTGACTGGGACATCACAACTTTGGACGTGGTGGAAGCCGTGGGCACGGAGAACGACACTGAAGGAAGGGAAGTTGTAGAAGCGGTGCCAAGTGTACCATCAACCACCCGTGTAGGGCTCCTGCATGAAAGTGAATTCCGCACACGTGTTCTCAATGATCTGCTAGAACTGCGAGCATTCCTCCGCCAGCGGCGAATTGAGCTATCTGGGAGCGACTTGATTGCCTTTGCAAACCAATTCCAGGGCTATTCTCGTAAGGATTCCATGCGATAGCTTCTTGTCATGACCAAAAGTGTTGCTGATAACATTGTTGTGGTGTACTGGTACGTAGCACTATTGGAACAGCAGAGCTCAGTGCAAGTCGAGAAGTTCCAGGCTGCCGTGGACAAAGCTGTATCTTTGCTGACCAGCAGACGCCTGCAGCAATTGGTACTCATCGAAACCTCGGAGCGATATTTGGACAGACACGTTGCAAGTCTAGAGATGCTGACCAAGCACATGGACAAATGCCGCCGTGAGATTCACGATCTCGAGGACAAGAATGTGAGCTTGTTGGATGCCGCGAAGAACGCTCAGCTGCAGATCAGTTCACTTATTGCCACAACGAAGCAGTTGAAGAAGGAGGTACGTCGATGTTTGTGTCTTGCAATTCGACCATCTTTGAACGTACTAACTGCTTGCATTGCCAACAGCTGGAAGCTGCGCTACCGCCTCTCTTCAAGGGATACAAAGTGAACATCGTCGGTGAAGTCAACAGCCTCTAGCTTGCCTACATCTTCTTGCCTAAGTATATCAAATAAACGCGGCTCGCGTGCTGCGACTTGCAACGCTGAGTGATCGAAGTACAACGCACGTTTACATTCACAGGTACACTTTCAATTCACTGACTAGGCTATCTAGCTGCTTGCAAGTGAGCACTTCGAACATTGGTCAAAGCTGCTGGATGTACGCACTCGATTCTTGCTTACAGCGTGACGAGCGCAAGCAGAATCGTAAATGCGGTCAGCATTGTAACCATCTCGACCGGCGCCGCACCAGATGTGTCTTCACTTACAGCGTCCGAGCCTGCCGACTTGCTCTCGCTCTTGTCCTTTTCGTCTACTGCTCCATCAAAGAACATGACGCTGCCCGAGCCGGAGTAGCTTGCAGCAAGGTTATCAGGTAGTAGCACCATGATCGTGGTAGGCAGATCCGTTTCAGTCGCCGACATGGCATCAGTGGTGGACTCCAGATCATCCGATCCAGAGCTTGAGAAGTCCAACGTGGCTTGCGCGCGTCGCAACGCGTTCAAAGGGTGGACAGTAGCCTCATCACTTTCAGGGATTTCCACATCAACTTCCGGTTCCCAATCATAGCCAGCAGCGCTAGTCGTTCCCAGCTTTGCGGCAACAACAAGTGTAACAATGAACTGGATTGGCTTCATCACAAGGTTGGCAGGTGAGAGATCGACGGTGAGCTTTGATGCTGTGGCAAATTAAGTAATGAGGTTCGGAGGACTGCCAAAGCCATTGACATAGTCACGTTCACTCACCAAGCGTCGTCTCTTACGGCCAAAGCTGCTTCGCTCGACATCAATCATCTCCCTTTCTCCCTTCTTACAACCATCCATCACATCTGCAACGACTGAAAGCACAAAAGAGAGCCCCGGTAGTCTACCATCTCGCAGGTATGGAAGGCTTGCACATTCATGTGGCTCACGCTCACAGTGTGACGCTTGCTGGAACTACAGGTAGGACTGATTCGCGATCAGCAATTTCGTGCTTCGCTACATGTGCACCTTGGGCCCGCGTATGTACGTAATCAGGTCTCGGTGGACGCTACTCCTATCTCCATTTCCAAACTCTTCCCACGAATGGTCTTTGTCCGATGACACCGGCACTTGAGAACCAGATATCGGCCCATCATGGGGATGTACGATTGATCCATCGGCAAACCTCAATTCCACCTTTCTCAATCACCCATATATGCTTTCAGTGCATTGACCCACCAGCAACCCCAGCCGACTGCGTCAACAACCCGTCAGCAGCGCCGCCTCTGATATTTCCACTGCAACAAATCATCATGACTCGCCTTTGTGGACACTTGTTTCAACAACACTTTAGCTCATCACTTTGTCGAGAAAGGACGATTTGTATGCGGAAAGTCTACCTTGCACATTTCGAAAGGCATCGAGGACGAGCCCGCTTTTTTGTCTTCCTCCCAGAGCAGCTCTTGTTACATCAGGCCGACTCGACATTGCAGTGGCATCTTGACCCGGTCTAGAAAAGTTATGCAACGACTGGAACCGCTGATCTTCGTAGTCCAGAGCATCTCTATCCATCACTAGAAGTCCACCCGTTGACAGTACGCTCATCCTATCGTCACGTCCGGTAGTCTCGGATTGTACTTCACCCGCAATAATCCACTTCTGACTTACACATCTTACACCCCGCCATGTGGAGGATATCCTCCTGGAACAGGGTACTGCACTTGACGTTCTCCGCTAGTTGGATAGCCTCCCCGTGCATAGTTTCCCCCGGGAGGCATCGGGTAGCTAGGCGTGACTCCATGTGGACCCTGGTAGCCTGACGGTCCAGGGGATGAGTATTGCTGAAACGGTTGGTTTAATGGCTGTTGACCAGTGGGCGGATATTGTTGATACGCTTGACTCGGTTGGTAGCCAGGATGCTGCGTTCGAGGATACGCTGGCAATTGCGGGGACGAGTAACCAAGCTGTGACGACGGATAGTTCGACTGTTGCGATGATGTATAGCTGTCCTGGGACACGTAGCTGGAACGGGATAGCGAATAGCTTGGCTGCTGCTGGGGTGGGTAGGTCGACTGCTGCTGCTGTGGGTAGATCGAATGCAGCGGCGGATAGATTTGCTGGTGCTGGGATGGGTAAATTGACTGCTGAAGCGGCAAACTTGGCTGTTGCTGGGACGTATATGCCGGTGTAGACGGCTGAGGATAACTAGCCTGCTGCGGTGGCGGATAGCTTGGCTGGTGCTGGAGTGGGTCGACCCACTGCTGAGACACCTGAGGATAGCCAGTCTGGTATGGCTGCTGCTGAGGTGGGAATCCAGGTTGCTGTGATTGTTGAGCATAGCTCAATGACTGAGAGTAGTCTTGTTGCTGCATTTGCTGCATTGAGTGCACGGCTTCTTGCTGCCGAGAAGAAAGGGTGCCCGATCGTTCTTGTAGCAGTTTTCGTTGTTCTTCATCCTGTTTTCGTTGTTCTTCATCCCGTTTTCGTTGTTCTTCATCCCGTTTTCGTTGTTCTTCTTCCATTCGTTGCTGTTTTTGTCGTCGCTTTTCTTCTAGTCGTTGGCGCAATTGTTCTTGCTGCCGCTCTTCTTCTAGCAGCTGTTGCACGTGTTCTTGCTGCCGCTGTAGTTGTTCTTCTTGTCGTCGCTGCTGCAGTTCTTCTTCACCCCGCTTTCGTTGTTTCTCCTCATCCTGCTGTCGTTGTTCTTCTACTTGTTGCTGCCGCAGTTCTGCTTCAGCCCGTTGTCGCTGTTCTTCTTCCAGTCGCTGCTGCAGTTCTTCTTGCTGACGCTTCTGCAGTTCTTCTTCAGCCCGCTGATATTCTTCTTCCAGTCGCTGTCGTTGTTCTTCCTCATCCCGCTGTCGTTGTTCTTCCTCATCCCGCTGTCGTTGTTCTTCCTCATTCCGCTGTCGTTGTTCTTCCTCATCCCGCTGTCGCTGCTCTTCTTCCAGTAGCTGCTGCAGCTTTTCCTCATCCCGCTGTCGCTGTTCTTCTTCTTGTCGCTGCCGCAGTTCTTCTTCAGCCCGTTGTCGCTGTTCTACTTCCAGTCGCTGCTGCAATTTTTCCTCATCCCGTTGTCGCTGCTCTTCTTCCAGTCGCTGCTGCAGTTGTTCCTCATCCCGCTGTCGTTCCTTTTCCTCATCCCGCTGTCGCTGCTCATTCTCCTGCCGCGGCTCACTCTCCTGCCGCTGTCGTTGTTCTTCTTCTTTAGTCTGTTGCTGCTGCAGTTCTTCTTGCTGACGCTTCTGCAGTTCTTCTTCAGCCCGCTGTTGTTCTTCTTCTTCCAGCCGCTGCAGCAGTTGTTGTTCTTCATTCCTTTGTCGTTGTTCTTCTTCTTGCCGCTGCGGCAGTTGTTGTTCTTCTCGTTGTTCTTGTTCTTCTCGCTGTTCTTGTTCTTCATCTTGTTGTTGATACTGCTGCTGCTGTTCTCGTCGTTGCCCTTTTCGTTCTTGCCAGGGCAAGTGCAGAGGCCGTTGCTGTGAAGAAGGATAACCAGAAGTTCGCAGCCCCGGCATCTTGACGTGAGAACGACTGCTTTCTTCCTGCAACTGCACCCCGCGCTCCGAAGTGACTGTCTGTGATGAATGGCTGCCTGACTCCGAACTTGGCAAATGATGCAGATCTTGATGTAGAGCTGCGTCACGTACTACACATTCGTCGAGAGGAGATTGGGACTTACCAGAAGCTTGTTTCTCTGCTGGTACTGCACCGAATGTGGCACCGTGGTCTTTGGACGATAAACGTAGACTGGTCGAGCTCGAGATATGCCTCATACTGTCCGATGAATTAGCACCAGTAAGCGTTCTCCCACTGAGCCCGCCAGACGACGCAGACCAACTAGATCCCTTCATCTTCGTTTTAGAATGATCGCGAGGTGCATCAAACACACCTAGCACCAGCTTCTTGTAGTCTCCACTCGTCTCTTCACTGATGCGATTCCTCAGTTCTTTTCGATACAGTTTCTTGTAAGCTGCCTTCACATACGGCAACACTGACTGGTAGCGCACCAACGTCGTGCTCAGCCCCGTCGTATCAGTTCCACAAGCTTTCAATGCCTGTTCAAAGACCTCTGCGATCGCAGGGTAAGGATTCATCGTACACTGCACCAAGTACTTGAGGCCTCTCTTTGCATCGCCACTAAACTCCTTGTCCACAGCCTTCGCAATATCATTGCGGTACTGAGCCACGTACACCGTGTCCATCATCTTCAGAAACTCTGGTGGAGCTTTGACCAGAATGCCAACGAAAACTTCTTCCTTCGTCCCCAGTCGCCCCTGTCCTGCTTTATACAGGGCCACAGCTTCTTCCTCGGCTTTAGCAGCAGTATGCACTGCCGGGTCGTACGGCACTTGAGGAGCCTGCAGACGAGCCAGGACGACCTTGCGAAAGTCGCCACTGAGCTCCGAGTCCATTGTGACCACCACGTCCTGCCCAATCAAGTCGTAGTAGACGTTCTTGAGGATACTCAACTCCTCGTTCGTCCGGCCAGCGATCACCTGCATGAGGAGAGTGGCAGGAGCGGCCTTGGTGTCTTTCGTGGCAGCGCTCAAGATCTGCGCCTCGAGCTCCGGCAGCGGCGTCGCGAGGAGCCGCAGTAGACGGACTAGGGCCTCGTCTGACGTCTCATTGTCTGGAAACGCGCTCTGGAGCGACTGGCAATACAATTCCTGGTAGCAAAGGGCGATGACGTGACGCGTTTCGGGCGACTGGCTGCCCAAGTCCGACAGCAGCGTCTCCTGGTCGAAGCTCGTTCCTTTGCACGCCTCGTGGATCTGCTGGGCGCGCTTGACGACGTGGGGCGGGTAGGGGATCTCGACGCCCTGGAACGCGTCGTGCACTGACGAGGGGTACAACTCGAGCGTCATGTGGGAGAAGGGGAAAGTCTCAGTTAGCGACTTGACTTGACTTGACTTGACCACGTCCGTCGTGAACTGGATAGTTATGGGCGCGAATTGGTTGGTGGAAAAGCGAACAACTGGATATTCTGCGGGGACGGATGGAGTGTGGACACGGATGGCATCGTCACGGGCAGATAGATGTTCGGTCTAAAGTAGACATCTCGGATCCTAGCATTGGCTGGAATAACGACAACAGCGGTGTTGCTATGTTGGACCGCTTGCCAGCAAAGGGTATTGTCAGCTGCATAGACGCGGCGCGGGATGTCAACACTCGCTTTGGGATCGCTATTTAAAGAGAGAGCCACCGAGTTCTATCTGCCCCCACCTGGATATCTGAGCGAGCATGACTGCTACTTGACTTCAACAGCTTGGTGCAACTCTCTGTCAGCCGCTTATGGCTTACGAACTTACTCTTCTACTAGCTTTGTCTGTGTCGCATACTCTTCGCTCGCGACTGCATCGCTTCTCAGCCCAGCGGTAGCTTGCGTCGATATCCCGATGGGTTTTGCACTTGCTTGAGTGCACATTGAAAGAACGATCGTGTCGCAGACCGCCTTCCACTAAACGGTCTGCTCCTGGCGGTCTTTTTGCTTGCAGCCGGGTCCACGAAGGAGAGCATCGCGATTCTAGCGCTACTACGATCGATATGCAAGCTTGCTGGCAGTGGCATTCGAGCTCCGTCTACCCCTTCTTACCATTCTTACCGGTTGACGGACGTTCTTCGGTGCATCATCGCTCAGACGTGTACTGGTACAATAAACGAATAGTGAACAGCCGTGAAATTGCATTCTGTCTGCACTCGAAGATGATGCCTGTCTGACTTGTGAACCACCTGCTTTCGAGGAATTCGAATGCTGGCGGTCGCGGAACCGATTCGCCACATTAGCGCCACTAACCACGGGACAAGAGACGGGTACGCGTGAAGGACGGAATAGCACTTACCGAGGTGAGCAAAGTTCGATTTTACGTTGTGCACACTAGATTAGACAATTTCCTGCCAAGCGTTCGAGTCGCCATTCTGCAACATCGACTAGACCGTATCCAGCATGTATACGACCGGAGTCCTACCTATCTTTATCACAAATGGCTTCATTTCCTAGTCACCTGTCTCACGGCTGCAGTCACGGCCTTTGCCGTCAATTCCGATATCTTTGCTAATAGCTCCTCCAAGCTGCGCGAGGGTGATGTGAATATGTATGGGCTGCGGTAGCACTCAAATTCGAAGCACATCTCCGTTCGAAAATTTGGGAATTCATCACCAATTCGCTGCGATTAATGTCCTTCACTAAAATTTAGCGCAAATATACAAGGACATGACAGATTCGATCTCTACTGTTTTAACACTTTGATTTTCACTGTGAGCAAGCATTCATCTGAGGACCTTTTCGAAAATTCCTGCTGAAAATTTCCGATACCCTTCCACCATCGATACCAACTACCAGAGTACACGAGCGAGTCAAAGGCACTACTGCACATCATGGACGCGGCATTGAGCGAGGCCCTGCGACGGGGCAACCCGGTAGTATTTTTTGACATCTCCATCGGGGGTGTACCCGTCGGCCGTCTGCGTCTAGAGCTGTTCAAGAAGGACTGCCCGCGCACAGTCGAGAACTTTAGGTGAGCCGCACGCAGAATTGGGTGGGTGGGTGACTGGGCGCTGCTAACGATGCAGTCTTTTCCATACTCGACATGGCCTTGGTCTGCTTGCTCTTCGCCTTGCACCACTCCTCACTATGTCCACAGAAAGTTCTGCACAGGGGAATACAGGTGCGACCATGTGACTGACAGGTTGATTGAAGGGGCCTTTCGACTGACGCGTTGTTGTCGACGCGCAGGAAATCAGAGCTGCCGGTGGGCTACAAAGGCTCTACGTTCCATCGCGTGATCAAGGACTTTATGGTGCAGGGCGGCGACTTCCTAAAGGTGAAGCTGCTCGTTGTATACAGTTTGTGGTGCAATGCTTTCGTCGTAGTGACGGTGCACGGTGGTCGCTGAACGTAGGGCGACGGCACTGGTCGAATCAGCATCTACGGCGACAAGTTTGACGACGAGAACTTCATGCACAAGCACACGGAGCCTGGATTGCTGTCAATGGTATCTCCTGCATCCCTTTTTTCGATCTCCCATTGCCAGTGCTACAACTTTGCTGACCTAGTTCTGCTCCTGCTGCTGCGACAGGCCAACAGCGGGCCCGGATCGAACGGCTGCCAGTTTTTCCTCACGTGTGCGTCGTGCGACTGGCTGGACGGCAAGCACGTGGTCTTTGGCAAAGTGCTGGACCCAGCGTCGCTGCTTCTGCTACGCAAGATGGAGAGTGTCCCAGTAGGACCTAATAGCAAGCCCAAGCTCGGCATCACTATCACTGAGTGTGGAGAGCTCTAGCGCGATGGCGCAGTGACGAAATTACCCGCTGAGCTTTTTTAACAACTCGACTCGATCGCGACGCGCCGTTTCTATTTCTTAAAACCTTCGACGTTATTAGTGGACGAGAGGCTGAGGTTTTTATCGATGGACCCGGTGGTATCCTCTTGTGAGGGGCCCGGCCCATTGATTTTTGTTTGGTACGGAAACAGAGACCATCACTCTTCGTCCGACTACCTCGCCCCGCCCCCTCCACTCGCAGAAACACACACAGCCACATCCGACCATGAGCAAACGCGACTACTTCTTGCAGAAGGGTCTGCAGATGAAGCGCCTTGACGAACAGATCACTTCCTCCGCGACGCTCAAAGGCGGGAGCGCGTCACGCGAAGTACGTCCCATGCGTAGCCGTTTTTCTTGCAGTTTGTTACTTCCCTAGCGTTACTTTAGGCGGATCTTGGCTTACTGGAGGTGCTTTTTCCTTTTGACCAATCGAATCGACAGGTGACAACGTACCGCGAGTTGTGCCCTCCCGGCACTCCTGACAGTCATATCCAGGAGATGATTGGCCAATGCAAAGGCGACGCCCAGCGCATGGAGAACGTCATTAGTGAGCTATGGGAGGACTACCGAGGCCACGGCCAGGAAGACGCGTGGGCCACTGTCTCCAAGAAGACCGCCAAGAAGAAACACGTGCGGACTGTTGCTCTGTCTCTCTGTCTCTAGTTGTTTCCTGTTGAGTTGTATGCTGACACGCGTGTGTCTTCTACTCTGTTCCACTATAGGAATCGTCTTTCCAGCGCTCTCATTCGTCACAGAAGACACAGAACACCCAGCAGCAGCTGCAGCAGGACGATCACGTCGATGCATCGCATAACGACGACGCGCTGACCCGCAGATCGTCCGAACGTCTTTCCTCAGGAGGCCGTGGAAGCATGAGAGGCCGAGGCACGTCGTCCTCGCGCGGCGGACGTGGAGGCCGCGGGGGTCGCGGTCGTGGTGGCGCCATCGTCGCAACGACCAGCAGGTTGCATCATAGCAGGGACAATGACGTGGACAGTCCAGAGATGGACGACAATTGTACCGATGGCACGAGCTCGTCGAATGAAACGTCCGCGCAGCAGTCGTCGAAGTCGAATAAAGACTCGAAGAGGGAACGGGGTGTAAAGGCTGCTGCGAAAGCAACCACACCGCGGTCCGTTGCTCAGGCACCTCCTGTCGTTTACCCCGTGTTGACAGGCGCTTGGACAAAGAAGTTGAATGTCAACGCTGCCAGTTCAACCCCCAAGACTGTGGCAGAACCCGCTTCCACGCCTGCTCCGACACAAGCTTCTACAACGATGTCGGAGGCAGCCGAGAAAGAGACAGCACCTTTGCTGGATAGCGAGGATGCTGCTGTTACTGACACGTCGGATGTCGTCGATCTCGCTAGCCCGAAGGAAATGACTCAGCAGGAAAGGAATGGTACAAAGATACCAAACTCCAACACTAGTGAACCAGGAGACGGGAATGCTACTGTCGCTGAACAGACTGAATCTGTGGAGACGGTGTCCAAGACGTCGAGTCCGCAAGCTTCCCCCACGAAAGTTGTTGACGAAGAGACGACAACGAATCTTGAGACTACTACCGAGACTTCCAACTCGGATATTAGTGCTGGATGGGGTACTCTGGATGTATCCACGTCAACGATGAACGAGTGGTCTTCATCGACTACTACAAATGCGAATGAACCCAAAAAATCGTCGGCCACGAACGCATGGGCGCGTAGCAGCCCTATCCTCTCCCCTCCTGCTAGCAAAGAAGACGTCTCTTCACCCAAGTCACCTGACGCAAGACCGGTGGCTGTAGCGGAATCTCCAAAGGATACCAATGTGTCTCGTCCGAGTGGGTCAGCATCGACTAGTCCTCGGCCGTATCTTAAGATGGGCAAGTGGGACAGCGCCGCAACGCCGAACCTGTCGCTACAGTTTGGCAGCTTCTCTCTCAGTGGCATGGACACAGCTGAGCCAGCGTCGCCGCGTGGTTGGGCCTCAACGACTACGACCACTACGACCAGCTCGAACAGTGGTGGTAACACTGTGATTAAATCCTCGACCACTCAAAGTGGATGGGGCACCTCAAACGGCTCGCTTGAGAAGACGCTCTCGCCCGACCGCAGCGTGCAGTCTCGTATGCAGGAAGCAACTGCCATAAAAGCTGCGAGTTCTGTTCCTCCTGGACTGTCGGCAGAGTCAGGCCGTGTGACACCGACCACAGGCCAATCTCCCCGGTACGCACCATCGGCCCCGTCCCCTGCATCCCTTCCTAAGCCTGATGAAGTCAAGCGTGGTACCCCGACGCGTACCCAGACGTTACCTTTCCAAGCTTCAGGCGGATCTGCAACGCAAACAAAGAAGACAAACATTGGCTACGGTGCGGGTCTATACCAAGCCTCGTACGGCCAGTACTCGATGGATCTTGCCCGTGCTGCTGCCGCGTCAGCCCCTGGACAGCTCTCGGCAGGCTCTGGAACGCCAAAGGGCGCTGTTGCTCGTGGCGGCACTACTCAGATTGCGTCTCAATCACCGCCTACCCGTGGACAACAGTCTGTAATTCAGACGCAGCAAATGCCTTTGCAGCAATCAACACAACAGCAGCAGCAACAGATCCAGCAGCAAAGCGAGCTCAAACAAATTCAACAGCAGCAAGCCCAGCAGCAAGCCCAGCACCAGCCGCAGCAGAGCCAGTCTCTGCAGCAGACGACTGCCCAGTTGCACCAGCAAGCCCAGGCTGGAATGCAGCAGGGTTACCACTACGCCCCGCCTCCTCCACCTGGCATGGCGCTGCCGTACAATCCATACAATTACGCTGGGTACTACCAGGGTTACGGCTACTACCAGAATCCGCAGGTTAGTACTCGATGTTTGCATGTGTGACGGTGGATCTGCTCACAATCGTGTGTATTGCTTTCGTGATGCTGCTTAGTTTGCACAGTATAGCCCGCGTACGCAGTACCCGCCGCGAGGCAGCATACCGTACGGAGTCGAAGGGCCCGTTCCAGGATTTTCCAATCCGCCAAATATGCCCTACCAAGACCAGCACATGATGGCCCAGCAGCATGAATACGCAGGAGCTGTGCCCCAGGGCTTTGGCGAGATCAATGCCGCGTACATGCAGCAACCGCCGATGCAGCAGGGTGGCCACCACGGCCACCAAAATGGCCCACAGAGTCATGGTAAGGGCCGTTCGGCGTCTGCTGCTGGTGGAGTTGGTGCGCAGCAGGCCCATGGTCAGCACGGAATTGCTGGTATGCAGGGGTACCAAAACGGAGGTCGTGACCACGCATCGCCGCCAGTGCCTAACGCGTCGGCGGCCATGACTGGTTCGTACGGCCAGCATTATGGCTGGGCGGGCAATTACGGGGCGCAACCCGTGGGCGGATGGGGCCACATGATGCCACAGGGCTACCAGCAGTCGCCATCGCAACAGCAGCAGCAGGCTCAACAACAGCAGCAACAGCAGCAGCCGAACGCGCACCAGCAGAGCTATCACCAATACGGCAACAGTGGCGTCCAGGCTGGCAACACCTCGAACGACGTAAACCAATCGCGCTGGAGCAGCTCATAGGCGAGCACTTGTGCGCGACCTACCAGCGTTCTGCGCTCCGGCCGGCCGACTGTAACCGTATGTCGGATCTCAGCGCCATGGCGTTCTTAGCTAGGTACTGCAAAGCAAATAGGCAGCTCACTGCGCCAGTAGCGGCGCAGGCATCAAGAGGCGGGGGAGAGGGATAATGATAGTCGGACGTGTATTACTAAGAGGGTTGCAAGCGTCTTTCCTGTCATCGCTGTGCTGGCTCGCCGTTGTCGCTGAGAGAGGTCCCTACTGCTCACGTGGCGATTGGACGAGCTCGCTACGTATTGAATCTTTGCGAATTCGTATTGTCTCCCAGTACAGTCGTCCAGTGCGTCATCATGCACTTGACGCCAAATTTGTCCACTCAGCGGTGTCTCAGCCGGAATAAAAACATCCGAAACGACGTGAAGAACCGCGTTTCAACAAGTCTGTGAAACCGCTTGAGTCACGTCTACGAGTAACTTGAAGTGCAATCGCAGCAGCAGCAGAGAGCAGCAGTAGCAGTGATCCCTATCCTGCTTGCACTTACTTGACTGCTCGTCTGCCGCCTGTTGCCGGTTCAAAGTCTATTGTCCCTCTTATAGACCCGTGCACACCGACTTCGTCCGAAACAGCGACTCAGCCTGACGCAGCCGCCGATAGCCTTCTCAGACAGGCGTGAGCCGTGCTGCTGCGAAATTTTGGTCCGGACGTTTCGCGAGTGCGTGGCGCACGAAAGTCGCACAGTTAGAAAGCTGCGCTTGGTGAGAGCAGACAGCTGATGTGGCAGCAGCAGAAGTAGCAGCAGCAGTAGTGGCAGCCGCGGCAACTGTTGTTAATAGAGCCTCTCCCGCGACCCTCGACGTCGTTCCTAGCCGTCTCATTGTCGCTTCATCTGTAGTGCAACACGACGCGCCTTGCTCCGAACTACCAGATCAACGGTGTCTCTGCCGATCTTCGTGCTTTTTTTATATTGCACTTTTGAGGAGGAAGGACCAACGATTGAACACAAAACGGACTGCTGGCCTTTGCTCACTCACTGGCCGTTTCCCTTTGACCTTTTTCTACCAAAAGAACGACGCAACAAGCGGGGGAGAACGGCAGCTGGCCGCCACCTTTAGAAGCTGCCAAGTGATGGCTACACACACACGTCGACCTCGAATCTCGCCATACTTGCGCTCACTTGATCTCCACTCGGCTATATGTGGCACCACTCGTCTCTGCCTCGTCGTTCCCCTGCGACATGTCCTCCCCCAGCCGATTCGAACCCGTCACCGCAGCTTTCGTCATGCTTCGTTCCCCTTTCGACGGCTCTTCGAGATCGCCCTTGGCTCGTCTGCGTTTCCCTTTGGCGCAAAACCGCCTGAGATGCCCATCCCCCCTCAACGTCAACGAGCGCCGACCGACTGTGTGCCCCACCCCGAGCCATTGCGCCCTTGGAGTTGCACAGTGTGACTTTTGCCAGCCAACGCGCACATTGTAAGCCGGCCACGACCATTCGAACCTCCACGTCCACACACCATCAACAACCAGGCCACCGCTTTTTGCGTGTCTGTCTGTCTCACCCCCCCGCTTTCCGTTTGAGATCTTGTTCCACCAATGGACGAAGGCGCACGCGTGTGGGTCACGGACCCCGCGAAGAGCCACGACCGCGTGTGGCTCGCCGCCCGCGTCCTCGAAGCGCAAGCGACCGCTCTGCGCGTTGCCATTGACAATGACAACGACGAGACGAGCGACGACCTCCGCGACGTGCACTTAGCGTTTGCCGCGTCGGGGGCGTGTGTGAACGTGCTGCCGCGCAATCAGGCGGGCGAGCAGGACCAGCGGGACCTCGTGGCGCTGCCGCATCTGCACGAAGCGTCGATTCTCCATGCGCTGCGGCTGCGCTACGCGCGGCACGCGATCTACACGCACATTGGCGACATTCTGATCTCGATCAACCCGTTCGAGCGCCTCCCGCAGCTCTACGGCGACGACGTGCTGCAGCGATACGCGTACGAGGATAGGGCCACGCAGTTCAGTGACACCAGCGCGAATGACGCCAGCGAGCCGCATCTCTTCGCCGTGGCGCGAGCCGCGTACATGGACATTGTGCAGAGCGGACGCAGCCAAGCGATCCTCATTAGCGGCGAGAGCGGCGCGGGGAAGACCGAGGCCACGAAGATTATCATGACGTACTTTGCCATCACGTGCGGCGCACGGAAGAGCAACGACAAGCACGAGGCGGTAGCTGCGGAGGACTCGAAGTTGTCAGCACTGCCGTCGTCACGACCGACGATAGAGGAGCAGATTCTGCAGTCAAATCCGATTCTCGAAGCGTTTGGCAACGCGCGCACGGTGCGGAACGACAACAGCTCGCGCTTTGGCAAGTTCATTGAGCTGCGCTTCCGAGACGAGCGACGACGGCTCGCAGGCGCTCGTATTCGAACGTATCTCTTGGAGAAGATTCGAGTGATCAAGCAAGCAACGAACGAGCGCAATTTCCACATTTTCTACGAGCTCTTGAGTGCCGACAGCTCGTGTGTGAGCGAAGAGCAGCGACAGGCTTTGGCGATCACGGGCGGACCGCAGAACTTCCGTCTATTGAATCAAAGTCGGTGCTCGAAGCGACGCGACGGTGTCAAAGACGCGGTGCAGTTCCGTGCGACTCAACGAGCAATGCAACAGCTGGGAATGAGCGAATGCGAGATCCACGGCGTGCTGGAGATTGTTGCAGCAGTGCTACACATGGGCAATGTGGATTTCGAACAGGTGCCACATCAGCGCGAAGACAACGTGTTTGCCGATGAAGCGCGTATTGTGACGTCGAGTACTGGCGAGTGCGACCACTTTACAAAGGCAGCGGAGCTCCTAGGCGTATCGACGGAAGCGTTGGATCATGCACTGACGAAACGCCAGCTGCACGTGTCCAACGAGACACTAGTCGTGGGAGTTGACGTTGCACAAGCTCGCAACACTCGGAACGCAGTGACGATGGAGTGCTACCGCCTGTTGTTTGAATGGCTTGTTGCACGCGTCAACGACAAGCTGCAACAACAGCCATGGAGTGCGGGTCGTGGCGATGAAGAAGATGATGAAAAGGAGGCTGCTGATTTCATCGGGCTGCTTGATATCTTTGGATTCGAAGATATGGCGGAGAACTCGTTCGAACAACTCTGCATCAATTACGCCAATGAGGCGTTGCAACATCAGTTCAATCAGTACGTGTTCGAAGAGGAACAGCGGCTGTACCGAGACGAGGGTATTTGCTGGAGCTTTGTCGATTTTCCGAACAACCGCGCGTGTCTGGAGTTATACGAACGCCGACCAATTGGTATTTTTTCACTCACGGACCAAGAGTGTGTCTTTCCTCAAGGCACAGACCGTGCCCTCGTAGCCAAATACTACCAGGAGTTTGAGAAGAAGACTCAGCACCCGCATTTCCGACCTGCACCTCTCATCCAGCGCTCAACTCAGTTTGTCGTGGCACATTATGCTGGCTGCGTCACTTATACCATTGATGGTTTTCTTGCGAAAAACAAAGACTCCCTTGGCGAGAGCGCGGCGCAGTTGTTGGCGGGATCGTCCAACCCGCTTATCCAAGCCCTTGCCGCAGGATCGATTGACGGAAACGAAGCCCGCACGGATGCAGAAGTTGAAGGTTCTGGCGGTCGGGCCCGTCGACGTGCCAAGTCGGCCATCGCAGCAGTCAGCGTGGGCACGCAGTTCAAGATCCAGCTAAATGAGCTCCTAGCTACTGTCCGCGCGACGACGCCTCGGTATGTGCGCTGCATCAAGCCCAATGATTCGCATGTGGGCTCGCTTTTTCACAGCAAACGAGTGGTCGAGCAGCTACGCAGTGGTGGCGTGCTCGAAGCTGTAAGAGTCGCCCGTGCAGGCTTCCCTGTGCGTCTATCGCATAAGCAGTTCCTCGATCGTTATCATCGCGTGCTGCTCTCGCTCTGCAAATCAGGCGACAGTGTTGTCAGAAAGAAACAAAGCAGTTGCAGCGAAATGGATGTGTGTCTACACCAGCTCATGCAAGTTCTTGCCGACAAAACGATGGAAGATGGAGATGGCGATGATGAACAAAATCGTCAGGCACGGCTCGGCGTCAGTCTTGGCAAGACGCGTGTCTTCTTTCGTCGGAAGCCATACGAGAAGCTGGAAAATCTCCGTGTATCTGTACATCAAGAGGCTAGCCTCGTCATTCAAAAACACGTTAGAGGATTCATGGCGCGCAGTAGCTACCGACACCTCCGCCGAGTTACTATCAAAACCCAAGCTCGCGTGCGAAGGCAACGCGCCTACCGATACGTTTGCTGGCTACGCGAAATGCAACGAGCCCGTGTACTGCAAGCCAGAATGCGTCAGCTGTGCGCGCGCAGCAGATTCCTTCGTGCTCGGGCAGGTGTGCTGGCGGTGCAGTGCCGCTTTCGATGCCGCCGTGCTGCAAGAGTTGTGGAGGTACTTCGTAAAGCACGTGCTGTGACTCGCATTTCCACAGCCTGGCGGCGGTCTGCAGCTCAGCGGAAGTACCGAAGGCTTTGCAGTGCTGTTTTAGCACTCCAGTGTGCAGCGCGTTACCATGCTGCTAAGCGGGCGCTGAAGGTGCTGCGTGAGGAGAGCCGAAATGTAGCCAAGCTGAAACAGGACAATGCGCAGCTCAAGGACGAACTGGCTGAATTACGTCGGCAAGTGCAAGTTATGGTGGCTCAAAGCATGTCCAAAGAATGTCCGCCGTCGCCGTTTCTCCCGTTAACAGTCGGCACCGTCCCTGCTTGCGATTCTTATCAAAAGACGATCGTGGTGTCATCCAACAATGCATCCCCAGAAGTCGAGAGCAATCAGCGCGACTGCCAAATCGAAGTGGAGCTTGAAGTTACGGTTGATCTTCGGTCAATGGCAAGTGGCGATGATCATGGTGACACGAGCGGCTGTGATGTCGATCGCACCACAGAGTCGCATGACAGTCGGCAGATATCAAAGCCTCAGACACCGAAGGTGCGCCGCGTCCGCCGTTCCAGCTTACCACCTATACTTGCTTCTGCAAATGAAGATGCAGAAGTCGAAGATATCACTCCACCTGCGTCGCCTTGTGCCCCTCGATCTCGTGATCGACGCCACAGCTTGGATTTGTGGCGGCTGCAAGAGCTGAAGGTTCATAACGAAGCTTGTCAATTGCGTGAAGAAATTCGCGAAGTGGCTGCTGTTCAACCGTCACCAGAACGCCAGGTTCAGCAAGAAATCGCGCTCCAAAAGCTCGTTGCCGCGCAGATCAAGCGCGAGGCCATGCGGTTGCAGCTACAGGCGCCTGAGCTGGCACTGAAGATGGAAAACGACTTCAATGACGCTTCTGGATCATGCAAAAGTCAGCAAAGCCGTTCCTGCACCGTCGGCAGCCCCCTGCGTATCGTGACGCCATTGACATCGTACGGCCAACAGAGCTCTTCGCGCTGGAACATTGCAACACCTCGCAGTATGACGCACGCTACAGGCGGCTGCACGCCGGCTTATTTCGACAGCCCGGTTTACACTGGATCGTCGTACGCTGATGATCGCTCTGTGGATGGCGAGGATGATCTGTATGGACGAAACCGACGTTACTCAACGCTCCGACGTGCAGCATCCGCTGGCATGTACCGGTCACGCTCGTCTTCCAATGCTTCGACGTGCTATACCTCATCACTAGCCGTTCCTTCTGGAGTTGCTGTCCCCCGCTTCGCCAAGGCTCCGATCTGCTATGAGTGCGACTGTCAGTTTAACCTACTCGTGCGTCGCCACCACTGCCGTCAGTGTGGCCACTCATTCTGCTATGAACACTCGACGCGCCAGCTAGCACTTCCTCACTTGGGCTACGTGGCGGCTCAGCGCGTGTGCGATACCTGCTTTGAAGCGCATATCCAGGCCATAACATCTTACAAGTTGCCGTCTTTGGTCCGCCATCCAACAGACGCGTTGTCGACTTCATCGTTTGCGAGCTCGCCGCGCAACCTCGGAAGCGGCGGCGGCAGCTGCTGCAGTCTTGAGAGTCCAACTGAAGATGCAGCTCGAGTCGTTCCGCTGCAAACCCGACGCACGCCTTTCGTAGCGGTTGCTACTTAGGTCAAGCAGTTTGGAAAAAGTATCTATATGTTCCAAGAAATATACACATGGGCATTACTATCCTTCGACTGCGGCAAGACCAGTCGTCCTTCCTCTCGACGCCTTCGTCATTGTCGTCGACGCTGTCTGCCTTCTTCCCTCGTGGATTGTGTAGCAGCCTCGTCCTTCGCCTTCTGCTTGCAAGCCACTTTCGATTTCAGCGGTGCAAACGTCATGCGATGGATTGCACATGGTCCGTGCTTTGCTATAGCAGCAACATGAGCTTTTGTCGGGTACCCTTTGTGCTGCGCCAGTCCGTATTGCGGATACTGCTGATCGTATTCGCGCATAAGACGGTCCCGCGTGACCTTGGCAATGATGGAGGCTGCTGCAATGCTGTAGACCTTGGTGTCTCCTTTGACCACCGTCTCTGCAGACAGTTCCAGCGTCGGTGGCAGTTTATTGCCGTCCACTAGGACAAACGTACGATCCGTCTGCTGCAGTCGCTCCGCAACGTCATGCACTGACGTGGCCATGGACTCTAGTGATGCCTGCAGGATGTTGATCTCATCGATCCGCTGTGCGCTATTGACATGCACCGCGTAAGTGATACGCGGATGAGTCGTCAGGAGCTCGAATAGCTCTTCACGCTGGGACTCGACGATCTTCTTGCTGTCGTTCACACCAGCTATCGTCACATCCAGAGGCACGTGGCAAGCAGCAGCCACAACCGGACCTGCGAGTGGTCCTCTTCCAGCCTCGTCAACTCCAATAACGACTGAATAGCCTCCGGCTTCGTAGCGCGTCTCAAACACGCGCGACAGTGTGAACGTTGGTCCTTCTTGTGCGACTGTTGCAACTCGCTTCGCAGACGTTGATGCGCCTGGAGATAGAGCGGAGACAGAGTTTGTGACAGCGGATCTCTTGGTCGATGCTATGAGAGACGTCGCTGCTTTGAGACGCGCAGAGCGGCGCGGTGCAGCAGTTGCGGCGACCTTGACGCCGCGCTTGGCTACCGTCGTGCGCATGCTTGTCACGAGCGTTTGTTAGTTTTATCCAATCGTGTTGATGGGATTGACAGGCATCGCTAGCGATTGGCGGATCGAACGCGACGTATCGATATATTCATCGACCTCTCGATCTCGATAGAGGCCTCTTAATCTCGATAGAGGACTCTTAATCTCGATAGAGGCCTCTCAATCTCGATAGAGGCCTCTCAATCTCTATTTATCGAATCCACAACTCTATTCGCTGCGGTTTGTGGCTCCCCAAAGCCGTCGGTTGCGTCACCAGTCAGTCAGTTAGTGTCAATTTCCACGACTTCGCGCAATATGGCGGACGGAACGCCTGCTCCGAAGAAGCTCACGAAGAAGGAGCTGCGTATCCTCGAGCGTCAGAAAGTAGCTGCCGTAGCTGCAGGTCCGACGCTCACGGACACGTACGGCGACTTGCCGCTCATCCAGTCGAATGAGCGTCCGAACCATGTCTATAAGCTGTAAACCCATCTCTCTTGTTATAGATGACCCAGTTATAAATCGTCACGCTAACGTTATTCTTGACTGCTTTATCGTGTGCCGTAAAAACAGCGTCAAGGACTTGAATGTGGAGCTGCAGGGCCAGAGCTTTTGGGTGCGCGGCTACCTCCAGACCGTACGCGCCAAGGCGAAGCTCGTGTTCATCACGATACGTCAACAGACCGCTACGATCCAAGCCATTTTGCACGAGAGCGACAAGGTCTCGCGTGCTATGATCAAGTTTGCAGCTGGTGTCTCCAAGGAGTCTGTTGTGGACGTCTTTGTAACCCTCAGCGTGCCTGAGAGTCTTGTGGTCAGTACCACGCAGAAGGACGTGGAACTCAATGTGGAGAAGCTGTTTGTGGTCAGCAAAGCTTTGCCAGAGCTTCCGTTCCAGGTGGAAGATGCCGCTCGCTCGGATGCTATCGTCAAGGCTGAAGGATCCACGTACGTGAATGTGGGACTCGAGACTCGGCTGAACACGCGCCCTCTCGACCTGCGCACACCTGCCAATCAGTGCATTATGCGCATCCAGGCAGCTGTGGGTCAGCTCTTCCGTGAGTTCCTCATGAGTCGCGACTTTGTTGAGATTCATACGCCAAAGCTCGTGGGTGGTGCTTCGGAGAGCGGAGCCAACTGCTTTACGCTCAAATACTTTGACCAGGACGCAGCTCTAGCCCAGAGTCCTCAGACGTACAAGCAGATGGCGTGTGCTGTCGCTGGTCTTGAGCGTGTGTTTGAGATTGGTCCGGTCTTTCGTGCCGAGAACTCAAACACACATCGCCACATGTGCGAGTTTGTCGGTCTCGACTTGGAAATGACTATCAGGGAACACTATCATGAAGTGTTGGAGGTATTCTCGGACCTGTTCATTTACATCTTCGATGGCTTGAAGGAGCGGTATGCGAAGGAGTTAGCTATTATCAACGAACAGCACCCTTTTGAGATGCTCAAGTACCAGAAGCCGTCGCTCATCATTAACTTCGAGGAAGGTGTAAAGATGCTGAAGGAAGCAGGCGCCTCGCAGGAGCCTGAAGACGACTTGAGTACGGAAAACGAAAAGTGGCTTGGCCGTCTCGTCAAAGAAAAGTACGATACGGACTTCTACATTCTGGACAAGTTCCCGCTAGGTGTGCGTCCGTTCTACACGATGCCTGACCCGAACGACAAGCGTTGGAGTAACTCATACGACATGATGATTCGTGGTGAGGAGATCGTCTCTGGTGCCCAGCGCGTGCACGACCCCAACCTACTTATCGAGCGCATGCAGGAGCTGGGCGTGCCGCAGGACTCTATGCGCACTTATATCGACTCATTCCGCCTCGGCGCTCTTCCTCACGGCGGTGGTGGTATTGGTCTGGAGCGCGTTGTGATGCTGTACTTGGGCCTGGGCAATATCCGCAAAGCCTCCATGTTCCCGCGCGACCCGAAGCGGTTGTTCCCGTAAGTAGGGGGTAACGACGCTCGTATACGGGTAACGGTGTGCGTGATGCAAGTATCGTGCGATACACCCTGCAACTCTATGTTGGCAAGGGTCCTATTGAATAAGCAGTGGATAGGAACCAAGACAGATTAATTCAGAACACGTGCGATGCAACACCAAGACATGTTGTCCCTCGCGTTTCTGTACAGCACTCTTCAGCTACTTTCGTCTGCACAAGCCTCCTGGTGCTTCTCCGTCTTCTCTTCGTCACTCTGTCAGCAGCACCATCCGTCACACTCGTCAAATAAAAAACAGAAACACATTCATATCGCCAATTGCACGGACTCACATCGTCGTCGTATTCCTCTCCTAAAAGCGACACCCCGAAACTCGTTTTCTTCGCTGGCACAGGCTGAGGATTCTCGTCGCGTAAGAAACAATAGTAGCCATAGAGCTCATGTGAAACAGACAAGAAACGAAACTTGGCGTTCGCACCTAGCTTGACCTATACCATGCTCTGTCAGCACCAACTTCAACCGCACCAACCTGTTTCAATTCTCCACCAGAAAAATGGCGGAAGCAAATGCACAACATCCAGACTAGCAGAGGGAATCAATACCTTCAGCATGGCCTCCAGCTGTGGATGCTCTCGCACTTTGGTAGCTGTAGCTTCTACAATAGCATGTAGCTTCCTGGTCTTTGGCTTTGTATATCACAAGCATATTTGTCATCGATATGTCAGCGAACACCTGCGACTTCCTCAGATACCATCTTCCTCGTCACATGAATGGACTTCGTACCACAACGAGGTGACCAGGTACCACCCACAGCGGCTCAAAGGCTTCCTCATCACTAGTCGGGTCACTTGTTTCATCTTCTGGATATTGATACGGGAACTGGTTCACCACCACGTCTTCCACTGGCGGGAATTCCTCTGTGTACTCTCCAAACCGCAGACGATGAAGCTCCCTTAGCTCCGTCTCGACTGGATCGTCTTGTGTACCCACATTTGGTCCTCTACGTGGGTCCAAACACCCGTCTCGAGACCCTTTTCGCTTCCTCTTTTTCAATTGACGAAACTGCCGCCGCTCGTCCAGTAGATTCCGAGCATCGAAGCGATCCACGAGCAAGTCGCTGTCTTTCTGTCCACGCCACGGTATCAGATGCGACTCTGTGTGCAGCTCCCACGCAGTCTCGGGGTCGTTAAACACTTGGCAACTGTATCCACGCACTCCCAGCGCCGCGACGTTGGTCTCGTAGCGCTCCCTTTTGGTCATGATTCGTATTTGGGATGGATAAAATCCAATTCGAACTATCTTATCCATTATCCCGTGCTCGTGTACTGCATCTGCTCTCTATCCGTATAGTTTGCTCTTATACTGCTTCCACGGCAGACACAAAAGCATGAACGAGCGCCGGCTGCCACGACGCGACAAGACCCGCAGTCGAAGCCGGAGCAGAAGCGCCAGTCGACACCGTCGCCATCGTCCTCCTCATCATCACCACCGCCACGACAAGAAGCATCGGTCGTGTCTGGAAGTGGAGAGGAAAAAAGCCGAAGGAACGGAGAAGCAGAAGCTGGCGAACCGAGCGCAAGTCGCCAATCGGTCGCGTATGTGGTCGGTCGTGGGCTCGGACAGCAGCGAAAGTAGCGGCTTGGAAGCTGGAAACGACAAGGAGAAGAAGGGGAAGAAGAGGAGGAAGACGTCACTTGGTCGTCGGGACCGACGTCGTCGTCGATCGCGCTCGTCGTCCGCGTCATCGGCCGATGAATCGAAGAGCTCCAGGAGCTCCGATAGCTTGGAAGACGAGCGATTGAAGAGGAAGCGCCAGTCCAGGAGCTCAAAAGAGGACAAGAAGAGACGGAGGAAGACGACGAAGAAGGGAAAGAGGGGGAAGAAGACCGATGGGAGTAGGAAACTCGCGGTGGACCAGGACGAATACGGAAAGTATGGCATCTTGCGCGAGTCTGACTTCCATTGCAAGAGCGTGTCGTTCCATGCGTGGCTTCGAGATGTGAAGAAGATGGGCGAGTTTAATGGACCCAAGTGGGAGGCCATGGAGCTTTTCAAGGAGTATATGGAAGACTACAACACGTGCACGATGCCGCACGAGAAGTACTACGACATCGAAACGTACGAGATGAGGCGCTACCAGAAGCAGCAGCGCAAAGCGTTTGATAAACAGAAGGGAGCGTCTTCGGACAAGGCGATCGATGCATTGGCCGACGAAGAGCGAGTGCGCCGTGAGCGTCTGGATGCACGTGGGAAGAAGGAACAGGAGGAGTTTCGTCTTGTGCTGCAGCTCATGGACAAGGACAAGATCGAGGCCATGCGTGAGCAGGAGCGTCTTCGAGCGCAGATGCAGTTGATGTACAAGTCTGGAAACGTCCAAGAGGCTCGTCGTCTTGAGCAGATTCTCAACAAGGTGGAAGAAGATCCGCGCTTCAAGCGCTGAACAAGTGGCTTGCGGTGAGGACCATTTCACCAGAACGGAATCATTTGCCGATCGGATCTTGAGGTGGAGTATGTGCTTGGTCAGCGTTCATGTTCACGATGACTGGCACGCACTCTCCTTTCATTAGTCATACATAATCAGCTGCCATATTTCAGTCCTCATTAAGTTTACAGTTGTGCAATTGCAGAGGTAGAATGCCGCCTCTTCATGCAGTCAAACAAACTTCATAACAGTATAACCTCTCGTAGCTGATACAGCGAACTGTCTTTCGACTGTATCAGCCACTCCGAGACCCTGTAATCATTCATGCAATCAAAACCTCTAATACTTCACACACGTCCACCACGACAGTATCAATTACTACAGTCTCACGGCCAGTTGACGTCGCAACTGAGACGACGCGAGCTCCCAGCTGGCCCTGCCGTCTTTCGAACGCATGAGCTCCTCGTCGCAGAGCAGCAGCAGACACAGCGACGAGTTTCCGTCGAGCATGGCGTCGGTTAAGAGCCGACCACAACGTCTGACTTTGCCCTTGGACCACGACTTTCTGCCGCTGCCAAAGGAAGACGAGGAGAAGGAACAGGAGCGAGTGCGGGACCAAGTGATTTGCATGATCTTTGACCTGCCCGAGTCCACGCAGTTCTATAAAGGTACAGAAGTCTCTAATGTCAGGGTGTAGGAGTCAGTTAGGGTACCGTATTATATATAACCGAAATGAGTGCCACTGGAATGTACCCATTTGTGTTGTTTTCTATTTCTATCCTCTTGTGCTTTTTTCTATAGATTTTTCGTGCGCTATTGCATCGACCTTGGCGATGCATGGACGGATGTACCCAACGAGTTCACACGTGTGTTTCTACTCGAATGTGTTTGGTCGGGAACGAAAGGTCGGAGCTGTCAGAAGAAGAAAGAGCGACGAAGGGCTTGCGTTGCACGTGCCACTTGCGCTCACTCTCAGTTGGCTTTTTGGTACCACAGACAATCTAAACGTGGTGCTGAGTCGAGTTGTGCGTCGCCTTTGTTTGTTTGCTGCTCGTACAGATCCTGATTCCGTACGAGTCAATTCGTGAACTTGAGAAGACTACGACTATGGTGTTCCAGCACGCGATCCGACTTGCGACGTCTGACAAGGATGAGTACACGTTCACGAGTTTCTGGGGCAACAACCGCGACACTTGTTATGCCGTGATTGCTAAGGCGCGCGATCGCGTGCTGCGTGAGTTATGTTCCTCTGCAGTGGGTGAGGAAGAACTGCAGGACCCGATCTTATCACCTTCTTCCGGTTGCAGGGAGTTACTGTCACCGCTGTCGTCGTCAGCCACAGAATCAGGCTGTGATGAAGATGGTGCAGAAGAAGTAAAGAGTGATGTAGATGCTGTTTCTTCGAATGGCATCTCGAAAGCTGATGCCAACGAATCCGTAATCACTATGGCAACCTGGAATAAGGATGATGAGGATAAACATGTTATTTCTGCAACACCACGTCGGCGCAGTGTTGTCTTGGACATGGGTTCGATTGCACCGAAGGATGTATCGATGACCCAAGTTTTCGATGAGGTATTTCCAGTGTCAGTAGACACCTTTATGCAGACATTCTACCTGGATAACGCACCGTTTGGACTGGATAAGTTTAGTGAACGAATTGGGTCAACTGAAATGACCGTGAACCCCTGGATAATTCCGGCAGAAGGCGGAAAATCTTTTGGTACGTGAGCAAGGCGTCAAACTTAGCATTCATTATTGCTACCATGCGTAGTGTAGGTGCACTAAAACATGGTACAACGATAGGGGTGACACGGTCGTTGCATTTCCGAGTGCCGATTGATGCTCCAATTGGCCCAAAGTCGTCGCATGTTGACGTGGTAATGTTGTCGGCAAGTGCTTTACGTTTAAGATGCCCGCACAAACTAACCCGCTGTTGACATTATCGTTCCAGCTGCAGTGTATGAAAGAAAAGGAACATGGAGTGCGTGTTGTCGAGAGCTCGACTCGACTTGTGGATATTCCGTATGGCGATTATTTTAGTGTGGAAGACCGGTGGACCATTGCGCCACATCCAACGGAAGTCGATTTCTGCCGAGTATATATCGAGTTGAAGGTGCGCACAAGGTAGTAGCAGATGGAAGTGGTATGAAGTGCACTGATTGCGCTACCCCCTTGTGTTTATCAGGTGGTCTTCGGTAAGTCGACGTTCTGGAAGAAGACCATCGAAGCCCGCGCTATCAGTGACAACCAAATTAAGTGGGAGAAGTGGGTTGGAATGGCCAAGGAGTTTCTCAACTCAAGGAACCGCGATGACGCAGTAAATCGCGCGTTGAAGAGTTCTTTGACGTCAGGTACTTCCTTGGATAAAGCGGTACCTCAGGAGGATATCACGAAAGATTGCGGGGTTGCGGTGAAACACCGTGGTCAAAGCAAGCTTCACCACCGCCACCACGGCATTACTGGCACAACACTGACGTGCGGACGTGTTTGTACTGCTGCTGCAAAAGTGTTTCCGTGGATTCTAGTGTTGGTTTTGCTTACGATGATCTTGCGTCTGCATACGACATTTTCAAACGTCGAGCAATCGTTGTTGGAGAACACTCGGCTCATCGTTGACCTTCAGAAGCAGCTTGCCAGTCTTCAGGCGGGAACCTGCCCGATGGCAGCGTAGTCTTTGTTGATACTATCATGACGCTAACCATAAATTGAAACACCTCTGACTCTCCCTGTTGCGCGTATAGACACTATCCGTTGCTCGCAGTTGCGTCAAACCACGTCGAATGGAAGTTGACACGTTTCTGCAGACCATGAAGCAATCGAGTGACCTGAAAGTCTGTGTTACATTGTGCCGCACGGATCATCGATACCATATCGCAATCGTCCGTTTTCGGTATGTGCTCTTTCTGCTTTGCAGCTGAATCGTGTTTCGTATCTGCATTATTTCGTCTTCGTGAGCAAGTGATGAGAATCTCCCGGCGCATCGAACGCAACACACGCTGTAGCGCACGTAAATGGATATGATGAAAGGGATTGAGCATTGCGTAAACATCTGGCGGAAGGCTTGCAATGATCCCATCCAATTCGTACGGCATCGACTCGACAGATCTCGGGTTTAGATTTACCAGGGCACAAGTTGGCCGAATTACAGAATCAACCGAAGTGAGCAGTACTTCGGAACTCGATCGGCCAAACCATGCGGCCAGATTGGACCCGGACGAGATAAGAAGCAGTTGGTTTGTATCTGGACATCAGCATCGTCAAAACAACAGACCGGCCTCCGTGTTAGTACGGCTAACTATTCCAAACCAAGAAAGAGTTCGTACCGTTGGCATGGCTTCTTCCCCCGCTCCGACTACTCCTGGCTGTATTCCGCAACTTGCCATCAATGCCAACTAGCCGTTGAAGGTCAATGCTGACTGACGCAATCGCAACAGCGGACTCACTTGGATGCCAGGTCAGAGTCGTGTTGGAGACAAGATCGTCAGGCGGGGCATTCCAATGCAGCCATAGCATTGCATTCAACGGTTTTCGCTCCCGAAGAAGTGAGAAGTCTGGTGCAAATTGAAACTCGAGCTGGTATCGGGCTTCACGTTCTTCCGTATCCAGAAGAGGGGCTACTGAGCACGAGCACCGCCAGCCCCGCGTACGGGCTTTTCGCCCTTTCGGTGCTGTCAACACAACAAAACTATCGCCCAATGCGATGTCGGACAGGTTCTTCACAACAACTTCTGCGTGAAAAAGTGACGATGACGGCACGTATTCGAGCACATTGAACTGCTCCAACAATACTTGCTGCTCCAGCTTGAAATCACCTGATGTGTGCCTTGAATCATGCTCGATCGATTCAACTTTTACATCAACTCGAGGGACGTTAGTCCCGCTTACAATCGTTTCCATTTCTATACAACTAAGGTGGTGGCTATCAACCCCTCGGGCTGGAACAAGTGGCATCAATAGTGAACATTTGTTGCTGGGATATCCACCCTGCAGTTGTTGCCACAGTTGTACGAAAAGCTGATTCAGTCGGTGCACTAGCAAGATCTTATCGCTGGTAATGATTTGCAATCGTTCCAGCTCCTGCAACCCATCAACCAGGCGTACAGAGAGAGAGCTTGCAAGTTTGTCAAGCTGCGCATGCGAAGCAGATCCAAGAGATGCGCCATCCGTCGCAGGTCCCAAGCCCTTCACGCTTCGATCACGACACGACGCTTTTTGAGTGCGTTCGATGTAACGGAATGACTCCGCCTGGGTATCAGCAAGACTGTTCGTTTTGTCGCTGTGGCACCTTTTACGAGAGCGTACGCTCCGCCTGGTTTGCTTTTCTTCACGTAGTCGAAGCCGACAACAGGACAGCACTACATCCGATAACGATGCCGTCTGCGAGACAAGGACACTGCGCTTCACAAGCTGTTTGTGGTCCAGAACTTCATCAGTGCCCCCTTCAATCAAGCCGACACGATTCCGAACATCATTTAGTAGAAGAACCTGGGGCAATGCTAACACACCAGAACCGGCAAAATCTCCGATGTGCACGAAACCTACGTGCTTGAACGCTGCAAAGTCGCAACAGGACAGAGTTAAGCCGAGAATCCGCAACACGCAAAAACCAAGACAAAGATTCTTACACAAAAGTAGCTTGATCGATGCTTCGTGCAAGTTGCTGCGAAGCTCGAGCATATGAAACGAACGATCTGCATCGTCACAGCGCACACAGAGTACATGGTGTTGGTCCATGTTGTCTCCATCTACGGGCCACCTGACGCAACAGCACATCTTTCAGCTACCGTACGGTGGTAATCGGAATATCACCATTCTCCACCATATGCGTACATTTCTGCTGGTCGAGAAGGCAGCACGTAGGAGACCAGTAGGATCCCATTTTTATGAACATATACCGTATTGCTTGTTGTACCAGTGACCACCAGCGTCGACACATCTACATCCGGCTGGCCCGATTGATTTCTTGCTCCCTGATCCCATGTATATGCATCTGTTCCACTAAAGGCTGATGAAACGAAGTTCCAACCACTCAACTTGGAAACGAAACAGCAACATAATACTCGCTCAGGATTTAACATTGCTCCTTTGCACTCTGTAATCGAGGGGAATATAGGTAGGTAGTGGCACTTTGACGACTCCTTTTTCATGCTGGTACACACGCCACTGTTGCAACTCATATCCACGACGATCCACGAGTGACGTTTGCTAAGCACAAGACGAGACCACCACAGATCGTAAATACGCGAAGGTGCAGCACGATTCATTAGGGCTCACTCACATGGCAGGTAAAGAACTTGACAGTCGTTCTTGCATATGGATGAGCATGTGCGGTCTAGTGCTTTGCACTTCGGACACATACGCACAAGACACCACATCAAAGGCCGCTGTAGCGTCGCTTGAGGTGCCATGTACCTTGTCCAGCTCAACGTTCCATCTGTGCAACTCGAACGAGTCGTTTTGTAGCGCTTCTTTTGAAAGGTCCAATACCGTCGCTCGTTGCGACCGACGATTAAACAGCAGCACGTGCGGTCCGTCAACTAGGAAAACTTGCAGCATCTCCTCTCCTCCCTTTTCTGCCATTGCAGCATCGTCACTATCGATGCGTGCTGACATCTTGTTTGTGTGCAAGAGCCGCACGCAGCGGATCTCGTCCTTGTCCTCAGTCTCGCACAGGACACAGCCAATCAGCCAATCGCTGAGCGCCATCTCAGCATCAACAGTTGACGAAAGTGAGTCACAAGCCTCGATCGGTCGTCGATGCGTCTGAACTGCAGATTGAGTCAAAGCGCTCGCGTCTTTTCGCTCTCCCAAGTCTTTTTGGGATGACAGGAACACCAACACGGGATAGCGACTGCATGACAGTGCACAGGAGAGCACAAGGGAGATCATTGGTACTTTCCGCAGCTTATAAGGCAGTCAAACGACGTACACAGCGAGCTCGAGATCTTCGACTTCGTTGGCAGCGACGAGACGAGCGTCTAGAGGCAGCGCAGCCGCTTCGTCTTCGCTTTTGACAGTGCATGAGCGCAGCGAGACTTTCTTCTCCTCCGCGTCGATGCACACGCGCTGTACCTGCAGCTCTCCCAGTTCGCAGCGCACGATGAAGAGCGCGTCGCCCCACGCCAGCAGCTTGCTCATGACAGTGACTCGGTGTGCAGAGTGATGGTCGTAATTGGGTAAACGAGTGTAGCCCAGGGTTACGATTTCCTGGTCAAATGAACCCTTGCAGTCTCTTTTATGACGTTTGAGAGGATTTGTTTATCGACATATTTTCCGACATTTGCGGTAAATGCCTTTTACAGCCAAATGTTGCAAGTAAGGCCTGTGCACAACTAGAAGGTTATGTTGTTGCTGTAAATATCACATAAATGGTGAGCAATATTCACAATAACAACATACCTTCTAGGATGCACTAGTGAAGAAAGCTCTCATTATTGTCAGCCCTCAGGATGCAAACTTAGTGATGTGTGGAAAATCAGCCAGCGAGTTTTTTCTGGCTAGAAAACCATTCGCTTGTTCAGGCCAGCATACTGCGACAAGAATCCGGTCATTTACTAGTACAAGTTATCGATATGGAGAACACAATTCAGCTGCTAACTATTGCAACGAATTGCACGTTAACAAGTAGGCTTCTTGACATCCGGCCACATGCATGGCCGTCTCGGAGTATAAAGCCTGTGCTCGACACTTTGAGAATCCAAATTCTGAGTTTATCCACCCGTCCAGCGACTCAAAAAGTAGTTGGTCTAAAATCGGCGTTTCGTTTTGATGTTGATTACGCCAATCATGTCTAGCTTCTGGTGCGTAATCAACCCCTCAATATCCGGAATGATGGTCTCCTGATCGAATCCACAGTCCACCAGCGACTCCGCCTCGAGCCGTGATGCCATCCACCTCAACGTCGCCTCCACCTCCAGGACCTCCCGCGCTGCTCCAGTCCACATGGTTCCGTCTCTGTCTCCTGCTGCTCACGCCGCTCTTCGTGCTCCTTTTGGCGCTCTGGGGGTTACTCGGTCGTCTCCTCACACTCTCCATACAGTTCGTAGCTGCTGCTTCATTCGTCATTACGTGGCTCTTGTACCTCTTGCTCCCGCATCTCCCCGTGTATCTAATTGACTGGCCACTAGTCATCACTCTCGGCATCGTCACCCTCTCGCAGCTGCCGCGACACCATAGCCACGTCGCTCATGCAGTCGTGACAGTTTCGCTCATTGTTTACGCCATCATCCGCATAAGTCTCACGACACTGGAGAGCGGCAGCACTAAGAAGTCCATTGTCGACGCTTTAGCAGCTCTGTGCTGTCTTGTACCCATCTGGATAACCATTTGCAACTTGCACTTGTGGCTGCCGTCGGATCTGAAGGAACTCGAGAAGCTTGAGAAGAAGATCTACCAACAATTCGTAGTCACGGACTTCAAAATGACAAAGATTGCGGGTCTCGGCACTGTTCATGTTCCATACTGTGGTGACGACCAGCAGCTTCTGCCTCGGAACTTGGTGTTGGTGCATGGATACATGGCGTCGAATTCATTTTGGGCAGCGGTAAGTACATGATAAACGCTTGGCTCAGAAAGGAAGATGATATGTTGACATTGTGACCCTTGTTGTGGTGATTTTGGTGCAGAATCTCCAATTTCTTGCCAAGTCCTTCAATGTGGTGCGTCTTCGGCAACGTTGTCGATACGTAAAGATTTGAATCTGACGCTAGCCTGCTGTAATGATGTAGTACGCAGTAGAATGGAAAGGAATTGGACGATCCAATCGACCGAAATGGCGTCCAGCATCGGATGAAGAAATGGACGACTTCTTTGTGAAGTCACTGGAAGACTGGAGATGTGCACTAAATCTCGATCGCTTTATTCTTTGTGGCCACTCTATGGGGGTACGCTGGTCATACAACTGATGATGCTAGAAGATTCGTGCAAATAACTTGATTGTGACGCTTTGCGCTTTCTAGGCTATGTACAGTACTTACTTCGCCGAGCAATGCTCGGGACATGTTGAGCATCTTATTTTAGTCTCCCCCGCGGGAGTCAACCCCAGCGACCTGACACCAGATAGTCTTCCTATCTTCTTGAAGCTCACTTCTCAATTTTACGTTACACCAATGGTACGAAATGGCAGTTTGTCCCATCTTAATTTTGCGTGTAGGGTTTTAACTGTTGGCTTGTATTGGATTCGTCGCGTTTAGAGTGCAGTTCGGTTTGCTGGTCCGCTAGGCCCAAGTCTGGTACGATGGTCATGGAGGCAGCGCATAAAATGGGTGCCAGAAACCAACATCATTCGATCTGGGGAGTTGGACTTTGATCTCATTACGGACTATTCCTATCACAACTGGGCTCTCGAAGCCTCGGGTGATATTGCGTTCTACACGCATTTACACCCGGTAAGGTTGCGTCAAGATAGCTGGAATGGCAGCACGTGTTTGCTTATTGATGATGTGATTTGTCCGACTAGGGCGCAAGTGCGAGACGCCGGGCATTGAACCAGATCCTCACCCCCGAGAAACTTCAGGTGCCGCTCACGATTATGTACGGTGGTGGCAAGGACTGGATGAATTCGGAGCACGGCGCAGCAGTCGTTCGCCGGCTCGAAAAGACACAGTATGCTGTTCTCCGCCTGGTGCCCATTTCAGGTCATCAAGTATTCATGGACAACCCGAGCGACTTCAACCAAATACTGGTAGAGGAGGCTCGCAAACAAGAGCACGCGGCTGCCCTGTACAATCAGCTCGACTAATCCGGTTGCAGACCTACAACGTGTTTCGAAACAAACGAGTGAGTTAACTTGACCTGTCCAATGCACAATCTTCGTCACCGAACAAACCGCTGACCTCTTCGTGTTTGACAGATAGACTATACAAGGGGCTTTTGATGCAGTAAGTGAGCAGCTCCATCCTCCGCCAGCGCGGCGGTGTGCTTTATCATGAGATAGCAAGGACTCAGCTTTTGTGGTCTGTAGCTCTGGACCTAGTTAAGCCATTATGTTAATGGAAAAGCTTTCTCCGAGCGAACAAGCATCGTAAAAGTGCCGCGAGAAAGGTTGCGCGTCGTGTGCTTGCCGAGCTGGTTGCTGCACTTCAACACTTCATGTGCTTTGCAGTTTTGTGTGCTGATGATCACAAGACCATCAGATAAAGGATGAGCGTGTAAACAGACGTCTTGTTTATACAAGCAGCATAATCGAATCGATTATTCCCAAAGCGAGCACAGCAATTTCTCAGATGCGTGCGCGTGTATTTCGTGGTGATGGACGGCATGTACCGACTCTCTTGTCCCGGATATGTATCTGACTAGTCAAACACGCCGTTGTAAAACTGCAGCAGCTGGTGGCGACTCCTTTGGTTTTGAACGTCTGCCGCTGACCGGTTCAATTTGCGCTTGATCTTCTTGCCCGAGATGGCACTGCGAGTAGTGTCTGAATCAGACGATGACGACGAGGAAGACGACGACTCATCATCACCCGAGCGACTCTTCTTGTGGCGCTTTTTGCGCGGCTTCTTCTCATGCTTCTTCTCCTTTGACCCTGAAGACGAGTGTTTGGCCTTCTTGTCTTTTTTCGCGGACGTGCGATGCTTCTTCTTCTCCTTCAATTGATGACGTGACCTCTTTCTGTCCCTCTTACTGCTGACCCTCGACTCCGAATCAGTCGATCTGCTCCTGCTTCGAGAAGACGATGAAGCAGAACTGCGGAACTCATGCTTCCGTCGATCACTGCGACTGCGCCCACGAGGCGATCGCAACAATCGCCGCTCCCTCTCTCTCGTCCGATTCTCGTCACGGCTATCGCACAGCAAGTAACGTATCAGTGCTAGAGTTAGTCACTGATTGGGTGAGGGCCTGGAACTGAAGCGACCGACTTACTTTGTAGATCGCTCCTTCGATCGGGATCGAAACCGTGGCCGGGAACGTGACCGTGACCGGGCGAGAGAGCGCTTCGGGGACTCTCGACCTACTCATAGACGATTCACGTTCATGCCCTGATTGGTGTCAGTAGGACCGCTCGACAGTTTGCTACGACGTTGTGCACTTACCACGACGACACACGCGAACCATTGCGGGTTGACTATTTCTTTGCACTGGGGTGACAAGCTAGATGATAATTCTGGAAAGTGGATAAAATACAGGATGTTTTGTGCACCAAGTAAGATCACCGCCGAGATGCATCGTTTTCCAACATTCGACTTTTCAGCACCGATTTTTCGTGGCCAGTTAGAGGCAGAAAAATGGGACACCAAATCAGAGATTGTAAGCTAAAGTCGCTTACAGGAAAATGCCCATATCGTCGAGCTGTGTGAAATAGCCAAAACATGTGCTCTGCAGGAAGGCAGGCACTGATATGATACTACAGAACTTCGCGATCAACTTCATCGTAAAAAGCGGAGCACCGATACCGATCGAAGTGGACCCTCGGAAGCGCTCTTGCATGTCGTTCGTGACTAAATCGAATAAATAACTAAGCATCGAGTGTTGTAAGCTAGTAAAAAAAAAGTGCAGCACTTCTCATGTATGGTGCCAGTGGTAAGAAAGATACGAGCCTGTGATGCATCGTTGTGAATGTCTGGAACTCTCGAAGTATAAAAACAAATGTTTAAAAAAAGTGATGTAGGCCAGTCAGCGGCAGTTTACAAGACCCAAACAGCTTTTCTGTAAATGTGTTTTCAGTAACAACAGATCGACGTCGATCAAAAGCCATGACTAAGTTCGATCAATGATCTTCCACAAAGTTCGAGATCGACCAATAGGATCGCGTCATTGCGACGCTATCCCATCCCTGAAGAGGAACGAAGTCACTTGGAGCGAGCCGCGCAGTCGCGACGCCGTGATGAGTGTGTGGTTTGTGTGCGTCCCAAATGAAGGCAACGTCTCGTCCGAGTCCACTTTTCTGTCACTGAAGGCAGAAACTGCGTCCAGCCGTCACGATTACGCTGGTAAGGGAGTCGCAAGCTACACGGACACCTCTGGTTTAATAGTGCTCTCTAACTGTATCCTTCTTTTCTGGTGGATAACGCAGAGTGTATCCGCGTGGAGCTGCCGTCCGATCTTTTGGTGGGAACGCTGGACTCGCTCATGGTGCGTCGCCGTCGCTATTGATTGGTCGAGCTCGTTGATGCGGTCGACCGGCTGATGTGATCTGATTCTGTTACTTTACAGGCGCTGAGTGACGACTTAAGCCGCGTGGATATGGTCATTGAGAGCGTCGTGCGAAAGATCGAGCGCCAGTTCCATGATCTCAATCGAGACAACCAGGATCTTACTGTTGATGGAGGTGATTGTTTAGCCAGAGTAGCCACATGTGACTCCTGGTAATTGTGCTGATCTTGCTACTTTTTGAGGACCGCAGTGCCGGTAGAGCGCTATTTGATCTATTTCTCGTGGGACGAGGCCAAACATCCACACCGTCGACCACTACCTGAGATCGTCAGTATCATTCAATCGGTAGGATCGAGGAGAAATCGGTTTTAGGGAAGAGCTGCAGTAAACTGATGATCGAGTGGGATGTTGAACAGTCACTGGGCAAGATGGAAGAGGAGATAAAGCAACTGGGCACACGCTATGCTGAAAAGAAGCAACAACTTGTTGGCCTGCAGCGCAAAAAAGGGTAGGAATGGTGTAACGTTGATGACTTCTTGTCGATATTAAGAAATAACGACTTTATTGCTGTGTGTTGTGGTACAGAGGCAATCTCATGGTGGCGAATCTGAACGACGTGCTGACGCCTGACGTCGTATCCGCGTCCAACTTTGTCAATACCGAGTATCTGCAGACGCTAGTGGTGATCGTGCCCAAAAACCTCGAAGAGCAGTGGTTGCTGGAATATGCACAGATCGGTGACCAGATTGCAGAGTATGGCCCCAAGGGCTCACGGTCGAATACACGCGGATCTCCGGTCGTGCCTGGGTCATCGCGCAAACTGATGGAAGAGGGTGACTCATCAGTGTACACGGTGACGTTGCTGAAGGGCCAATACCAGCCAGGATTTCTAGACAAGGAAGGGAATTTTGGGCCCGGGACGACCGTAGACTATATTGAGGATTTCAAAGCGCGCGCTAAAGAAAAACGCTTTGTTGTGCGGGAGTTCGACTTCCGCCCGATGAGTCACGCGTCTACCGAAGAAGCTATTGCCGAACTGGAAGTGGAGGTGGATCGGCTCTGCTCTGCTCTTCTCCGTTGGTGCAAAGCACACTTCGGAGAGGCGTTCATTGCATGGATGCACATCAAGGTACGTTTTGCTTTGTGCAAAAGGTACTTTATCGCGAGACTGCTTCTCACTTGTCTCGTGTTCAGATCATTCGCGTTTTTGTTGAGTCCGTGCTTCGTTATGGCCTTCCCGTGAACTTCGTACTTGTCATGTTCAAAGTACGTTGCTGTTTTGTATCGTACGGGGTATTTACGCATGTGCTGACATTGACATGCCGTCATGATAGCCTCACCCAGGCAAGGAGAAAAAATTGCGCTCAGTGCTGGCAAAGAAGTATGCACACTTGCAGCCGGCTCAGTTTTCTGGTCTCGAAGAAGGCACGTCAGGCTCATCACAAGCTGAGTTCTTTCCCTATGTCACGAACTCCTTCCACCCACTCACCACTACCTAACACGACGATTCCGGAGCTTCATCTTGGTATTGCAAAACAAGACGGGTTGTGAATGGCTCGAGCGCAACCGCGGATAAGTCCAGAACACGCAAGACATTTATGTGTTTTATTGAAAGACTTCACAGCGACGAAAGTGCATCACTAAAGCATGCTAAGCAGCTCAGCGTCAGACGTGTAGTCGACGTCTTTACTCGAGCAGGTCCTCGTAAGCTGTCGGACGCGCACGTCTTCACGAATCTTCAGTCGGAAAACAAGCTGAATGAGCTCGCGCAGATCGCTTACGAACAATAGCTGGACACGGTCTGTGTGATCGTCTTGACCGCGCGTATCACCACTAAAAACACCCGCGAACTCGGTACGCAGCTCTTCAACCTCGTTCTTGTTTGCTCGTGGTAAGACTACTCGCGTAATACCAGCGTGAATTGCTGCGAAAACCTTTTCCCGGATACCACCGACTGGAAGAATCACGCCACGTAAAGTAATTTCGCCTGTCATAGCCATGTCGACAGGAACCGGAATATCCGAAATCGCTGATAATAGTGCGCAGACGATAGCACCACCAGCAGATGGGCCGTCCTTCGGAATGGCTCCTTCTGGAAAGTGGACGTGCACACTCGAACAATCGTCCAGGCATAGCGCTTGTGGTCCTGCCAACTCTGCTGAACTCGTATCTGCACGCGGAAGCTCAATCAGATGGGCGTTCATGAGCAACCAGGAAAGAGCAAGCTGTGCCGACTCCTTCATAACGTCGCCAAGCTTACCGGTTAGCTGGAGAGAAGGAGCGATTGACGAGGACGCCGCCGGACTGCTCTCAGCGAAAGCATGTCGCCTAAACGAAGCTTCAACAAAAAGGATAGATCCGCCTGCAGAACTCCATGACATTCCCGTTGCTACTCCGGAAATGCTAGAGCGCAATGCGACTTCGTTGAAAATCAGCTCGTGCCCAAGAATCGAATGAAGCATCTTCCTGTCGATATGAATGTTGTCGACGCCCGCAAGTTGAGCACTCTCGTCATCCTCGTTAGCTTTTTGCGCCTCATCTTGATCTTTATCCAGCTTACGCACAATCTTGACAACCACGCTACGACAGATTGCCCCAATCTGTCGTTCCAAGTCACGTACTCCAGCCTCACGAGTGTATCGCATAATCAGGTGGTGCAAAGCTTCATCCGAAAGTTGAACCATACCTGGTCGTAAACCGTTGGCTTCAACTTGCTGTGGCAATAGATAGCGGCGAGCGATTTCCATCTTCTGCTCTACGCTATACCCGCTGAGTTCAATAACTTCCATGCGGTCCAGTAAAGGACTTGGGATGGTGTTCAAGCTATTGGCTGTGGCCAAGAACAGTGTGCGACTCAGGTCGAAAGGCACGTTCAAGTAGTGGTCAGTAAATGTGTCATTTTGATGAGGGTCCAGCACTTCGAGCAAGGCGTTAGCTGGATCTCCACGAAAGTCCTTACCCAGCTTGTCCACCTCATCCAGCAGCAGGACTGGATTATTGCTCTCGGCATGACGCAGGGCATTCAAAATGCTTCCTGGCATTGCGCCAATGTACGTTTTACGGTGACCACGGATCTCGGACTCGTCGTGAACTCCACCAAGCGCCACGCGCTCAAATTTTCGATTCGTGGCTGCAGCAATTGAGCGTCCCAGCGATGTTTTACCAACACCAGGCGGTCCAACAAGACATAGAATAGGTCCACGCATATCGCGCTTGAGACTACGAACGGCAATGTACTCGGTGATCCGTTTCTTCACCTTGTCTAGGCCATAATGGTCTGCATCAAGCTGTTTGCGCACCCGCTCAACCGTCAACGAATCAGCGGTAGAAGTATTCCACGGCAGCTCCAGAAAGAACTCCAGATAGTTATGCAGAATGCCGTACTCCGGCTGCATCGCAGTCATCCCTTTCAGTCGTCGCAGCTCACGCCGTGCGACCTTAGCAGCCTTTGGCTCCAGGTCCAATGCATTCAATCGGTCTTCCAGCATCTTGATTTCACCGACATTGTCGCCTTCAGCTCCATCGTCTCCCTCTTCCCCCAGTTCTTTCTTTATAGCTTCAAGCTGTTGTCGCAGCAAGTACTCTTTGCGGGTACCCTCAAGTTTGTTCCGCACTTCGCTCTGAATCTTGCGTTGCAGTCTCGCCTTCTCCGTCTCCTGCTCCAGCAAAGCCACTGCCCGTTTACAACGAAGAACAGCAGGCACTGTCTCCAGCACCACTTGCTTCTCCTCAACGTCTACATTCAAGTACGACACGACCACGTCTGCCAGCTCATCCACTGGAGAGTTTTCAATGGCATCCACAAGAGTGTTTCTGCACCGCAATGAGAGCGCACTCGAAGCCGCCTGCAGATACACTCGTGTCAGCTGCTTCAGCTTGAGTGCTACTTGTCCCACCTCGAGCTCTGTCTCGTCCGTCGGTGACCCCTCTCCATCCACCGGAGCCACCAATGACTGCACTGCACCCGCAAGGTAAGGCCTCGTCTGACACACGTCCTGTAGGTGCACTCTGTGTAGCCCTTGCACCAAGACCGAGAGCCCTGGAAGACCGCCCACTAGGCGCGCGAGCTGCACGACGCGCGCCAACGTCCCGACGCTGTACACCGCGTCCTTCAGAGTCTCCGCCTCACATTGCTGCTCGTCTCGTGCATCTTCTCTTGTCCTGCGACGGGCAAAGATCGCAATCGTGAGCAACGGAGACGGCGTCGACGCGCTTTGTGTACGTCGCGATCGCTTAGAAGCGCGAGCCTCCGACACTAGATCCTCAAACAGCTGCAGCGCAGATGTCGACGTGATCGAGAGGCGGAGGTAGGTACGCGGGAAAAGCACTCGATCGTCGAGAGGCAGGATAGGCAACTGCAGCGCTGCATGGGCGATGGGAGCGGCACGGTCTTCCATGGTCACGAAATTTGAGTCAGTTTCTGATGTGGTGGGGGCTGTCGGAGTTTCGAAATGGGTTCAATTGTTTGATGTGGATGCGGACTGAATAGGAAGGCTAAATCGATTGATGATTCAAAAACTAGCTCCTGCTGTTTTGCGATGGCAGAGGCAGTGGCTCATAACCTGGAAAAGAGACCTAATCAAGCGGCTGGGATGATTTTAAACAACATCGTAAAGCGACCACAAATGAACAACTAATCGAAAGAGACGTCAAAGACTCATTTTTCTTAAAAAAGGTCTACAATCTATATAGACGTGCGATCTGATCGATACTGCTCAAGCAAGATCAACCCACGTCTAGTCAGATCGAGACAATAAACGTTCGTAATGAACTACGCGACCATGCACAACCCAAGCCAACTTCAGAGCACCATCTACTTCGTGGACTTAGTCGCCACCGGGTCCACGCTGCTCGTCTGCACAGGCTCGTCCTGGGTCGACACATCAGCATCCGACTTGCTGTTGTCGTCGTCGTCCTCGACCACCGGAGACGAGCCCTTGGTGGCGCCCGCGAACATGAACGAGTGGTTGTCGTCCTCCACGATCTTCTCGTCAATGTCAGCGTTCGAGCCATCGTTGAACAGGTACACAGGAATTGGACCGACAGCGCCCTTCTTAGAGGCCTTCGAGGCCTTGCTTGCCACCGGGTCGGTGCTCCCAGAGGTCAGGTCATCGTGGTACACACCCGCTCCATTCAGGCCGCCCTTAGTGGCAACCGGGTCATCACCAGTCACGAATGCAGCTCCACCCTTCGTGGCACTTGGGTCGACGCTACCATCGTCCTCGAAGAGCCACGCCATGTTGTTATCGCCAGAGCCCTGACCCTTGCCGTACGGATAGGATCCCTTAGTGGCGGCCTTAGCAGCGTTCGGGTCTGCGCTTCCAGAGTTTAGGGCGTCGGGGCTAGAGTCTTCAAACGAGTCAATGTCCCCGGCAGCTCCCCCGATAGGGCCCTTCGTGGCAAAAGTGTCCCTGCTTCCAGCGTTTGTGCTGATCCAGTCGTTAATCCACATCAGATCATTGCCGCTGCCAGCCATGTCAGCATTGTCTTCCTTTTCGTGGTGGTGGTGGTAGTGGTGGTGATGGTGGTGGTGGTGCTCCTGGCTACCGTCCTTCTCATCAAGGTCGTCCAGCCAGGGAAGATAATCGTCTCCGGATGGGTCACGGAATGCTTCGATGATGTCATCAATGTCAACCTGGTCACTTCCAGAGCCAATCAAGTCCAGGATGTTGAGCTTGATGTGGCTGCCGTCAGTGCTCTCTCCAAGGATCTCCGTAAGATCGATCGTCAGATCATCCGGATCGATGTCTTCGCTGCCACTGGGGTAATGGTCAAGGAGCAATGACTTGTCACCGTTAGTGGTGGTCGCTTCATCGGTCGTGCGAAGGTTGCTGGGGTTGCCAGCGTTGGCGGCAGTGACTGCAACTGCGGCGAGAACGAGTCCGGAGGCAAAGATCATCTTTCAAGTGGAAATGGGAGTGACTGCTGGACTGTGGTGAGCGAGGCAAATTGGAGAATGATCATTTCGTTGCAATGGCTCGTGGTCCTCGAGCTCCGAGGCTTGGTCGCTCTTCGCCGCGTTTGATCCGAAGCGAGTCTCAGCGCAAGTCCCATCCTAGGATCAGCACTCGCTATAGTTTATTGCATATTATTATCATTGATGCACCGTAGGCCTGTACACCAGTGTGGAGATCGCAGTCTGCTTCTAATATTCCAGAAACTGTGGGTTCATTGGCAGCATCTTGAGCACAGGCACGGCAGGAATCAGTTCGTGCAGAGGAGCCAGACCTGCTTTGCTGATACTGATGCTAAACACGGTTTGCGACCAGTTTCCAGCCCAGATATTCCGGATACAAGTCGCAGACCACAGCATTCAGGTACGATTGTATTCGGAGCCCTTCCTACGTCAGATCAGGAAGCGATCTTCAGCTTATTCTGCTCCCATTTAGAAAAGACAGATTTCTGGGCGGCACGAAGACCGCGCAGGAACAGCTTTCCACTCCATGGACCGAGCCGGACCAGAGGCAGTTGCGTAGTCTATTCAGTCTTATGCACTGTATAACCCGTTGCATCTTGACCTACAAGGTGAACGTGTGAATCCGAGAGTCCTGTTATCAGATTGCGACCAGCTAGACCCTGACAAGCCTTTGCAGGTTTACAATCTACGAAACGCGAACGCAGTGCCTGGACACCATTCATCGTGCGTTTGTTGCATGTCTCGTTCGCGACCAAATAATTTACAGCAGGGAAAAAGTCTCTCGTGCCGCGTGATTGGTGCGCGCATCGAATTCTGCCCACACGCCATTCCCTCACGGAATTCCGTCGATCCAAGTGTTTGTGAAGCGCAGGCATGAACATCAAGTAGGACAAAAACAACGCATTCGGTAGTTTCGCAGTCGTACCGACGACGGCCCTGCGAGACAATCGGACTGGCTGCACGTGTGCGCAATCCAGACACTATCGATGGAACGCTATTGGTACTGATGTCTACTTCATCCGTGACGGTTGTCGTCTAGCTGGCACAGCGACCTCATCCGCTGCCAACTCACACGCCCTACCCGTCGTAGTAATTAGCAGAACACAGCCACTGGTCATCACGTAGAACACCAGTGTACTCATCGTATAATCCACCGACAACACTCACTCGACGGCGTTGCTCAGTCTTGGTGGACTTGGTCCACTTGGTCATCGTAGCCGTGACAGGAGCCTCTATCTCCTTCGGGCCCTCACAAAAGTACGGCCTGTAGTATCTGGTTGATTGTCGTCACCTACAACACCGCCAGATCCGTCCTTGTACAAGCCACCAAAAATACTTGAGGGCGATGCCTCGGTCGACTTTGTCATCTTGGTGGCCGTGACGGGAGCCTCTATCTGCTTCGAACCCTTTACGAGAACAGAGCTGGAATGGAGGTTACCAAGTCCACCGTGGTAGAATCCACATCGACCTGACGCCCTGTTGCTTGCGTTTCACTGTCACTCGAGTCCGATGCGTCATCTTGACCCGTCATCCTCGAAGCTTTGTAGCGTGTTCACTTCCAATGATCCCGCGTGGCTCTTCGTCACAAAAATGGAAAATCCAGTGTCATAGGTCGAGCCAGTCTTCGTAAACTCGGACGCTTTCGTGGCCTTCGTCGCCTCCTCAATGGGATCGTCAGCGAACAACGTTGCCGGGTGCCCAGCTCTGGCGGAGGTGGCAGCAAGCGCCACGAGCACGAGACCAGCGACAAGCTTCATCCGTCTGACCTGATTGTAGTCCGTTGGTCGATTCCAAACTGCCTCATTGACACAAGAAGATGTGAGGGGTCGTCGTGATGTCAGCTGCAAGCCGCGCAATTACAGTTCTCCCCATCTGCGGAGAATCTGCCCGTCGTTTCATGGACCATCTGTGTCGGTGACCGCCATTGTCTCCACCGGTTCTTCGTTCACTTCAGCACCAGGATGAAGCTCGATGCCTCTGCGTCGACGTGTTGCATTCATTAGAGGTGAGCTAGTAAACCATTGTACCACGTGGTTCTTCAAATGAGGAGCTCAAAGAGAGCGAGATGTAAGCGTACATTAGAACCCGTCGAACCTCATTACAGTTTACTATCCAGTTTTTGGCTTTGCGGCACAATAATGCTTCGTGGGGACTGCCGCTTTTCTTTCGCACACTTTAAGTCACAAGACAGAGGAGCAAGATCTGGCGCTCGCCCTTTGAAATAAGTAATCCAGTTCGGAAACCGAATCAAGGTGCAAAACACAATGCAACATCAGCGGTCACTGGAGGAGGAGTATGATGCTGCCACCGTCTAGATTAACCCAGAATGTACGCATGCAATGCCATGGCCTTTGCTTATGAGCGGACGCCTTGCTGATGTGATCATATTGACCTTTGACCAGTTTTAGGCCAATCACGTGCATGCATCACAATATTGACCAAGCCGAAGAGTGACTTTGAATCATGTCTGGCACCTCGGTTTTTTTACATCGGGTTTATTTAGTTTGTTTAAAAAGAGATGGGTTGAAAATCCCTAAAAATCTTGATTTTTATTTATATCCCTTGCGCAGTCCGTATCGCAGTTTTCTTCAGTAAACCTCGCACTCGTAAAAATGAGTCGTATTATATCCAACTTAAGCGATGATGGCACGTCTTTATCTATACCCGGTGAGATTGTGGATGATGATTCGATCGTTGAGGTGGAAGTCCCAGTCGTGGATGAAGCACTCGAGCTGGTCAGGAAGAGAGGCCGGATTCAGAGCATGAAATGGGGTATTTCACGGATGTTGTGCAGCCAGATAAGCTTAGGCAGCGGTGTGAAAACTGCCGATATCTTATCAATTAGCACAAAAAGAGTGGGCCTGCGACAAACCATTTGAACAAGTGTAATAGGGCACTCATTGCTTGGGTGCCATAAAACTTTAAGCACACTCGTACTGTAACGAGGTACCCTTTGTAAATGTAACGGGGTCACACTAGCCATTGGCTAAATTGATCAAAGACCTCCTTTAAATGATATGGATGAATGTGTATGACCTTAGATTTTATATCAGCAAGAGAATATCGACTGATCGAGATTCCCAGGTTTACGGTACTTACTGTGTACGTACTTTGTACCGTCATCATTTGATGACTGAGTGATGTGCCAACCATCCATTTAGTTCGAATACTAGTATTTGTATCAGTTCTAGTTAAGTATAATATAGGGTACTTAAAGTGGAGTTTTCCTTGATATACAGATCTAAAAAAGTTCCGTTATCATTTTGGGCAGAAGTCCCTAGACTCTAACGGGGCACCCTGAAGCTTGTACTGGTGACAGTACAAGCTACTTATTCTGATGACAGAATAAGGCGGTGCCTCGTAACTTCACGTACACTCGTACGTGCAGAGGAAGACGGTAAGAAGAAGCGAGTACTTGGTTAGAGTAAAAAGTAGAACTGTATTTATAATAGTTAATGTCTGCAATAAATCACTATTTATCTTCATCTAACTATGTCTAAATACAAATGTGTAAATCAGTTATCTGCTCACCACTCATTGCGTGCGTCTGTCGTGGCGCGTCTTCGTTGGTTGATATAATGGCCTATATCAACCAATTAGGATTTACTCGTAAGTGCTACAGAATATTTGTTCTTATGACAATATTCTGAGAATATAACTCTTATAGTTATATTCTATTAACAATTTCTTATAAATTGTTATGTAACGATTCACCCCGTTACATCACCCCCCCTTAACCATCAGTCACTTTAGTGACTGATTGACTAAATGGATACTCGTCCCAAATCATTTGGGACAGTGTTTGCACTTGTTGGTCCGCGTCCACTTTCCAACATCTCATCGCATGGTAAACAAGCCCATGTGATGCGCGAGCAAGGTCGCCGAGAGCGCGTCCGCACGTCTTTGTGCGGACGCCGAAGCAGAAACCACAGCAACTGATGTCTCATCGGTTGCTGAAGCGACCCAGCCTGTGTCACTTGGCGATACGGGCGCTCGTCATGAAGACACTCATGTCTTCACAGAGTATGAGCTCGGTGTCTCGTACTCTCCTGATACGGAAGACGGATCCGTATCGACGGCAATTGAATCCGAGCCGCCTGCCAAGCGTGGCATGGACGATGCTATGCGTCGTAGCATCTTTGGTTCATCTGATGAATCAGATGAACCATCGCCGAAGCGAAGGCGCTCGAGGTCGCGAGACTCGGGCGCTAACAGTGGTGTCGGTTCTCCTATGGACACCACTTCGCAACGAGGTGCCAGTACTTCTGTCGGCACATCGCAGGAAGAGCGGGACCGCAATGTGTTGCGTCTCGCTCCTGAGAAGAAGGCATGGATGCCTCCAAAATCCGTCATGGATCACTTGTCGGCGACGACGAGTGATCGTTATCGAACACGATTGTTCGATTCGTCAAGGATCCATCACCTTGACCCCAGTGCGAAAAACTATCGCGCTGAACATGAATTCTTCATCGATGCTTTCTTCAAACATCGATGGTACAGTGGGAATCACAAACGTGATGGTCCCTCACTGCTTCAGGCGTGGAACGCCTACATCCATAACCTTGAGGATGTAGGTCGTGACGCTTGGAACGACAAACTTATCAAAGCTCGTGATAAGCTTGAAAAGCGAACCCCGACAGGTGCACGCTACAATCTGCATCTTCTGTCAAGGGAGAAAGGATTACCCTGCCTCTCTTGGGGAGACTCGTGCCCGTGTTGTGTGAACAACTCTGCACGAGCACCTAAGGAGGCTTACCTCCCTAATAGCCCGTGGTGGCGTGTACGTATCTCTACTGAGATGTACGAAGGGATTGACAACCTGAAATCCCTTTTACGACCGTGCCGGGAAGACTTTCTCCGGCGGTCCTTCTGCGGCACAGGATGTGCCGTGTCGTACCTCTCAACCAGACCCAGTACGTCGATCATCAGTTGGGAGCGGGGCTCCCAAGAATCCCAGGACGGGGGATAGCCGCGCCACCGGACGGGATAACTCGTCCGACGTCCGTTCACGTCGCGGCGGTTCAACAGATGCTCAACTAGATAGCGCTGGCCACCGCGAGAGTCCTCTAATGGAGGTGGAGGAGGAGGAAAGACGCTCTCCACACGATCATGTGGATCGGTGTGTTCCCAAGAGCTTCTTTGATCGCGTAACGCAAGGGTTACGCGACGATCTCGAACATGAGCGGAATAGGCGTCTCCAAATGGCGGACACTGCCTCGAAGCATTAAGCTGAGTTTGCCTTTGCTCAGCTTGAGAACGAGAGATCTCTGACATCTCTTCGTGACGAGCTAAGGGTAGCTCGTGGGATTGCTGATCGGTCTCGGGATGAGATAGCTGCTCTTCAGACCCTTGTTGATGCCCACCATCGGAAGCACAAGGCTCTCTGCGAGATGTTTGAGCACAAGGGCGTTCTTCATCGGAAGAAGCAGCGTACTGATGGTACGGCTTAAGCCGACGAACGTGAAACGTGGGATGCGTTCGCATCTTACGTGGTAACTCGATCGTGTATGCATTGCCTAGGCGGTGTAATACACGAAATGGGCCGATGTACTTGGGTAGTAGTTTACTGCTACCCAAGTTAGTCACTATATGCTTTGGTAGATTAACCGTAGACAGTAGGACTAAGTCACCTTTATTAAATAAAAGAGTGTTTGCCCTTCCATTCTTATCAGCGTTTTGCTTTTGCTTATCCACCGTGTAACGGGGCACCCTGAAGCTTGTACTGGTGACAGTACAAGCTACTTATTCTGATGACAGAATAAGGCGGTGCCTCGGAACTTCACGTACACTCGTACGTGCAGAGGAAGACGGTAAGAAGAAGCGAGTACTTGGTTAGAGTAAAAAGTAGAACTGTATTTATAATAGTTAATGTCTGCAATAAATCACTATTTATCTTCATCTAACTATGTCTAAATACAAATGTGTAAATCAGTTATCTGCTCACCACTCATTGCGTGCGTCTGTCGTGGCGCGTCTTCGTTGGTTGATATAATGGCCTATATCAACCAATTAGGATTTACTCGTAAGTGCTACAGAATATTTGTTCTTATGACAATATTCTGAGAATATAACTCTTATAGTTATATTCTATTAACAATTTCTTATAAATTGTTATGTAACGATTCACCCCGTTACATCACCCCCCCTTAACCATCAGTCACTTTAGTGACTGATTGACTAAATGGATACTCGTCCCAAATCATTTGGGACAGGGTTTGCACTTGTTGGTTCGAGTCCACTTTCCAACATCTCATCGCATGGTAAACAAGCCCATGTGATGCGCGAGCAAGGTCGCCGAGAGCGCGTCCGCACGTCTTTGTGCGGACGCCGAAGCAGAAACCACAGCAACTGATGTCTCATCGGTTGCTGAAGCGACCCAGCCTGTGTCACTTGGTGATACGGGCGCTCGTCATGAAGACACTCATGTCTTCACAGAGTATGAGCTCGGTGTCTCGTACTCTCCTGATACGGAAGACGGATCCGTATCGACGGCAATTGAATCCGAGCCGCCTGCCAAGCGTGGCATGGACGATGCTATGCGTCGTAGCATCTTTGGTTCATCTGATGAATCAGATGAACCATCGCCGAAGCGAAGGCGCTCGAGGTCGCGAGACTCGGGCGCTAACAGTGGTGTCGGTTCTCCTATGGACACCACTTCGCAACGAGGTGCCAGTACTTCTGTCGGCACATCGCAGGAAGAGCGGGACCGCAATGTGTTGCGTCTCGCTCCTGAGAAGAAGGCATGGATGCCTCCAAAATCCGTCATGGATCACTTGTCGGCGACGACGAGTGATCGTTATCGAACACGATTGTTCGATTCGTCAAGGATCCATCACCTTGACCCCAGTGCGAAAAACTATCGCACTGAACATGAATTCTTCATCGATGCTTTCTTCAAACATCGATGGTACAGTGGGAATCACAAACGTGATGGTCCCTCACTGCTTCAAGCGTGGAACGCCTACATCCATAACCTTGAGGATGTAGGTCGTGACGCTTGGAACGACAAACTTATCAAAGCTCGTGATAAGTTTGAAAAGCGAACCCCGACAGGTGCACGCTACAATCTGCATCTTCTGTCAAGGGAGAAAGAATTACCCTGCCTCTCTTGGGGAGACTCGTGCCCATATTGTGTGAACAACTCTGCACGAGCACCTAAGGAGACTTACCTCCTTACCAGCCCGTGGTGGCGCGTACGTATATCTACTGAGCTGTACGAAGGGATTGACAACCTGAAATCCCTTTACGACCGTGCCGGGAAGACTTTCTCCGGCGGTACTTCTGCGGCACATGATGTGCCTCGTCGTACTGCTCAACCAGACCCAGTACGTCAATCATCAGTTGGGAGCGGGGCTCCCAAGTATCCCAGGACGGGGATAGCCGCGCCACCAGACGAGGTAACTCGTCCGACGTCCGTTCACGTCGCGGTGGTTCAACAGATGCTCAACTAGATAGCGCTGGCCACCGCGAGAGTCCTCTAATGGAGGTGGAGGAGGAGGAAAGACGCTCTCCACACGATCATGTGGATCGGTGTGTTCCCAAGAGCTTCTTTGATCGCGTAACGCAAGGGTTACGCGACGATCTCGAACATGAGCGGAATAGGCGTCTCCAAATGGCGGACACTGTCTCGAAGCATCGAGCTGAGTTTGCCTTTGCTCAGCTTGAGAACGAGAGATCTCTGACATCTCTTCGTGACGAGCTAAGGGTAGCTCGTGGGATTGCTGATCGGTCTCGGGATGAGATAGCTGCTCTTCAGACCCTTGTTGATGCCCACCATCGGAAGCACAAGGCTCTCTGCGAGATGTTTGAGCACAAGGGCGTTCTTCATCGGAAGAAGCAGCGTACTGATGGTACGGCTTAAGCCGACGAACGTGAAACGTGGGATGCGTTCGCATCTTACGTGGTAACTCGATCGTGTATGCATTGCCTAGGCGGTGTAATACACGAAATGGGCCGATGTACTTGGGTAGTAGTTTACTGCTACCCAAGTTAGTCACTATATGCTTTGGTAGATTAACCGTAGACAGTAGGACTAAGTCACCTTTATTAAATAAAAGAGTGTTTGCCCTTCCATTCTTATCAGCGTTTTGCTTTTGCTTATCCACCGTGTAACGGGGCACCCTGAAGCTTGTACTGGTGACAGTACAAGCTACTTATTCTGATGACAGAATAAGGCGGTGCCTCGGAACTTCACGTACACTCGTACGTGCAGAGGAAGACGGTAAGAAGAAGCGAGTACTTGGTTAGAGTAAAAAGTAGAACTGTATTTATAATAGTTAATGTCTGCAATAAATCACTATTTATCTTCATCTAACTATGTCTAAATACAAATGTGTAAATCAGTTATCTGCTCACCACTCATTGCGTGCGTCTGTCGTGGCGCGTCTTCGTTGGTTGATATAATGGCCTATATCAACCAATTAGGATTTACTGTAAGTGCTACAGAATATTTGTTCTTATGACAATATTCTGAGAATATAACTCTTATAGTTATATTCTATTAACAATTTCTTATAAATTGTTATGTAACGATTCACCCCGTTACATCACCCCCCCTTAACCATCAGTCACTTTAGTGACTGATTGACTAAATGGATACTCGTCCCAAATCATTTGGGACAGGGTTTGCACTTGTTGGTTCGAGTCCACTCTCCAACATTTCATCGCATGGTAAACAAGCCCATGCGATGCGCGAGCAAGGCCGCCGAGACCGCGTCCGCACGTCTCTGTGCGGACGCCGAAGCAGAAACCACAGCAACTGATGTCTCATCGGTTGCCGAAGCGACCCAGCCTGTGTCACTTGGTGATACGGGCGCTCGTCATGAAGACACTCATGTCTTCACAGAGTATGAGCTCGGTGTCTCGTACTCTCCTGATACGGAAGACGGATCCGTATCGACGGCAATTGAATCCGAGCCGCCTGCCAAGCGTGGCATGGACGATGCTATGCGTCGTAGCATCTTTGGTTCATCTGATGAATCAGATGAACCATCGCCGAAGCGAAGGCGCTCGAGGTCGCGAGACTCGGGCGCTAACAGTGGTGTCGGTTCTCCTATGGACACCACTTCGCAACGAGGTGCCAGTACTTCTGTCGGCACATCGCAGGAAGAGCGGGACCGCAATGTGTTGCGTCTCGCTCCTGAGAAGAAGGCATGGATGCCTCCAAAATCCGTCATGGATCACTTGTCGGCGACGACGAGTGATCGTTATCGAACACGATTGTTCGATTCGTCAAGGATCCATCACTTGACCCCAGTGCGAAAAACTATCGCACTGAACATGAATTCTTCATCGATGCTTTCTTCAAACATCGATGGTACAGTGGGAATCACAAACGTGATGGTCCCTCACTGCTTCAAGCGTGGAACGCCTACATCCATAACCTTGAGGATGTAGGTCGTGACGCTTGGAACGACAAACTTATCAAAGCTCGTGATAAGTTTGAAAAGCGAACCCCGACAGGTGCACGCTACAATCTGCATCTTCTGTCAAGGGAGAAAGAATTACCCTGCCTCTCTTGGGGAGACTCGTGCCCATATTGTGTGAACAACTCTGCACGAGCACCTAAGGAGACTTACCTCCTTACCAGCCCGTGGTGGCGCGTACGTATATCTACTGAGCTGTACGAAGGGATTGACAACCTGAAATCCCTTTGCGACCGTGCCGGGAAGACTTTCTCCGGCGGTACTTCTGCGGCACATGATGTGCCTCGTCGTACTGCTCAACCAGACCCAGTACGTCAATCATCAGTTGGGAGCGGGGCTCCCAAGTATCCCAGGACGGGGATAGCCGCGCCACCAGACGAGGTAACTCGTCCGACGTCCGTTCACGTCGCGGTGGTTCAACAGATGCTCAACTAGATAGCGCTGGCCACCGCGAGAGTCCTCTAATGGAGGTGGAGGAGGAGGAAAGACGCTCTCCACACGATCATGTGGATCGGTGTGTTCCCGAGAGCTTCTTTGATCGCGTAACGCAAGGGTTACGCGGCGATCTCGAACATGAGCGGGACAGGCGTCTCCAACTGGCGGACGCTGTCTCGAAGCATCGAGCTGAGTTTGCCTTTGCTCAGCTCGAGAACGAGAGAGCTCTGACGTCTCTGTGTGACGAGCTAAGGTAGCTCGTGGGATTGCTGATCGGTCTCGGGATGAGATAGCTGCTCTTCAGACCCTTGTTGATGCCCACCATCGGAAGCACAAGGCTCTCTGCGAGATGTTTGAGCACAAGGGCGTTCTTCATCGGAAGAAGCAGCGTACTGATGGTACGGCTTTAGCCGACCAACGTAAAACGTGGGATGCGTTCACATCTTACGTGGTAACTCGATCGTGTATGCATTGCCTAGGCGGTGCAATACACGAAATGGGCCAATGTACTTGGGTAGTAGTTTACTACTACCCAAGTTAGTCATTACATGCTTTGGTAGGTTAACCGTAGACAGTAGGACTAAGTCACCTTTATTAAATAAAAGAGTGTTTGCCCTTCCATTCTTGTCAGCGTTTTGCTTTTGCTTATCCACCGCTTCGGCGATGGGATCTTGCACAAAACGGGACTACCGTTTCACGAGCTGGTGCATGAACTTATCTGGGGGGGAATGACTCGTTAGCTTCAGCCGGTGCGCTGTGAGAGCACTGCAGCAACACCAATCTTTCTTCAGTGAGGGCTTCCGCCACTGGCATCATTATCTTCGATACCGATAAAGCTATTGATATCGGCATCAAACGCAATGACCCCTGTCAGAGCGTGATGACGTGAACCAAACTGGTTTTTATCGCGCGAGTCCCTCTCTCTTTAAACTAGATTTACACTCTAGTGAGGTGGGTGCACGCGGGATGGCGTACACCATTCACGTAAAACGGTGCAAAGGGTCGTGGACGCATGCACCGAGTTCGTTAATGGCAAACTCTACCATTGGCAAGAACTCACTCCAATCCTAAAAGGAGTGTACGTATCCTCGAAGTATTTCTTCAAGGACACGATTGGCACGTTCCGTCTGACCATCTGACTCTGGATGATCAGATGTAGACATCTTCAAGCGCGTTCCGAGTGATTTGAACATGGAACGCCAGAAATCAGCAGTGAAGCGTGGATCTCTGTCTGATACGAGTTCACGGGGCAACCCATGAAGTCGAAAGATGGTGTCGATAAAGACACAAGCACAGCCACTTGCCGTGATTGTCTCTGGTACAGTCACGAGGTGTACCACTTTGCTGAATCTGTCAACAAATACGAGAATACCCGTATTCCCGCGTGCGTCTTTGGGTAACCTGAAGACAGAAATCTATTGAGATGGATTCCCCAGCACTCAGCCGGAACCGTTAGAGGCTGTAAAGGTGCACGCAGTGAAGGACTTGACTTCACTCGTTGACAGACTTCGCATGCGCGAACATACTTTCGCACAAACTGGATAGTGGGCGGGGCCAGTAAAAGTCTCGACTCACCGTGAGATATGTTTTCTCCCGGCCACGATGTCCCTCCTATAGGAAGCGGTCGTGATACTTCGAACATGATCCGCAAACGCAGATCAGTATCATCTGGAATGACAACACGTGGTGTGTCACCAGAAACGGCTGTATAATACAGTAAACCGTTGCGAGTAGTGTATCGATCTGATGCAAATCGATACGCAGACGACAATCGTTTCAACGATTCTCGATATGGTTGTGAGAGATGTGCCAACAACTTCACAATCTAACCATCTTGGGCATACGTCCGCCTCACATCATCATGTAATGTTAAAGATGGTATGGTAGACGTCATAACCGCAACAGTGGCTGTCTCACTGTTGGGTTTCACGACTGGTTCAAAGTCGGGACGACGTAAAAGTGCATCAGCGACGACATTAAGTCGTCCTGGTTTGTACTCGACCGTAAAGTTGTATTCTGCAAAGAATGACAACCACCGCGCCATTCGTTGTGAAAGGTGCGGGCTGTTCACTGCCGTGCGTAATGACGCATGGTCAGTGTAAACAATGAAGGGTCTATCTCCTAATAGATAGACTCTGAACTTCGCGAGTGCATACTTCATGGCAAGGAGTTCCTTGCCATGCACTGGATAGTTCCGCTCAGCTGGTTGCAGCTGACACGACTGATAGCAGACGACGCGTTCAACGCCTTCAAGATCGTACTGCATTAATGCACAGCCGATTGCGAAATCGCTGGCATCACAGACCACATGAAATGGCCTGTCTTGATCGGCTATTGCTAGGACTGGGGATTGTAGCAAGCTCTGCTTGATATTATCAAAGTAGCGCTGGCATTCAACGTTCCATAACCACCTCTCGTTCTTTTTCAACAAATGAGAGAGGTGTACAGTCATCTTGTCGTAATTGCGTGAATACTTGTGCAAATACGCCGCTAGCCCAAGGAATTTTCGAAGACCTTTGACATCGACCGGCACAGGCCAGTCGGTGATCGACTTGATCTTTTCGGGATCAGGACGTACACCGTTCTTACCAGCGATGCACCCAAGAAGTGATATTCCGCTTGCTGCAAAGATACACTTATTAAGGTTTGCATACAATTGATGCTTTCGCATGATTGTAAGAACTTGTCGGACGTGTACCTGTGAACCTCAACGTCCGACTTTCCATCCATAGCTCGACTATGGATGAATACGTCATCGAAATAACTCGGCGCGAATTCTCGTACTGGTCTCAACAGATGTGATACACATCTGTTGAACGTGGCAGGGGCATTACTGAGCCCTTGTGGCATTACTAGCCATTCCCAGAGCATGCCGCTAGGCGTGCTAACTGCGGTATAGGGTATGTCCCGTTCTCGCATAAGGATTTGATAGAAGCCATCCATCAAATCCATGGACGAAAAGATGGTGCTTTTTGCCATACCATCAATGATGACATCCTTTCTTGGGATCGGCGTTTGAGCCGTTACCGTTGCAGCATTCAGTTTGTTAAATGCATGAGCTATCCGCCACCCTCCTGTTGCTTTTCGCACACAGAAGGTCGGAGAGCTATGTGGGGAAGTTGATTCCCTCACATGGCCCGCAGATAAACGATCGGCAAAGAACTTGTCGATAGCAAGTACTTGTTCACGAGGCAGTGTCCACTGCTTCATGACACAGTACTTCGAGCCTGGTTTAAGCTCGACTTCGTGTCGAATACCTTTATCCTTCGGTAATTCGCACGGAACAGTTTCAGAGAATACATCCTTGAATTCAACCAAATCTTCATAGAGAGGATTTGTCTTGAGCAATTCCTACGATTGGGAGTCATATCGCTCAACTCGTATCTTTTCATCGAGGACACTCTCGTCCATAGATGAACTACTGAGAACTCTCTCGTTCTCAGTAAATACTGTTGCTGACCTTATGTCGGCTACACACTCGTCGTCAGCGACGAGTACGCAGATCTGCTTGACTTTGCCACTACGCAGATCACGCAAGATCCTTTTATGTTCGAGCGTTGACAACTGAGTGATCTCCGAAGTCAACTTCGGAGGCGCAATCAGATCAAGTGTATAAGCGCCTACACTTGATCCATCATTGAATAGGACATTCAATGTCTCTGTCATTTCCCTGGGGACTTATTCCCTCAGGCCTCGAAGGACTTATTCCTTCGGCTTCCCGGGGACTTATTCCCGCGGGTTTCGGGGAACTTATTTCCGCCGTATTTGTAATATTGGGACTTATTCCCTTTACTTCCTCTAGCTGGGGTTGCGCAACCACAGCGAGATCCTCTACGAAAGACTCTCCAGTCAATCTAGGATTATCGTTTCGCTTAACCTGAGCGATCGATTGTTTATCTTCTAGATGTTCCCCGCTAGGGATACATCTTTGTCCCGATCCACTCGACTTATTCGAGTGGTGGACCTTCGGCGCAGCCTGTGTTTCCTCACAGCCGCCGGAACTTTGCTCCGAAGTGTAACCGTTTGGTACACTAAGGTTTTGTGCAGTCGTACTAACGACCGTACCACAAGTGAGGCCATCGCACTCACTCGTAGTACATCCACACGCTTGTGGACGCTCCAAAACGTTCATCAGATGGTCATCTGATGAACAAGCGGCAGGCATCGTTACTGTTCGATGTTGCCAGTTTACCCGTGCTTCGTACCTTCTGAGCCACGGTATTCCAAGGATGACATCAAATTTGTCATCCACATCCAATACGATAAAGTCATCATCATATTGGGTATCTTCTAGCGTACAGTGGATCTTCACTATACGCTTCATGACGGTTACGGATGCGCCTGTCGCAAGACGTACCAACATCCTCGTAGGAGGTGTGTCACATTCACTGAACTTAAATGACCATCTTCTATCGATTGGCGTTGCACAAAATTGTAGGACGCCCTTCAATCGACTAGAGCTCGAAGCGACAACTCATTTGTCACTTCGAGTTTCAAGGTAATGGGTGAGATCTCATTACCTAGAGCAGCAACGCACAACGTTTGTGTGTTGGGAGCAGCCTTCATCGAGAACCCTACAAATTCTCTTAACGTTGCTGGACCAGTAGGGTGCTCCACACCTACTGATCCTGTCCGTTTTTTGACGGTCCATCCCGTTGTTGCGTCTTTGCACCAACTGCGGACCCTCGTCCCTGCCCCTTTATCATGGGTGGACGGTCACTACGCCCAGTGTTGCGAGACACTGGACGAGGGGCACGACACTCGTAAGCGTAGTGTCCTGTCTTCTGACATCTGTTGCATTTCTGCAACTTCTTGTAGTCTGTAGAGCGAGCCTTCTCGCTCTCTACATAACAGAGTTCCATCGGCTCTGGACCTCCGCTGTCATATCGTCTCGGTTGACGATATGATGTCGATCTGGCGCGAGCCTGTCTCAGACTGAAGTCTTCCTGTTCCGCAATGGATACGGCTTGTTCTAGTGAATCTAGCTCAAGCCAGAACAGGTGAGTCTTGACGGGACCATCCGCAAGACCCTGCATGAACACCGAAACCAACGTGTGTTCATCCACCGGATTGGAACTTATACAACTCGTGAGATGTCGTATATGTTGCGCGTAAGCGTGCACATCACGCTTACCCTGTTTGAGCTTCAAGAGTTCGGTTCGAGCTCTGAACTCAGCTCCAGGCGGTTCAAACTTTTGTCTGAGCCGCGACTTGAAGACTTTTAACGACCCGAACGCATCTGGGTCGTGCAACTTGAGCCCCAGTGCCCAAGTCTTGGCACGTCCTGCCAGATTTGACTGGGCAAATGCAACTTGCATATCCCCGTCGTCGATGCGACGCGCCCTTATGGCGTCATCCAATTTGACGAACCATCTCAAGAGGGAGTCTTCTTCGACTCCCCTATAATTAGAGATGTCAATCTTCAAAGTTACGGTCGACGCGAGTGCATCGACCCACCAGCAGTAGCCTGCTGCTGTCTCAACAGCTCAAACTGTTGAACACCCTGTTCTCTCAACAACTCTGCTTGTTGAGAACCTTGTTGGTGAAGCAAGGCTACTTTCTCGCGTTCAGCGTCAAGTTCATTTTGAATGAACTTGGCGATAGTAGCATGTTGGGCATCTCTATTGAGAGCCTCTAGCATGACGCTAACAGCATGGATGCCCATGGTCGAACCCATTCGTTCAACCGCATCCCATTCGACATCGCTCAAATGGGAGTAGCCGTCACGCATAGCGTGAAAGCTTTGGTCATCTTCATCATCCAACACATTCATGTTAGATGTGAACGTGGTCCTTGGACGGACTACGAAGTGCTACCAGGTGTAACGGGGCACCCTGAAGCTTGTACTGGTGACAGTACAAGCTACTTATTCTGATGACAGAATAAGGCGGTGCCTCGTAACTTCACGTACACTCGTACGTGCAGAGGAAGACGGTAAGAAGAAGCGAGTACTTGGTTAAAGTAAAAAGTAGAACTGTATTTATCATAGTTAATGTCTGCAATAAATCACTATTTATCTTTATCTAACTATGTCTAAATACAAATGTGTAAATCAGTTATCTGCTCACCACTCATTGCGTGCGTCTGTCGTGGCGCGTCTTCGTTGGTTGATATAATGGCGTATATCAACCAATTAGGAACAACTCGTAAGTGCTACAGAATATTTGTCCTTATGACAAGATTCTGAGAATATAACTCTTATAGTTATATTCTATTAACAATTTCTTATAAATTGTTATGTAACAATTCACCCCGTTACATAGATGAACTACTGAGAACTCTCTCGTTCTCAGTAAATACTGTTGCTGACCTTATGTCGGATACACACTCGTCGTCAGCGACGAGTACGCAGATCTGCTTGACTTTGCCACTACGCAGATCACGCAAGAACCTTTTATGTTCGAGCGTTGGCAACTGAGTGATCTCCGAAGTCAACTTCGGAGGCGCAATCAGATCAAGTGTATAAGCGCCTACAATTGATCCGTCATTGACTATGACATTCAATGTCTCTGTCATTTCCTGGGGACTTATTCCCTCAGGCCTCGAAGGACTTATTCCTTCGGCTTCCCGGGGACTTATTCCCGCGGGTTTCGGGGAACTTATTTCCGCCGTATTTGTAATATTGGGACTTATTCCCTTTACTTCCTCTAGCTGGGGTTGCGCAACCATAGCGAGATCCTCTACGAAAGACTCTCCAGTCGATCTAGGATTATCGTTTCGCTTAACCTGAGCGATCGATTGGTTCTCTTCTAGATGTTTCCCGCTAGGGATACATCTTTGTCCCAGTCCACCCGACTTATTCGAGTGGTGGACCTTCGGCGCAGCCTGTTTTTCCTCACAGCCGCCGGAACTTTGCTCCGAAGTGTAACCGTTTGGTACACTAAGGTTTTGTGCAGTCGTACTAACGACCGTACCACAAGTGAGGCCATCGCACTCACTCGTAGTACATCCACACGCTTGTGGACGCTCCAAAACGTTCATCAGATGGTCATCTGATGAACAAGCGGCAGGCATCGTTACTGTTCGATGTTGCCAGTTTACCCGTGCTTCGTGCCTTCTGAGCCACGGTATTCCAAGGATGACATCAAATTTGTCATCCACATCCAATACGATAAAGTCATCATCATATTGGGTATCTTCTAGCGTACAGTGGATCTTCACTATACGCTTCATGACGGTTACGGATGCGCCTGTCGCAAGACGTACCAACATCCTCGTAGGAGGTGTGTCACATTCACTGAACTTAAAATGACCATCTTCTATCGATTGGCGTTGCACAAAATTGTAGGACGCCCTTCAATCGACTAGAGCTCGAAGCGACAACTCATTTGTCACTTCGAGTTTCAAGGTAATGGGTGAGATCTCATTACCTAGAGCAGCAACGCACAACGTTTGTGTGTTGGGAGCAGCCTTCATCGAGAACCCTACAAATTCTCTTGACGTTGCTGGACCAGTAGGGTGCTCCACACCTACTGATCCTGTCCGTTTTTTACGGTCCATCCCTTTGTTGCGTCTTTGCACCAACAGCGGACCCGCGTCCCTGCCCCTTTATCATGGGTGGACGGTCACTACGCCCAGTGTTGCGAGACACTGGACGAGGGGCACTACACTCGTAAGCGTAGTGTCCTGTCTTCTGACATCTGTTGCATTTCTGCAACTTCTTGTAGTCTGTAGAGCGAGCCTTCTCGCTCTCTACATAACAGAGTTCCATCGGCTCTGGACCTCCGCTGTCATATCGTCTCGGTTGACGATATGATGTCGAGCTGGTGCGAGCCTGTCTCAGACTGAAGTCTTCCTGTTCCGCAATGGAAATGGCTTGTTCTAGTGAATCTAGCTCAAGCCAGAACAGGTGAGTCTTGACGGGACCATCCGCAAGACCCTGCATGAACACCAAAACCAACGTGTGTTCGTCAACCGGATTGGAACTTATACAACTCGTGAGATGTCGTATATGTTGCGCGTAAGCGTGCACATCACGCTTACCCTGTTTGAGCTTCAAGAGTTCGGTTCGAGCTCTGAACTCAGCTCCAGGCGGTTCAAACTTTTGTCTGAGCCGCGACTTGAAGACTTTTAACGACCCGAACGCATGTGGGTCGTGCAACTTGAGTCCCAAAGCCCAAGTCTTGGCACGTCCTGCCAGATTTGACTGGGCAAATGCAACTTGCATATCCCCGTCGTCGATGCGACGCGCCCTTATGGCGTCATCCAATTTGACGAACCATCTCAAGAGGGAGCCTTCTTCGACTCCCCTATAATTAGAGATGTCAATCTTCAAAGTTACGGTCGACGCGAGTGCATCGACCCACCAGCAGTAGCCTGCTGCTGTCTCAACAGCTCAAACTATTGAACACCCTGTTCTCTCAACAACTCTGCTTGTTGAGAACCTTGTTGGTGAAGCAAGGCTACTTTCTCGCGTTCAGCGTCAAGTTCATTTTGAATGAACTTGGCGATAGTAGCATGTTGGGCATCTCTATTGAGAGCCTCTAGCATGACGCTAACAACATGGATGCCCATGGTAGAACCCATCCGTTCAACCGCATCCCATTCGACATCGCTCAAATGGGAGTAGCCGTCACGCATAGCGTGAAAGCTTTGGTCATCTTCATCATCCAACACATTCATGTTAGATGTGAACGTGGTCCTTGGACGGACTACGAAGTGCTACCAGGTGTAACGGGGCACCCTGAAGCTTGTACTGGTGACAGTACAAGCTACTTTTTCTGATGACAGAATAAGGCGGTGCCTCAGAACTTCACGTACACTCGTACGTGCAGAGGAAGACGGTAAGAAGAAGCGAGTGCTTGGTTAAAGTAAAAAGTAGAACTGTATTTATCATAGTCAATGCCTGTTAATAAACCACTATTTTATCCCATCTAACTATGCCTGAATACAAATGTGCATATCAACTATCTGCTCACCACTCATTGCGTGCGTCTGTTGTGGCGCGTCTTCGTTGGTTGATATAATGGCCTATATCAACCAATTAGGAACCACTCATAGGTGCTGTAGAATATTTGTCCTTATGACAATATTTCGAGAATATAACTCTTATAGTTATATTCTATTAACAATGTCTTGTAAATTGTTATGTAACGATTCACCCCGTTACAGGTTGGAAGTACAAGAGGAGAAACAAGACCAGGCATGCTAAATGTCCAAATGAATGATCTTACCTTGAAGTCTTTTCATCCTAGTTCGGACACCTAACTTCTGATATCGGGTCCAAGGGTGCGTCACTACACAAGTAAATTATGTTTTATAGATCACTATGTCGCTAGAAAAGTACAGTGCTTAATTTGTTGATCTGTCGTGAAAAATGTGGTTAACACTTGACTTCTGTAACGGGGCACATTAAGTTTAGGGTGCCGCGAAACTTCACGTACACCAGTACTGTAAAGGGGTGAATCGTTACATAACAATTTACAAGAAATTGTTAATAGAATATAACTATAAGAGTTATATTCTCAGAATATTGTCATAAGGACAAATATTCTGTAGCACTTACGAGTAGTTCCTAATTGGTTGATAGAGGCCATTATATCAACCAACGAAGACGCGCCACGACAGACGCACGCAGTGAGTGGTGAGCAGATAGTTGATATGCACATTTGTATTCAGACATAGTTAGATGAGGATAAATAGTGATTATTAGCAGACATTAACTATGATAAGTACAGTTCTACTTTTTACTTTAACCAAGCACTCGCTTCTTCTTACCGTCTTCCTCTGCACGTACGAGTGTACGTAAAGTTCTGAGGCACCGCCTTATTATGTCATCAGAAAAAGTAGCTTGTACTGTCACCAGTACAAGCTTCAGGGTGCCCCGTTACAAGTACGTGCAGAGGAAGCTTAAGTACTTGAACGACTCGGTCAAGTAAAGGTAAAAAGAGAACTGTATTTAAGCAATCAATACTACTTTAATCTTTATCTAACTGTATTAAACTACGCCGTCGTATGACGACAACCTGCTCACCACTCATTGCGCGCGTCTAGCAGCGATTGGTGGTACTCCATGGTTGCTATGTCTTATATCAACCAATCTTGGAGCAGCGAATGAATATTATCCAAAAGGGGATAACGTTCCTTCAATATTACCTATCCCGGATAATATCGGTAGAATATTGTCATTCTAGACAAAATTCCAATTAACACCGTTTGGTGTCAATATCATGTAACCGGCCACCCCGTTACATCACCCCCCCCTTAAACATCAATCATTCGTTGATTGAATTAGAATTGATTGGGACAGGGTGACCACCGTTGGATCACCCTGGGAAAGGGAGCACTTGTTGGTCAAATTCCATTCATTCGCCAATCCAACGCATGGTTTCCAAAACCACGCGAGCTGCTACTGCATCTGCAAGAAGAGTGGCTGCACGCATGCGTGCGGCCGCGGAAAGTGCCTCTCACGCCTTAGTAGCAGGCGATTCGTCGCCTGTTGTCGTGAAACCTCCACGTGGTGAGTCACCACTTGCGACAGGTACATCCGTTGCGTCTGCAGCGGGTACATCGAATCGTAATCCAGACGAGTCTGAGATAGAGCTCATCTATTCTGGCGAGTCCGATGATGCATCCGACTCGAAGGCGACTCCTCACGCCTCGGGATCACCGGGGGCGGACGCTGCAAAAGCCAGGCTGACTGGCTCTGGTCATCGCGGCAGCATCATGACCGAGATCTTCGGATCGAGTGATACTCCGATGAGTCTCCGCCTCACGCAAGTCCATTCATCGGTGGTGGGCATAGGATGCACCTATGCCCACCACGAGCGAAGTAACTCAAGAAATCGGGGCAACACTGGTGCCAGTGCTCATGATGGCACCAATCAAGAGGCCAGGGACCGAAATGTCCTGCGCCACGCTCCTCAAGTGGAGTTTCCGTGGATGCCGTCATCCACAGAGTTGAACCGGTTGGCCGGCACGACTACCGAACGCGATAGAATCCCGTTGTTCGATTGCAGGAAGATTTGCCCTCCTGGTTCTAGCACGGAAGCTATCCGTGCTGAGGAAGAGTTCTTCACCGATGCGTTCTTCAAAGATCGGTGGTACAATGGTATCCGTGTACGAGACGGCAAAGCCTTGGTGTAGGGATGGAATGCCCTCATCCACAACATCGAGTGTATTGGCCGTGAGGCTTGGCTCGCCAAACTTGACGCAGCTCGCATCAGGTTTGAGAAACGCAACCCCGTCGGGGCGCGATACAAGTTGCACCGGCTTTCAAGAGAGGAAGGATTACTCTGTCCCTCGTGGGGTGATTCGTGTCCAGGTTGCCCGGACAATTAGAACCGTGCCCCTAGGGAGGCCTCCCTCCCTCAAATGATCCCTAACGGAGGGTGCGCATCTCTTCCGAGATGGTCGAAGGGATCGACAATTTGCAATCCCTGTACTCGCCTTCGGGAAGGTCGTTTTCCGACGGCCCTTCTTCAAACGCAGCGGGTGGGTCTCGTCGTACTGCTCGACGAGACCAAGGACATCAACAATCAGCTGGGCACAAGCCTCCCAGCTGTCCCACGCCGGTGGATAGCCACGCCAGCGGACGAGGTAACTCGTCCGGACGCCATTCACATCGCGGTTGTTCAAAATACGCTCCACTAGGAAGCGTTGACCACCGCTTGAGTCCACCAAAGGATGTGGTGGCGGTGGGAACACCTGATCCGGCTCGAGGGTCGGATCAAGTTGATGTTCAAGAGCTGAACCGTCTAACGGAACAGTTGCAAGATGACCTGGCTCATGAACGATCTCGGCGTTATGGGCTTGAGGATCTTGTGAGGGATAATTATAATTCCTTATCGCACGATCGTTCGGACGATCGTGCCTCTTTTTCGTTCGCGCAACTTAAGAACGAACGTTCGACTCGTTCTCTTCGTGATGAGCTGGCTGCTGCTCGTCGAGACATCGCTGAGCTGCGTGAACAGGTCGCTTCGCTGGTCGACCAGACTGGCTCGTTGAAACGGGACCACTCGAGGGTGGTCTCGGCTCTCGACTGTGGAGGTGTTCTTCGCATCTCGAAACGGGCTCGTACTGATAGTACGGGCGGAGACGACCAACGTATAACGTAGAATGTGTGCGCGTCTTACGGGGCAGTTTAATCGTGTATGCGTTGCCCATTCGGCGCAACACACGAAATGGACCGATGTACCTGGGCAGTAATTTACTGCTGCCCACGTTTGTCACTGCGTGCTTCGGTAAGTTTACTGTGGACAGTAAAAATAGGTCTCCTTCGTCAAATGAAAGAACATTTGCTCTTCCATGTTTGTCTGCATTTCTCTTCTGTCTTGCTCATGCATCTGCAATAGAGTCTTGAACGAAGCGGACAACCGCTTCGCGAGTCAGCAGAAATTCCTCTGCTGATTCATCCTTGTGAACAGCAGTGCGCTTCGTGTGCACTGCAAAAGAACGTGTGCGGGTATCATCGTCCTCACTTTGGCGGTCATTGGCGATGCTAAATACGCCAGCATCGTCGTCATCGTCATCATCGACATCGATCTCATCGACATCGGCATCCATCACGTCGACACCATTGTCGACGGGTGATGAGAAAGAACCAGATCGGTTTTTGTTCGAGCGATGCCACCCCCCTCTTAAACTAGAGTCACACTCTAAGAAGGCGGGTAGACGTGGATGGCGTAGGCCATTCACGAAGAACGGTGTATGCGTTGTAGACGCGTGCACCGATTTGTTAATGGCGAATTCCGCCATCAGCAAGAACTCACTCCAGCTCTTAAACGAGTGGACATACCCTCGAAGTATCTCTTCGAGAACGCGGTTGACGCGTTTTGTTTGACCATCTGTTTCGGGTTGTTCAGAAGTTGACATCGTCAAACGTGTTCCAAGTGAGCGGAACACGGATTGCCAGAACTCCGCTGTGAAGCGGGGGTTCGACCAGATACGATTTCACGGGGTAACCCGTGAAGTCGGAAGATAGTATCGATGAAGACACGCGCTTAGGCCTGGGCTGTGATTGACTCTGGTACAGCAACAAGATTTACCATCTTGCTGTACTGATCAATGAACACAGAATACCAGTATTTTTGTGAACGTCTTTGGGAAACCCGAAGACGAAGTCCATCGATACGGACTGCCAACACTCTGCCGGAATCGGAAGAGGCTGTAAGGGTGCGCGGGATGAAGGGCTAGGCTTCACCCGTTGACAAACTTCGCAAGCGCGAATGTATTTCCGCACAAACTCATACTGGCGGGGCCAGTAGAAGTCACGACTCACCATGAGGTAAATCGTTTCTCTACCACGATGTCCACTTATTGTGGCATCGTGACACTCATACATGGTGAGCAATCGCAAATTATTATGAGCCGGAACGACGACAAGAGGTGTGTCGCCGTTGACTGCTGTATAGTACAGCAGTCCATCACGTACAGAATACAGTTCGGTTGAAGAGCGGTATTGAGACGACAAGATTTTCAAAGCTTGACTACACGGATTACATACGCAATCCATCAACCGCAGAAGAGACTCAAATTCTGTGTATGCTTTTCGCACGCCATCGAGCAGATTCGAAGACAGAACACTCACTGTTAGTGTTGCGACAGAGGGATCACCCCTACTGTTGGGTTGAGCAGTCGGCTCGAAATCGGGCCGACGCGAAAGAGCACCAGCGACGACATTAAGTCTTCCTGGTTTATACTCGATGGAGAAGTTGTACTCCGCGAAGAAGACAGCCACCTCGCCATTCGTTGCGAGAAGTGTGGACTGTTTACGGCCGTGCGTAACGACGCATGGTCGGTATAAACGATGAAGGACCTATCTACTAAGAGATATACCCGAAACTTGGCCAGTGCATATTTCATGGCAAGGAGTTCCTTGTCATGAACCGGATAATTTTGCTCAGCTGCTTGCAGCTGACGCGATTGATAACAGACGAAACGAGAAACGCTCAACGCCGTCTGAGTCGTACTGCATTAACGCGCAGCCTATTGCAAAATCGCTGGCGTCACAGACCACATGAAATGGCATATCCTGATCTGCAATCTCCAACACAGGCGATTGCACCAAGCTTTCTTGATGCCCTCAAAAGAGTGCTGACACTCAGCACTCCATGACCACCTCTCGTTTTTCTTTAATAGACGAGAGAGATGTACGGTCATCTCGGCATAGTTGCGCGAGTATTTGTGCAAATACGCTACCAAGCCAAGGAACTTTCGAAGTCCCTTGACGTCGAGTGGAACAGGCCAGTCGCTAATCGCATTGATCTTTTTCGGATCAGTGCGTACATCGTTTTTACCCACGATGCAACCAAGAAATGGTATTTCGTTCGCTGCGAATATACACTTCTTGAGGTTTGCATACAATTGATGCTCTCGCATTAGCGTAAGAACCTTCCGGACGTGGATTCTATGAACCTCCACGTCCGTCTTTACATCCATAGCCTGACTATGGACGAAGCCATCGTCGGAGTAACTCGGTGCAAAGTCGCGCACCGATCGCAACAGATTTGTAACACATCTGTTAAACGTTGCAAGGGCGTTACTTAGCCCCTGTGGCATTACTAGCCACTCCCAGAGCATACCACTGGGGGTACTCACTGCCGTGTAAGGTATATCCCGTTCACGCATGAGGATCTGATCGAATCCATCCATCAAATCCATGGACGAAAAGATGGTGCTTTTTGCCATACCATCAATGATGACATCCTTTCTTGGGATCGGCGTTTGAGCCGTTACCGTTGCAGCATTCAATTTGTTGAACGCGTGCACTATCCGCCACCCTCCTGTTGCTTTTCGCACACAGAAGGTCGGAGAGCTATGTGGGGATGTTGATTCCCTCACATGGCCCGCAGATAATCGATCGGCAAAGAAATTGTCGATCGCTGTGACCTGTTCACGAGGCAGTGGCCACTGCTTCATGACACAGTATTTCGAACCAGGTTTCAGTTCGATCTCATGCCGAGTAACTTTGTCTTTGGGCAGCTCGCATGGCACGGATTCCGGGAAACATCCCTGAATTCCACCAAATCCTTATACAAAGGATTTTTTTTAAAGACTCCCAAGATTGAGACGTGCATCGCTCAATCCGGGTCTTCTCATCGAGGACACTCTCGTCCATCGATGAACTACTGAGAACCCGTTCGTTCGCAGCAAACACTTGTGCCGACCGAATATCGGCGACGTACTCGTCCTCTGTGACGAGTACGCAGATTTGCTTGATCTTGTCTCTACACAGATCTCGCAAGAATCTTTTAGATTCTAGCGTTGGCAACTTGACCACCTCCAAAGCTGAATTCGGGGGCGTCACCAGATCAAGTGTATAAGCGCCTACACTTGATCCGTCATTAACCAAGACATTAACTGACTCGTTGATTTCATGGGAAAACACATCCGCAGGTGGTTGGGGATCCACACCCTCAACATAACTCTCTCGGGATTTATTGCTCTCAGGAACGCCGGACTTTACTTCCGTTACGGGTACTATCACGGTCACGTCCTCTTCGATCGACTCTCTTTCAGTCGAGCGGGCTTGCTCTACGATCGACTCTCTGATAGTCGATATCGCTTCGACGTGCTGTCCATCCTGAACAACACTAGTCTATCTTCTCGAATGCACCCTTCTTGGTGTGCATCCGTGTTCCAGTCCACTCGATCTCTTCGAGTGGTGAACCTTCGGCGCAGCCTGTGTCTCTACACAGGTGCCGGAAGCTGGTTCCACAGTGCAGTGGCCTTCTACACTGTGATCTTGTGCAATCGTACTAACGACCGTAAAACAAGTGAGGCCATTGCACTCACTCGTAGTACATCCACACGCTTGTGGACGCTCCAAGACGTTCATCAGATGGCCATCCGTTGAACAAACGGCAGGCGTCTTTACGGATCGATGCTGCCAGCTAACCCATGGCCGGTACTCTCTAAGCCATGGCAGACCAAGAATGACATCAAATTTGTCATCCAAATCTAATACGATAAACTCATCATCGTACTGCTTTCCTTTTAGCGTGTAGTGGATTCCCACTACACGTTTGTCCCACTGTTACGGATGCGCCTGTAGCAAGGCACACCGTCATCCTCGTTGGAGGGAGCTCTCGCTGAACATAGTTGAGTCTACTTTCCTCTAGCAACTGGCGTCGAATAAAACTGTTCGACGCACCACAGTCAACTAGGGCGCGAAGTGACATTCCACTTGTCACTTCGATCTTCAAAGTGATGAGAGACTCCTCATCACTAAGGGCAGTAGCACAAAGTGACTGTGTGTTGGGAGCAATCTTCGTCAAGAGTCCTGCAAATTCTCTCGACGCTGCTGGATCAGCAGGGTGCTCCGCCTCTACTGACCTATCCGTTTTTGACGGTCTGAATTGCTGTCGCGGCTTGGCGAAATGGTCTGACCCACGCCTCGGACCCTTCCTTGGCCAACGGCGGTCATCACGTCCTTTCTTTGGACGTGATGCGGAGCTTATGATACTACAATCATGAGCGTAGTGCCCAATCTTCTGAAAGCGATGGCATCTTGACGTTCGCTTGTGACTCAGAGAGCGAAAGTTCTCGCTCTCAATGTAACAGAGGTCCGTAGGCTCGGGACCTCCTGTTTCCTGTCGCCTCGTCGGACGATAGTTTGACAAGTTAGTTTAAGAATGTCTCAGGCTGAAGTCTTCTTGTTCCACATACGCTATCGCTTTTTCCAGCGTATGGAAATCCTCTCGTAGCATGTAGGTCTTCACCGGCCCATCTACAAGGCCGTAGATGAACACGTTGATAAGCGTATGCTCATCATCAGGGTTTTTGTAATGCTTCTTGCAAGGTAGCGGAGGTGCTGTGCGCAAGCGTGCACGTCACGCTTACCTTGCTTTAGCCCCAAGAGTGCAGAGCGTGCTCTGGACTCGGCTCTCGGCGGCTCAAACGTCTCTTTAAGCCGCGACTTCAAGATCTCCAACGACTCAAACAAGTTTTGGTCGTGAAGCTTGAGCGCTAAGGCCCAAGTCTTTCCTCGTCCCGTCAAATTTGAAAGGGCGAAGGTGACTTGCATCTCGTCACCCTCGATGTGACGGGCCCTGATGGCATCGTCTAACTCAACGAACCATCTCAAAAGGGAATCTTCATCGGTTCCCTTGTACCTTGAGATATCAATCTTCAAGGTTTCGGGTCGACACATGTGCGTCGGCCCGCCCATCGACTGATGAGAGCGTTGCTGCTGTAGCAAGGCTATCTTCTGTCCTTCGACGGCAAGTTCCCCTTGTAGGAACTTGTTGATAGCAGCATGCTGCTGGTCTCCGCTTAGAGACTCGAACGTGCCACTGATGGCGGGTTCGCCCATGAGCACACTCATGCGGCCAACTACCTCCCATTCTGAGTCACTCATGTGAGAGTAGTCTACACGTTTGACGTGAAAGCTGTCGTCTCCTGCGTCCAACATGTTCGTGTTGGACGGACACTAAGTAGTCGTTGGACGGACTACAAAGTGCTATCAGGTGTGACGGGGCACCCTTTGTTTAGGGTGCCGCGAAACTGTACGTACACTAGTACGTGCAGAGGAAGCTAAGCTACTTGAACGGCTCGATCAAGTAAGGTAAAAACAGAACTGTATTTGATATAGTTAAGCTATCAATGTAACTTTAATCTTTATCTAACTACATTTAACTACGCCGTCGTACGACGACAACCTGCTCACCACTCATTGCGCGCGTCTAGCAGCGATTGGTGGTACTCCATGATTGCTATGTCTTATATCAACCAATCTTGGAGCAGCGAATGAATATTATCCAAAAGTGGATAACATTCCTTCAATATTACCCATCCCGGATAAAAGTGGTAGAATAATGTCATGCTATACAATATTCCAATTGACACCTTTTGGTGTCAATATCATGTAACGGGCTACCCCGTTACAGTGTAGGTACGGCTGAGGCTAAACGGTTGTGGTCCTGCTGTAACGGGGTAGCCCGTTACATGATATTGATACTAAACGGTGTTAATTGGAATTTTGTCTAGAATGACAATATTCTACCGATATTATCCGGGATGGGTAATATTGAAGGAATGTTATCCACTTTTGGATAATATTCATTCGCTGCTCCAAGATTGGTTGATATAAGACATAGCAATCATGGAGTACCACCAATCGCTGCTAGACGCGCGCAATGAGTGGTGAGCAGGTTGTCGTCGTACGACGGCGTAGTTAAATGTAGTTAGATAAAGATTAAAGTTACATTGATAGCTTAACTATATCAAATACAGTTCTGTTTTTACCTTACTTGATCGAGCCGTTCAAGTAGCTTAGCTTCCTCTGCACGTACTAGTGTACGTACAGTTTCGCGGCACCCTAAACAAAGGGTGCCCCGTCACACCTGATAGCACTTTGTAGTCCGTCCAACGACTACTTAGTGTCCGTCCAACACGAACATGTTGGACGCAGGAGACGACAGCTTTCACGTCAAACGTGAGACTACTCTCACATGAGTGACTCAGAATGGGAGGTAGTTGGCCGCATGAGTGTGCTCATGGGCGAACCCGCCATCAGTGGCACGTTCGAGTCTCTAAGCGGAGACCAGCAGCATGCTGCTATCAACAAGTTCCTACAAGGGGAACTTGCCGTCGAAGGACAGAAGATAGCCTTGCTACAGCAGCAACGCTCTCATCAGTCGATGGGCGGGCCGACGCACATGTGTCGACCCGAAACCTTGAAGATTGATATCTCAAGGTACAAGGGAACCGATGAAGATTCCCTTTGAGATGGTTCGTTGAGTTAGACGATGCCATCAGGGCCCGTCACATCGAGGGTGACGAGATGCAAGTCACCTTCGCCCTTTCAAATTTGACGGGACGAGGAAAGACTTGGGCCTTAGCGCTCAAGCTTCACGACCAAAACTTGTTTGAGTCGTTGGAGATCTTGAAGTCGCGGCTTAAAGAGACGTTTGAGCCGCCGAGAGCCGAGTCCAGAGCACGCTCTGCACTCTTGGGGCTAAAGCAAGGTAAGCGTGACGTGCACGCTTGCGCACAGCACCTCCGCTACCTTGCAAGAAGCATTACAAAAACCCTGATGATGAGCATACGCTTATCAACGTGTTCATCTACGGCCTTGTAGATGGGCCGGTGAAGACCTACATGTTACGAGAGGATTTCCATACGCTGGAAAAAGCGATAGCGTATGTGGAACAAGAAGACTTCAGCCTGAGACATTCTTAAACTAACTTGTCAAACTATCGTCCGACGAGGCGACAGGAAACAGGAGGTCCCGAGCCTACGGACCTCTGTTACATTGAGAGCGAGAACTTTCGCTCTCTGAGTCACAAGCGAACGTCAAGATGCCATCGCTTTCAGAAGATTGGGCACTACGCTCATGATTGTAGTATCACAAGCTCCGCATCACGTCCAAAGAAAGGACGTGATGACCGCCGTTGGCCAAGGAAGGGTCCGAGGCGTGGGTCAGACCATTTCGCCAAGCCGCGACAGCAATTCAGACCGTCAAAACGGATAGGTCAGTAGAGGCGGAGCACCCTGCTGATCCAGCAGCGTCGAGAGAATTTGCAGGACTCTTGACGAAGATTGCTCCCAACACACAGTCACTTTGTGCTACTGCCCTTAGTGATGAGGAGTCTCTCATCACTTTGAAGATCGAAGTGACAAGTGGAATGTCACTTCGCGCCCTAGTTGACTGTGGTGCGTCGAACAGTTTTATTCGACGCCAGTTGCTAGAGGAAAGTAGACTCAACTATGTTCAGCGAGAGCTCCCTCCAACGAGGATGACGGTGTGCCTTGCTACAGGCGCATCCGTAACAGTGGACAAACGTGTAGTGGGAATCCACTACACGCTAAAAGGAAAGCAGTACGATGATGAGTTTATCGTATTAGATTTGGATGACAAATTTGATGTCATTCTTGGTCTGCCATGGCTTAGAGAGTACCGGCCATGGGTTAGCTGGCAGCATCGATCCGTAAAGACGCCTGCCGTTTGTTCAACGGATGGCCATCTGATGAACGTCTTGGAGCGTCCACAAGCGTGTGGATGTACTACGAGTGAGTGCAATGGCCTCACTTGTTTTACGGTCGTTAGTACGATTGCACAAGATCACAGTGTAGAAGGCCACTGCACTGTGGAACCAGCTTCCGGCACCTGTGTAGAGACACAGGCTGCGCCGAAGGTTCACCACTCGAAGAGATCGAGTGGACTGGAACACGGATGCACACCAAGAAGGGTGCATTCGAGAAGATAGACTAGTGTTGTTCAGGATGGACAGCACGTCGAAGCGATATCGACTATCAGAGAGTCGATCGTAGAGCAAGCCCGCTCGACTGAAAGAGAGTCGATCGAAGAGGACGTGACCGTGATAGTACCCGTAACGGAAGTAAAGTCCGGCGTTCCTGAGAGCAATAAATCCCGAGAGAGTTATGTTGAGGGTGTGGATCCCCAACCACCTGCGGATGTGTTTTCCCATGAAATCAACGAGTCAGTTAATGTCTTGGTTAATGACGGATCAAGTGTAGGCGCTTATACACTTGATCTGGTGACGCCCCCCGAATTCAGCTTTGGAGGTGGTCAAGTTGCCAACGCTAGAATCTAAAAGATTCTTGCGAGATCTGTGTAGAGACAAGATCAAGCAAATCTGCGTACTCGTCACAGAGGACGAGTACGTCGCCGATATTCGGTCGGCACAAGTGTTTGCTGCGAACGAACGGGTTCTCAGTAGTTCATCGATGGACGAGAGTGTCCTCGATGAGAAGACCCGGATTGAGCGATGCACGTCTCAATCTTGGGAGTCTTTAAAAAAAATCCTTTGTATAAGGATTTGGTGGAATTCAGGGATGTTTCCCGGAATCCGTGCCATGCGAGCTGCCCAAAGACAAAGTTACTCGGCATGAGATCGAACTGAAACCTGGTTCGAAATACTGTGTCATGAAGCAGTGGCCACTGCCTCGTGAACAGGTCACAGCGATCGACAATTTCTTTGCCGATCGATTATCTGCGGGCCATGTGAGGGAATCAACATCCCCACATAGCTCTCCGACCTTCTGTGTGCGAAAAGCAACAGGAGGGTGGCGGATAGTGCACGCGTTCAACAAATTGAATGCTGCAACGGTAACGGCTCAAACGCCGATCCCAAGAAAGGATGTCATCATTGATGGTATGGCAAAAAGCACCATCTTTTCGTCCATGGATTTGATGGATGGATTCGATCAGATCCTCATGCGTGAACGGGATATACCTTACACGGCAGTGAGTACCCCCAGTGGTATGCTCTGGGAGTGGCTAGTAATGCCACAGGGGCTAAGTAACGCCCTTGCAACGTTTAACAGATGTGTTACAAATCTGTTGCGATCGGTGCGCGACTTTGCACCGAGTTACTCCGACGATGGCTTCGTCCATAGTCAGGCTATGGATGTAAAGACGGACGTGGAGGTTCATAGAATCCACGTCCGGAAGGTTCTTACGCTAATGCGAGAGCATCAATTGTATGCAAACCTCAAGAAGTGTATATTCGCAGCGAACGAAATACCATTTCTTGGTTGCATCGTGGGTAAAAACGATGTACGCACTGATCCGAAAAAGATCAATGCGATTAGCGACTGGCCTGTTCCACTCGACGTCAAGGGACTTCGAAAGTTCCTTGGCTTGGTAGCGTATTTGCACAAATACTCGCGCAACTATGCCGAGATGACCGTACATCTCTCTCGTCTATTAAAGAAAAACGAGAGGTGGTCATGGAGTGCTGAGTGTCAGCACTCTTTTGAGGGCATCAAGAAAGCTTGGTGCAATCGCCTGTGTTGGAGATTGCAGATCAGGATATGCCATTTCATGTGGTCTGTGACGCCAGCGATTTTGCAATAGGCTGCGCGTTAATGCAGTACGACTCAGACGGCGTTGAGCGTTTCTCGTTTCGTCTGTTATCAATCGCGTCAGCTGCAAGCAGCTGAGCAAAATTATCCGGTTCATGACAAGGAACTCCTTGCCATGAAATATGCACTGGCCAAGTTTCGGGTATATCTCTTAGTAGATAGGTCCTTCATCGTTTATACCGACCATGCGTCGTTACGCACGGCCGTAAACAGTCCACACTTCTCGCAACGAATGGCGAGGTGGCTGTCTTCTTCGCGGAGTACAACTTCTCCATCGAGTATAAACCAGGAAGACTTAATGTCGTCGCTGGTGCTCTTTCGCGTCGGCCCGATTTCGAGCCGACTGCTCAACCCAACAGTAGGGGTGATCCCTCTGTCGCAACACTAACAGTGAGTGTTCTGTCTTCGAATCTGCTCGATGGCGTGCGAAAAGCATACACAGAATTTGAGTCTCTTCTGCGGTTGATGGATTGCGTATGTAATCCGTGTAGTCAAGCTTTGAAAATCTTGTCGTCTCAATACCGCTCTTCAACCGAACTGTATTCTGTACGTGATGGACTGCTGTACTATACAGCAGTCAACGGCGACACACCTCTTGTCGTCGTTCCGGCTCATAATAATTTGCGATTGCTCACCATGTATGAGTGTCACGATGCCACAATAAGTGGACATCGTGGTAGAGAAACGATTTACCTCATGGTGAGTCGTGACTTCTACTGGCCCCGCCAGTATGAGTTTGTGCGGAAATACATTCGCGCTTGCGAAGTTTGTCAACGGGTGAAGCCTAGCCCTTCATCCCGCGCACCCTTACAGCCTCTTCCGATTCCGGCAGAGTGTTGGCAGTCCGTATCGATGGACTTCGTCTTCGGGTTTCCCAAAGACGTTCACAAAAATACTGGTATTCTGTGTTCATTGATCAGTACAGCAAGATGGTAAATCTTGTTGCTGTACCAGAGTCAATCACAGCCCAGGCCTAAGCGCGTGTCTTCATCGATACTATCTTCCGACTTCACGGGTTACCCCGTGAAATCGTATCTGGTCGAACCCCCGCTTCACAGCGGAGTTCTGGCAATCCGTGTTCCGCTCACTTGGAACACGTTTGACGATGTCAACTTCTGAACAACCCGAAACAGATGGTCAAACAAAACGCGTCAACCGCGTTCTCGAAGAGATACTTCGAGGGTATGTCCACTCGTTTAAGAGCTGGAGTGAGTTCTTGCTGATGGCGGAATTCGCCATTAACAAATCGGTGCACGCGTCTACAACGCATACACCGTTCTTCGTGAATGGCCTACGCCATCCACGTCTACCCGCCTTCTTAGAGTGTGACTCTAGTTTAAGAGGGGGGTGGCATCGCTCGAACAAAAACCGATCTGGTTCTTTCTCATCACCCGTCGACAATGGTGTCGACGTGATGGATGCCGATGTCGATGAGATCGATGTCGATGATGACGATGACGACGATGCTGGCGTATTTAGCATCGCCAATGACCGCCAAAGTGAGGACGATGATACCCGCACACGTTCTTTTGCAGTGCACACGAAGCGCACTGCTGTTCACAAGGATGAATCAGCAGAGGAATTTCTGCTGACTCGCGAAGCGGTTGTCCGCTTCGTTCAAGACTCTATTGCAGATGCATGAGCAAGACAGAAGAGAAATGCAGACAAACATGGAAGAGCAAATGTTCTTTCATTTGACGAAGGAGACCTATTTTTACTGTCCACAGTAAACTTACCGAAGCACGCAGTGACAAACGTGGGCAGCAGTAAATTACTGCCCAGGTACATCGGTCCATTTCGTGTGTTGCGCCGAATGGGCAACGCATACACGATTAAACTGCCCCGTAAGACGCGCACACATTCTACGTTATACGTTGGTCGTCTCCGCCCGTACTATCAGTACGAGCCCGTTTCGAGATGCGAAGAACACCTCCACAGTCGAGAGCCGAGACCACCCTCGAGTGGTCCCGTTTCAACGAGCCAGTCTGGTCGACCAGCGAAGCGACCTGTTCACGCAGCTCAGCGATGTCTCGACGAGCAGCAGCCAGCTCATCACGAAGAGAACGAGTCGAACGTTCGTTCTTAAGTTGCGCGAACGAAAAGAGGCACGATCGTCCGAACGATCGTGCGATAAGGAATTATAATTATCCCTCACAAGATCCTCAAGCCCATAACGCCGAGATCGTTCATGAGCCAGGTCATCTTGCAACTGTTCCGTTAGACGGTTCAGCTCTTGAACATCAACTTGATCCGACCCTCGAGCCGGATCAGGTGTTCCCACCGCCACCACATCCTTTGGTGGACTCAAGCGGTGGTCAACGCTTCCTAGTGGAGCGTATTTTGAACAACCGCGATGTGAATGGCGTCCGGACGAGTTACCTCGTCCGCTGGCGTGGCTATCCACCGGCGTGGGACAGCTGGGAGGCTTGTGCCCAGCTGATTGTTGATGCCCTTGGTCTCGTCGAGCAGTACGACGAGACCCACCCGCTGCGTTTGAAGAAGGGCCGTCGGAAAACGACCTTCCCGAAGGCGAGTACAGGGATTGCAAATTGTCGATCCCTTCGACCATCTCGGAAGAGATGCGCACCCTCCGTTAGGGATCATTTGAGGGAGGGAGGCCTCCCTAGGGGCACGGTTCGAATTGTCCGGGCAACCTGGACACGAATCACCCCACGAGGGACAGAGTAATCCTTCCTCTCTTGAAAGCCGGTGCAACTTGTATCGCGCCCCGACGGGGTTGCGTTTCTCAAACCTGATGCGAGCTGCGTCAAGTTTGGCGAGCCAAGCCTCACGGCCAATACACTCGATGTTGTGGATGAGGGCATTCCATCCCTACACCAAGGCTTTGCCGTCTCGTACACGGATACCATTGTACCACCGATCTTTGAAGAACGCATCGGTGAAGAACTCTTCCTCAGCACGGATAGCTTCCGTGCTAGAACCAGGAGGGCAAATCTTCCTGCAATCGAACAACGGGATTCTATCGCGTTCGGTAGTCGTGCCGGCCAACCGGTTCAACTCTGTGGATGACGGCATCCACGGAAACTCCACTTGAGGAGCGTGGCGCAGGACATTTCGGTCCCTGGCCTCTTGATTGGTGCCATCATGAGCACTGGCACCAGTGTTGCCCCGATTTCTTGAGTTACTTCGCTCGTGGTGGGCATAGGTGCATCCTATGCCCACCACCGATGAATGGACTTGCGTGAGGCGGAGACTCATCGGAGTATCACTCGATCCGAAGATCTCGGTCATGATGCTGCCGCGATGACCAGAGCCAGTCAGCCTGGCTTTTGCAGCGTCCGCCCCCGGTGATCCCGAGGCGTGAGGAGTCGCCTTCGAGTCGGATGCATCATCGGACTCGCCAGAATAGATGAGCTCTATCTCAGACTCGTCTGGATTACGATTCGATGTACCCGCTGCAGACGCAACGGATGTACCTGTCGCAAGTGGTGACTCACCACGTGGAGGTTTCACGACAACAGGCGACGAATCGCCTGCTACTAAGGCGTGAGAGGCACTTTCCGCGGCCGCACGCATGCGTGCAGCCACTCTTCTTGCAGATGCAGTAGCAGCTCGCGTGGTTTTGGAAACCATGCGTTGGATTGGCGAATGAATGGAATTTGACCAACAAGTGCTCCCTTTCCCAGGGTGATCCAACGGTGGTCACCCTGTCCCAATCAATTCTAATTCAATCAACGAATGATTGATGTTTAAGGGGGGGTGATGTAACGGGGTGGCCGGTTACATGATATTGACACCAAACGGTGTTAATTGGAATTTTGTCTAGAATGACAATATTCTACCGATATTATCCGGGATAGGTAATATTGAAGGAACGTTATCCCCTTTTGGATAATATTCATTCGCTGCTCCAAGATTGGTTGATATAAGACATAGCAACCATGGAGTACCACCAATCGCTGCTAGACGCGCGCAATGAGTGGTGAGCAGGTTGTCGTCATACGACGGCGTAGTTTAATACAGTTAGATAAAGATTAAAGTAGTATTGATTGCTTAAATACAGTTCTCTTTTTACCTTTACTTGACCGAGTCGTTCAAGTACTTAAGCTTCCTCTGCACGTACTTGTAACGGGGCACCCTGAAGCTTGTACTGGTGACAGTACAAGCTACTTTTTCTGATGACATAATAAGGCGGTGCCTCAGAACTTTACGTACACTCGTACGTGCAGAGGAAGACGGTAAGAAGAAGCGAGTGCTTGGTTAAAGTAAAAAGTAGAACTGTACTTATCATAGTTAATGTCTGTTAATAAACCACTATTTATCCTCATCTAACTATGTCTGAATACAAATGTGCATATCAACTATCTGCTCACCACTCATTGCGTGCGTCTGTTGTGGCGCGTCTTCGTTGGTTGATATAATGGCCTATATCAACCAATTAGGAACTACTCGTAAGTGCTATAGAATATTTGTCCTTATGACAATATTTCGAGAATATAACTCTTATAGTTATATTCTATTAACAATTTCTTGTAAATTGTTATGTAACGATTCACCCCTTTACAGTACTGGTGTACGTGAAGTTTCGCGGCACCCTAAACTTAATGTGCCCCGTTACAGAAGTCAAGTGTTAACCACATTTTTCACGACAGATCAACAAATTAAGCACTGTACTTTTCTAGCGACATAGTGATCTATAAAACATAATTTACTTGTGTAGTGACGCACCCTTGGACCCGATATCAGAAGTTAGGTGTCCGAACTAGGATGAAAAGACTTCAAGGTAAGATCATTCATTTGGACATTTAGCATGCCTGGTCTTGTTTCTCCTCTTGTACTTCCAACCTGTAACGGGGTGAATCGTTACATAACAATTTACAAGACATTGTTAATAGAATATAACTATAAGAGTTATATTCTCGAAATATTGTCATAAGGACAAATATTCTACAGCACCTATGAGTGGTTCCTAATTGGTTGATATAGGCCATTATATCAACCAACGAAGACGCGCCACGACAGACGCACGCAATGAGTGGTGAGCAGATAACTGATTTACACATTTGTATTTAGACATAGTTAGATGGGATAAAATAGTGGTTTATTAACAGGCATTGACTATGATAAATACAGTTCTACTTTTTACGTTAACCAAGCACTCGCTTCTTCTTACCGTCTTCCTCTGCACGTACGAGTGTACGTGAAGTTACGAGGCACCGCCTTATTCTGTCATCAGAATAAGTAGCTTGTACTGTCACCAGTACAAGCTTCAGGGTGCCCCGTTACACCTGGTAGCACTTCGTAGTCCGTCCAAGGACCACGTTCACATCTAACATGAATGTGTTGGATGATGAAGATGACCAAAGCTTTCACGCTATGCGTGACGGCTACTCCCATTTGAGCGATGTCGAATGGGATGCGGTTGAACGGATGGGTTCTACCATGGGCATCCATGCTGTTAGCGTCATGCTAGAGGCTCTCAATAGAGATGCCCAACATGCTACTATCGCCAAGTTCATTCAAAATGAACTTGACGCTGAACGCGAGAAAGTAGCCTTGCTTCACCAACAAGGTTCTCAACAAGCAGAGTTGTTGAGAGAACAGGGTGCTCAACAGTTTGAGCTGTTGAGACAGCAGCAGGCTGCTGCTGGTGGGTCGATGCACTCGCGTCGACCGAAACCTTGAAGATTGACATCTCCAAGTATAGGGGGTCGAAGAGGGCTCCCTCTTGAGATGGTTCGTCGAATTGGATGACGCCATAAGGGCGCGTCGCATCGACGACGGGGATATGCAAGTTGCATTTGCCCAGTCAAATCTGGCAGGACGTGCCAAGACTTGGGCTTTGGGACTCAAGTTGCACGACCCATATGCGTTTGGGTCGTTGGAAGTCTTCAAGTCGCGGCTCAGACAAAAGTTTGAACCGCCTAGAGCTGAGTTCAGAGCTCGAACCGAACTCTTGAAGCTCAAACAGGGTAAGCGTGATGTGCACGCTTTACGCGCAAAATATACGACATCTCACGAGTTGTATAAGTTCCAACCCGGTTGACGAACACACGTTGGTTTCGGTGTTCATGCAGGGTCTTGCGGATGGTCCCGTCAAGACTCACCTGTTCCGGCTTGAACTAGATTCACTAGAACAAGCCATTTCCATTGCGGAACAGGAAGACTTCAGTGTGATACAGGCTCGCACCAGCTCGAAATCATATCGTCAACCGAGACGATATGACAGCGGAGGTCCAGAGCCGATGGAACTCTGTTTTGTAGAGAGCGAGAAGGCTCGCTCTACAGACTACAAGAAGTTGCAGAGATGCAACAGATGTCAGAAGACAGGACACTACGCTTACGAGTGTAGTGCCCCTCGTCCAGTGTCTCGCAACACTGGGCGTAGTGACCGTCCACCCATGAGAAAGGGGCAGGGACGCGGGTCCGCTGTTGGTGCAAAGACGCAACAACGGGATGGACCGTCAAAAAACGGACAGGATCAGTAGGTGTGGAGCACCCTACTGGTCCAGCAACGTCAAGAAACTTTGTAGGCGTCTTGATGAAGGTTGCTCCCAACACACAAACGTTGTGCGTTGCTGCTCTAGGTAATGAGATCTCACTCATTGCATTGACACTCGAAGTGACGAATAAGTTGTCCCTTCGAGCTCTAGTTGATTGTAGGGCGTCCAACAATTTTGTGCGACGCCAATCGATAGAAGATGGTCATTTTAAGTTCAGTGAATGTGACACACCTCCTACGAGGGTGACGGTACGTCTTGCGACAGGCGCATCCGTGACCGTCATGAAGCGTATAGTGAAGATTCACTATACGCTAGAAGATACCCAATATGACGATGACTTTATCGTTTTGGATTTGGATGACAAATTTAATGTCATCCTTGGAATGTCGTGGCTCAGAAGATACGAACCACGGGTAAACTGGCAACATCGAACGGTAATGATGCCTGCCGCTTGTTCATCAGATGACCATCTGATGAACGTTTTGGAGCGTTCACAAGCGGGTGGATGTACTACGAGTGAGTGCGATGGCCTCACTTGTGGTACGGTCGTTAGTACGACTGCACAAAACCTTAGTGTACCAAACGGTTACACTTCGGAGCAAAGTTCCGGCGGCTGTGAGGAAACACAGGCTGCGCCGAAGGTCCACCACTCAAATAAGTCGAGTGGATCGGGACAAATATGTATCCCTAGCGGGGAACATCTAGAAGATAAACAATCGATCGCTCAGGTTAAGCGAAACGATAATCCTAGATTGACTGGAGAGTCTTTCGTAGAGGATCTCGCTGTGGTTGCGCAACCCCAGCTAGAGGAAATTAAGGGAATAAGTCCCAATATTACAAATACGGCGGAAATAAGTTCCCTGAAACCCGCGGGAATAAGTCCCCGGGAAGCCGAAGGAATAAGTCCTTCGAGGCCTGAGGGAATAAGTCCCCAGGAAATGACAGAGACATTGAATGTCCTATTCAATGATGGATCAAGTGTAGGCGCTTATACACTTGATCTGATTGCGCCTCCGAAGTTGACTTCGGAGATCACTCAGTTGCCAACGCTCGAATATAAAAGGTTCTTGCGTGATCTGCGTAGTGGCAAAGTCAAGCAGATCTGCGTACTCGTCGCTGACGACGAGTGTGTATCCGACATAAGTCAGCAACAGTATTTACTGAGAACGAGAGAGTTCTCAGTAGTTCATCTATGTAACGGGGTGAATTGTTACATAACAATTTATAAGAAATTGTTAATAGAATATAACTATAAGAGTTATATTCTCAGAATCTTGTCATAAGGACAAATATTCTGTAGCACTTACGAGTAGTTCCTAATTGGTTGATAGAGGCCATCATATCAACCAGCGAAGACGAGCCACGACAGACGCACGCAATGAGTGGTGAGCAGATAATTGATTTACACATTTGTATTTAGACATAGTTAGATGAAGATAAATAGTGATTTATTGCAGATATTAACTATACTAAATACAGTTCTACGTTTTACGTTAACCAAGCACTCGCTTCTTCTTACCGTCTTCCTCTGCACCTACCAGTGTACGTGAAGTTACGAGGCACCGCCTTATTCTGTCATCAGAATAAGTAGCTTGTACTGTCACCAGTACAAGCTTCAGGGTGCCCCGTTACACCTGGTAGCACTTCGTAGTCCGTCCAAGGACCGCGTTCACATCCAACATGAACATGTTGGATGATGAAGATGACCAAAGCTTTCACGCTATGCGTGACGGCTACTCCCATTTGAGCGATGTCGAATGGGATGCGGTTGAACGGATGGGTTCGACCATGGGCATCCATGCTGTTAGCGTCATGCTAGAGGCTCTCAATAGAGATGCCCAACATGCTACTATCGCCAAGTTCATTCAAAATGAACTTGACGCTGAACGCGAGAAAGTAGCCTTGCTTCACCAACAAGGTTCTCAACAAGCAGAGTTGTTGAGAGAACAGGGTGCTCAACAGTTTGAGCTGCTGAGACAGCAGCAGGCTGCTGCTGGTGGGTCGATGCACTCGCGTCGACCCGAAACCTTGAAGATTGACATCTCCAAGTATAGGGGGGTCGAAGAGGGCTCCCTCTTGAGATGGTTCGTCGAATTGGATGACGCCATAAGGGCGCGTCGCATCGACGACGGGGATATGCAAGTTGCATTTGCCCAGTCAAATCTGGCAGGACGTGCCAAGACTTGGGCTTTGGGACTCAAGTTGCACGACCCAGATGCGTTTGGGTCGTTGGAAGTCTTCAAGTCGCGGCTCAGACAAAAGTTTGAACCGCCTAGAGCTGAGTTCAGAGCTCGAACCGAACTCTTGAAGCTCAAACAGGGTAAGCGTGATGTGCACGCTTACGCCCAACATATACGACATCTTACGAGTTGTATAAGTTCAAACCCGGTTGACGAACACACGTTGATTTCGGTGTTCATGCAGGGTCTTGCGGATGGTCCCGTCCAGACTCACCTGTTCCGACTTGAACTAGATTCACTAGAACAAGCCATTTCCATTGCGGAACAGGAAGACTTCAGTGTGATACAGGCTCGCACCAGCTCGACATCATATCGTCAACCGAGACGATATGACAGCGGAGGTCCAGATCCAATGGAACTCTGTTTTGTAGAGAGCGAGAAGGCTCGCTCTACAGACTACAAGAAGTTGCAGAGATGCAACAGATGTCAAAAGACAGGACACTACGCTTACGAGTGTAGTGCCCCTCGTCCAGTGTCTCGCAACACTGGGCGTAGTGACCGTCCACCCATGAGAAAGGGGCAGGGACGCGAGCCCTCTGTTGGAGCAAAGACGCAACAACGGGATGGACCGTCAAAAAACGGACAGGATCAGTAGGTGTGGAGCACCCTACTGGTCCAGCAACGTCAAGAAACTTTGTAGGCGTCTTGATGAAGGTTGCTCCCAACACACAAACGTTGTGCGTTGCTGCTCTAGGTAATGAGATCTCACTCATTGCATTGACACTCGAAGTGACGAATAAGTTGTCCCTTCGAGCTCTAGTTGATTGTAGGGCGTCCAACAATTTTGTGCGACGCCAATCGATAGAAGATGGTCATTTTAAGTTCAATGAATGTGACACACCTCCTACGAGGGTGACGGTACGTCTTGCGACAGGCGCATCCGTGACCGTCATGAAGCGTATAGTGAAGATTCACTATACGCTAGAAGATACCCAATATGACGATGACTTTATCGTTTTGGATTTGGATGACAAATTTAATGTCATCCTTGGAATGTCGTGGCTCAGAAGATACGAACCACGGGTAAACTGGCAACATCGAACGGTAATGATGCCTGCCGCTTGTTCATCAGATGACCATCTGATGAACGTTTTGGAGCGTTCACAAGCGGGTGGATGTACTACGAGTGAGTGCGATGGCCTCACTTGTGGTACGGTCGTTAGTACGACTGCACAAAACCTTAGTGTACCAAACGGTTACACTTCGGAGCAAAGTTCCGGCGGCTGTGAGGAAACACAGGCTGCGCCGAAGGTCCACCACTCAAATAAGTCGAGTGGATCGGGACAAAGATGTATCCCTAGCGGGGAACATCTAGAAGATAAACAATCGATCGCTCAGGTTAAGCGAAACGATAATCCTAGATTGACTGGAGAGTCTTTCGTAGAGGATCTCGCTGTGGTTGCGCAACCCCAGCTAGAGGAAATTAAGGGAATAAGTCCCAATATTACAAATACGGCGGAAATATGTTCCCTGAAACCCGCGGGAATAAGTCCCCGGGAAGCCGAAGGAATAAGTCCTTCGAGGCCTGAGGGAATAAGTCCCCAGGAAATAACAGAGACATTGAATGTTCTATTCAATGATGGATCAAGTGTAGGCGCTTATACACTTGATCTGATTGCGCCTCCGAAGTTGACTTCGGAGATCACTCAGTTGCCAACGCTCGAATATAAAAGGTTCTTGCGTGATCTGCGTAGTGGCAAAGTCAAGCAGATCTGCGTACTCGTCGCTGACGACGAGTGTGTAGCCGACATAAGGTCAGCGACAGTATTTACTGAGAACGAGAGAGTTCTCAGTAGTTCATCTATGTAACGGGGTGAATTGTTACATAACAATTTATAAGAAATTGTTAATAGAATATAACTATAAGAGTTATATTCTCAGAATCTTGTCATAAGGACAAATATTCTGCAGCACTTACGAGTAGTTCCTAATTGGTTGATAGAGGCCATCATATCAACCAGCGAAGACGCGCCACGACAGACGCACGCAATGAGTGGTGAGCAGATAATTGATTTACACATTTGTATTTAGACATAGTTAGATGAAGATAAATAGTGATTTATTGCAGATATTAACTATACTAAATACAGTTCTACGTTTTACGTTAACCAAGCACTCGCTTCTTCTTACCGTCTTCCTCTGCACCTACCAGTGTACGTGAAGTTACGAGGCACCGCCTTATTCTGTCATCAGAATAAGTAGCTTGTACTGTCACCAGTACAAGCTTCAGGGTGCCCCGTTACACCTGGTAGCACTTCGTAGTCCGTCCAAGGACCGCGTTCACATCCAACATGAACATGTTGGATGATGAAGATGACCAAAGCTTTCACGCTACGCGTGACGGCTACTCCCATTTGAGCGATGTCGAATGGGATGCGGTTGAACGGATGGGTTCGACCATGGGCATCCATGCTGTTAGCGTCATGCTAGAGGCTCTCAATAGAGATGCCCAACATGCTACTATCGCCAAGTTCATTCAAAATGAACTTGACGCAGAACGCGAGAAAGTAGCCTTGCTTCACCAACAAGGTTCTCAACAAGCAGAGTTGTTGAGAGAACAGGGTGCTCAACAGTTTGAACTGTTGAGACAGCAGCAGGCTGCTGCTGGTGGGTCGATGCACTCGCGTCGACCCGAAACCTTGAAGATTGACATCTCCAAGTATAGGGGGGTCGAAGAAGACTCCCTCTTGAGAAGGTTCGTCGAATTGGATGACGCCATAAGGGCGCGTCGCATCGACGACGGGGATATGCAAGTTGCATTTGCCCAGTCAAATCTGGCAGGACGTGCCAAGACTTGGGCTTTGGGACTCAAGTTGCACGACCCATATGCGTTTGGGTCGTTGGAAGTCTTCAAGTCGCGGCTCAGACAAAAGTTTGAACCGCCTAGAGCTGAGTTCAGAGCTCGAACCGAACTCTTGAAGCTCAAACAGGGTAAGCGTGATGTGCACGCTTTACGCGCAAAATATACGACATCTTACGAGTTGTATAAGTTCCAACCCGGTTGACGAACACACGTTGATTTCGGTGTTCATGCAGGGTCTTGCGGATGGTCCCGTCCAGACTCACCTGTTCCGACTTGAACTAGATTCACTAGAACAAGCCATTTCCATTGCGGAACAGGAAGACTTCAGTGTGATACAGGCTCGCACCAGCTCGACATCATATCGTCAACCGAGACGATATGACAGCGGAGGTCCAGAGCCGATGGAACTCTGTTATGTAGAGAGCGAGAAGGCTCGCTCTACAGACTACAAGAAGTTGCAGAGATGCAACAGATGTCAGAAGACAGGACACTACGCTTACGAGTGTAGTGCCCCTCGTCCAGTGTCTCGCAACACTGGGCGTAGTGACCGTCCACCCATGATAAAGGGGCAGGGACGAGGGTCCGCAGTTGGTGCAAAGACGCAACAACGGGATGGACCGTCAAAAAACGGACAGGATCAGTAGGTGTGGAGCACCCTACTGGTCCAGCAACGTCAAGAAACTTTGTAGGCGTCTTGATGAAGGTTGCTCCCAACACACAAACGTTGTGCGTTGCTGCTCTAGGTAATGAGATCTCACTCATTGCATTGACACTCGAAGTGACGAATAAGTTGTCCCTTCGAGCTCTAGTTGATTGTAGGGCGTCCAACAATTTTGTGCGACGCCAATCGATAGAAGATGGTCATTTTAAGTTCAGTGAATGTGACACACCTCCTACGAGGGTGACGGTACGTCTTGCGACAGGCGCATCCGTGACCGTCATGAAGCGTATAGTGAAGATTCACTATACGCTAGAAGATACCCAATATGACGATGACTTTATCGTTTTGGATTTGGATGACAAATTTAATGTCATCCTTGGAATGTCGTGGCTCAGAAGATACGAACCACGGGTAAACTGGCAACATCGAACGGTAATGATGCCTGCCGCTTGTTCATCAGATGACCATCTGATGAACGTTTTGGAGCGTTCACAAGCGGGTGGATGTACTACGAGTGAGTGCGATGGCCTCACTTGTGGTACGGTCGTTAGTACGACTGCACAAAACCTTAGTGTACCAAACGGTTACACTTCGGAGCAAAGTTCCGGCGGCTGTGAGGAAACACAGGCTGCGCCGAAGGTCCACCACTCAAATAAGTCGAGTGGATCGGGACAAAGATGTATCCCTAGCGGGGAACATCTAGAAGATAAACAATCGATCGCTCAGGTTAAGCGAAACGATAATCCTAGATTGACTGGAGAGTCTTTCGTAGAGGATCTCGCTGTGGTTGCGCAACCCCAGCTAGAGGAAATTAAGGGAATAAGTCCCAATATTACAAATACGGCGGAAATATGTTCCCTGAAACCCGCGGGAATAAGTCCCCGGGAAGACGAAGGAATAAGTCCTTCGAGGCCTGAGGGAATAAGTCCCCAGGAAATAACAGAGACATTGAATGTCCTATTCAATGATGGATCAAGTGTAGGCGCTTATACACTTGATCTGATTGCGCCTCCGAAGTTGACTTCGGAGATCACTCAGTTGCCAACGCTCGAATATAAAAGGTTCTTGCGTGATCTGCGTAGTGGCAAAGTCAAGCAGATCTGCGTACTCGTCGCTGACGACGAGTGTGTAGCCGACATAAGGTCAGCAACAGTATTTACTGAGAACGAGAGAGTTCTCAGTAGTTCATCTATGTAACGGGGTGAATTGTTACATAACAATTTATAAGAAATTGTTAATAGAATATAACTATAAGAGTTATATTCTCAGAATCTTGTCATAAGGACAAATATTCTGCAGCACTTACGAGTAGTTCCTAATTGGTTGATAGAGGCCATCATATCAACCAGCGAAGACGCGCCACGACAGACGCACGCAATGAGTGGTGAGCAGATAATTGATTTACACATTTGTATTTAGACATAGTTAGATGAAGATAAATAGTGATTTATTGCAGATATTAACTATACTAAATACAGTTCTACGTTTTACGTTAACCAAGCACTCGCTTCTTCTTACCGTCTTCCTCTGCACCTACCAGTGTACGTGAAGTTACGAGGCACCGCCTTATTCTGTCATCAGAATAAGTAGCTTGTACTGTCACCAGTACAAGCTTCAGGGTGCCCCGTTACACCTGGTAGCACTTCGTAGTCCGTCCAAGGACCGCGTTCACATCCAACATGAACATGTTGGATGATGAAGATGACCAAAGCTTTCACGCTACGCGTGACGGCTACTCCCATTTGAGCGATGTCGAATGGGATGCGGTTGAACGGATGGGTTCGACCATGGGCATCCATGCTGTTAGCGTCATGCTAGAGGCTCTCAATAGAGATGCCCAACATGCTACTATCGCCAAGTTCATTCAAAATGAACTTGACGCAGAACGCGAGAAAGTAGCCTTGCTTCACCAACAAGGTTCTCAACAAGCAGAGTTGTTGAGAGAACAAGGTGCTCAACAGTTTGAACTGTTGAGACAGCAGCAGGCTGCTGCTGGTGGGTCGATGCACTCGCGTCGACCCGAAACCTTGAAGATTGACATCTCCAAGTATAGGGGGTCGAAGAAGACTCCCTCTTGAGATGGTTCGTCGAATTGGATGACGCCATAAGGGCGCGTCGCATCGACGACGGG